ATTTATAATAAAGAGATAACTATAAACTATTAAATAAGCTTAATCTTTACTATAATCCCTCCTATCTATTATCTTAATCTTTAGAGTATTATACTTATAATAAGAAGAAAGAGAAAGAGAAGGGCGATACCTTATAGATAGATTATAGATAAGAAGATATATAGGAGTAAGATAGTAAGAAAGTAAATAAAGAGAGAGATACTTAAAGAGACTTATAGAGATATAGAGATTAGAAGTTAGTTATAATAAGCTTTCTTTTAAGTAATTACTATTAATTACTAGTAAATACTTATAAGCTATAAGTATATTTCTATAAATAGCTATAAGTTAATCTTTAAGAATTAAGGTCTTTCTTTAAATAATTATACTCTTCGCTTTTAATCTATTTTAGTTAATTCTTAGCTCTTTTATAGATAGTTTAAAGGAAGAGTAATAAAGAGATTATATAAAAGAGTATATTAAATTTAGTATACCTAAGATTATTATCCTCCTTTATATTTAAAGATAAATAGTATTATAATATATATTATAAGTCTTATTACTCTTTAATTTTATTCTATATAAGTACTTTAGTTCTATTTTCTCTATATTTATCTTCCCTAAGATAAGTATCCTTTTAATTATAATAATAGGAGATTCTAAAGAAATCCTAATTAATCTAGTAATTCTTATAGTAGAAGCTACTCTTAGAGTAGATCTTTATAAGACTACTTTATAGGGAAGTTAGGTTTCTCTAAGAAAAGATTATAGAACTACTTTTAGGGGTAATAATATAGGAGATAGAGATAACTAAGATAGCGATAATACTACTAGTACTACTAATATTACTAGTATAGTAGATAGAGGTAATTAAGATAGTCCTAATACTACTAGTACTACTAATACTACTAGTACTACTAATATAGGAGATAGAGGCGATTAAGATAGTCTTAATACTACTAGTATTACTAGTATTACTAATATTACTAGTATAAGAGATAAAGGTAATTAAGATAGAGATAGTAATAATAGTAGCCTTAGTTAAGATTAAGATTAACGCCTTAGAGAAGGACCTAAAAAGGGCCTTAGAGAGGGACCTAGAAAAGGAAAAGGCTATACTATTAAGATTAGTAATAGAGAAGGGATTTAAAAAGTTACTAAGGTTAGTAATAGAGAAGGGATTTAAAAGATTATCTATTAGAGAGTAAAGCTAAAGCTAACCTTAGATAAATTATAGGAGGGTATACTAAAGGGGTATAGACCTAAAAAATAGATATAAGTACTATATATTAATTTATACTATTAAGGATAACTAGATATCTTTAGATATTACTTAGGATTATTAATTATTATTAGTAATCTAAAGACACTACTTAGTATTATTAGTAATTACTAGTAATACTAAGTAAGATAAGAAGTTACTAATAAATATCTATCTAATAATACCCTAAAATTATATAACTATATTACTCTTACCTATCCTATAACTTAATAGCTAACTAAGGGGGTATAAATAATAAGATATAATATACTAAATAATCTTTTAATATTAACTAAAAGATCTATAGGAAATACTAAAATATACTTATTAATACCCCTTCTATTAGTATTTAGTCTAGGCTTTAATAAATAGGTTAGGCCTAATAGACTAGATTAGGTTAGGCCTAAAAATAGGGGCCTATTTACCTTTAAAATAGGCCTAGGCCTATATAGGCCCCTATTTAAGCCTATTTTTTATAGGTCTAAAATTATATATATTTTTTATAAAATATATAGAAAGATTGGTTTTAGAGGGGTAAAATACCACTTTAAATACTATATATAATAGAATCATTAGAAATTATAGCTTATAAGCTTAGATATAAGATATTAACCTTATTATATAGCTTATTCTTTATTTAAATTATATAAAAAGGGTAGTTAAGATAAATATCTATATATATAGTGAATATAGTAAAGCTATATATTCTATATATATATATCTTCCCTATTAGCACGGTAAATTAACTACTTTAAAAATTACTATTTTATACTATATCTAGCTACCCTAAATCTAGGGTAAACTAGGGTATTATAGTATAATAAGCTTTTATTAAGCTATATTATATATAATTATAATAGATATAGTGGAAGATTAAAGAAATAGTAGTTACTATATATATATAGACTAGAATAGATATAATTAAAAAAAGTCTTAGTAAAAAAAAATATAAAATCAGGTAAAAATAGGCAGAAATTAGGCGAAATTCAGGCTAAATTAGGCTAAATTAGATATCTACGCTAACCTTATTTAAATAGGCCTAAAAATAGGGGCCTATAGGCCCCTATAGGCCTAGTATAAAATTTATAGGTTAGGCTAGGCCCTAGAATTTAAAAAATAGGGGCCTATTACTAAAGCCTAATTTAGTCTACTATAGGAATACTATAGATCTAAAAGATACTATTATATAGAAGTATATTAAGAAGATATATATAATATAATATACTCTATACTTTAAAGAAAGGTTATAATATAACTAATTAATATTATAGAAAAAGGATAGATATTAGTATAATATAATTAGAGTTATAAAAGGAAAAATAGATATTAAAAGATATATATTATCCCTAGATAATAGGTCTTTCTATATTAATAATATTACTACTTTAGTAATACTAATAATATCTATAATAACTCTAATAATAAATATAAGAAATATAAGGAGGATAAGTATAAGAGTAGTAAAAGAGAAAGATCTAAGGGGTCTAATCTAGAATATTATAGAATAGATCTAGTAGAATAAAAGGGTTAAGAGAATTAAGAGAATAAAGATAATAGTAGAGATAGAGAGGGCTTAGATAGTCTAGGGCTTAGCCTAAAGACTATATTAATTAGAATATAAACTAATAGGCTTAATATTAAATAGATAGTTTAATCTATAGATATATATATATATATCTTAGTATAAGTATAATTATTTTATTTTTATTTAATATTAATTAGATTAAATCTTAATTTTTAATAGGATTATTTTCTAGCTTTTATTTATACTTATTAGCTTTTACTTATATTTACTAGCTTTTACTTATACTTACTAACTTTTACTTATATAGTATATCTAGTAGCTTTTTATATCTATTAGCTTTTACTTATATCTACTAGTATATATATATATAAGAGAGTTCTAAGTAGCTTTTCTATAAGGCTATAACTTAAAGTATATAAAATAAATTATTTTCTTATAAATACTTAAAAATACTAGTAGCTATAAGTAATACTTATACTACTAGGGTTCTTAAAAGTTAATTATTAATTTATCCTCTAGTAAATACTTAAAATTATAAGTAATTTTTAGTAATCTTAATATTATAATTTAAAACTCCTACCATTTCTTACTATTTCTTATAAGCTCTTATAAGCTCTAATAAGTACTTAACTAGATAGACTAGTTAGCTAAAAAGTAGCTGATTACTAGTAATTACTAGTAATTTTAATAAGAAAAATTTAAGAATTAGGCTTCCCTAGGCTTTAGTAATAGGCCCCTATTTTTTAAATTCTAGGGCCTAGCCTAATCTATAAATTTTATACTAGGCCTATAGGGGCCTATAAGCCCCTATTTTTAGGCCTATTTAAATAAGGTTAGCATAGATACCTGATTTAGCCTAATTTAGCCTAAATTTCGCCTAATTTCTGCCTATTTTTACCTGATTTTATATTTTTTTTTACTAAGACTTTTTTTAATTATATCTATTCTAGTCTATATATATATAGTAACTACTATTTCTTTAATCTTCCACTATATCTATTATAATTATATATAATATAGCTTAATAAAAGCTTATTATACTATAATACCCTAGTTCACCCTAGATTTAGGGTAGCTAGATATAGTATAAAATAGTAATTTTTAAAGTAGTTGATTTACTATACTAATAGGGAAGATATATATATATAGAATATATAGCTTCACCATATTCACTATATATATAGATATTTACCTTAACCACCCTTTTTATATAATTTAAATAAAGAATAAGCTATATAATAAGATTAATACCTTATATCTAAGCTTATAAGCTATAATTTCTAATGATTCTATTATATATAGTATTTAAAGTGGTATTTTACCCCTCTAAAACCAATCTTTCTACATATTTTATAAAAAATACACATAATTTCAGACCCACAAAAAATAGGCTTAAATAGGGGCCCATATAGGCCCGGGCCCATTTCAAAGGCAAATGGGCCCCCATTTTTAGGCCCAACCCAACCCAGCCCATCGGGCCTAACCCATTTGCCGAAGCCTAGGCTTCCCATAACCTACTCTTATCACCTAACCTAGCTATATTTATATGACTAAACTAACCTCTAAATTTGACCTATAGTTACTAGTAATTACTAGTAAAACTCCCCTAGAAGTTATATGACATGACTAGGTGGACTATAAAATCATGTGACATAACCAGGCGGGAGGGCCACCTGCTCACCTGGCCACCTACATACTCGAAGTAGCTCCCTGGCGAATTAGCCACCTGATCAGCCCGGCCAGCCAAAACATATAGTAAACAATGTCATTAGATACAACTTAAGTCCCTGAAAATATAGCTTCTGCTGGATATACCTCGAATGTAGGTGCCTTTGTAATACCATCCCAAATTTGATATCGCTTAGATCTGTTATTGCTGGAATAAAGAACATCATGAACCATATTTACTACGGGGTTTAGGGTGGCCGGTGCGCTGATGAAATACACTATATAGGAGGAACAATGTAACCCCACATTCCGAGACTAACTTGGGGCAATAGCTACAGCTTTTTGAGAGTTGGCATAGTCCAAACGGCTTGAAATTAAGCCCTCCCAACTTCCTAGATTGGTCTAACTGTTTTTCAACCCCAGTATTATCATTGACTTCCGCTGATTTGATTGAATGATTCCGAAGTGGAGGTGGAGGTATCCGTGTAGAAGGGTATAAAGCAGTCTTCGGGGCCCTAGTATTGTGGCATCGAAGAACAAGGCTCTGTTGAATACGCGATTGACAAGATGTGGCAACCTTTTTCTTTGGTGCCTCTGGCTTCTGTTGTTTTTGGCAGCTTCATGGTTTACGACCCCAGCGATGTTATCTCCTCTTCAGAGTGGGCTGCAGACAACGCCTATGTATTCGACTGGCATAGCTCGGGTGTGACGTACCAGGACATTGCAATCAAAGGTCCACATTATTACAGCGGCCAGAGAAAGCGAATCAGTCATGAAGTTCTGGAAAATCACACGAATGACACCAGCGTCCTTGTTGTGACTGAAGGGTCGACCGTGGATGTCGAGTACACGACAATTGTGAAAACTGGCTACTCTACCAGCTTAACTCAATCTAGCTTCTTTGGTGCGTCATCAGAAACTACTATTTCTTTCACAATTTGCGCACTAACTCAGTACTAGGGGCCAATGCAGCTGTCAATAATGCCAACGGCTCAACCCTTTACCTATCCAATGTCAATATTACCACACATAATGGTGCTGCAAATGTGTATACCCATGGAAACACGAGCGTTATATATGCCGAGAATATCTGGGCGTATAGCTCTGGCCCTGTATCTCATGGGTTCTATGCCTCGGGCAACGGTACCATCCACGCACAGAACGTCCACCACTATTCGGGTGGTACTCGGTGCTCTTCTTTCAGTGGCGATGTTCCCAACGGGTACATCCATGCAGAGAATGTGATTGCTCATACCGATGGTGTCGGATCAGCAATCTGCTTTTTACAAGGTGTTTGCAATATGACAAACGTGGTCGGATACGCCCGGAATGCCCCAATCATGTTCAGCGACGGTGCAATGGGGCCCGTTACCGGTATTTGGAAAGACTCAGATGTAACCGCTGGCTTACTAGCAGGGATTCTGATTTTTTCCGATTCAGCTATCGCGGATGGCTCGGTCACTGTCCTTGATAACACGAAGCTAACGGTGCTGGGAGACACGATGCCTGCTCTATGGGCTGGAAACATCATTGCGGTAGCGTATATCAAATCCTCCTCCATCAACAACACCGCATCAGGAATCCTTGCTGTCGCAAATTATTCTTCTGTCACACAAGACTTTGACTACTATGCTGGCTATGACGATAATAATGAACTGTCCCCGGCTCAGCTCACTATTCACGTGGAGGATTCCGACCTGTCTGGCTCTCTCATAGCGTTCAATAAGTCACTACTCAACTTCAACTTGGCAAATTATTCGAACTGGACTGGTGAGGTTAAGATAGGCTACGGAGAGTCCTATCTCGCAGTCCATCTGGATAATACTTCGAGTTGGACTTTGACTGGGAATTGTGCGCTTCAAAATTTTTCCAACGCCGATACATCACTGAGCAACATCATCAGTAATGGGTATAACATCACGTATGACACAAAGTCCCGGGCTAATTCAGCATTGAAGAGGAAGACATATAAGCTATCTGGTGGCGGTTTTCTTCGACCGGAGTAGACTTATGGATGTCAGACAGGGGATATGACTAAGGTGTAAGTATACAATAGCCTTGGGAGGACACAGAGAATGGCAATTTTGAATCAATGGTAACATGAAGCGAACTTATGTATCTTCTGACAGACTTTGTGCTCACTTCCTCTCTTTTGGAAAACGCCTTGCTATAAAAGCATATACTTCAGGGATTCACGCCTGTCTGCGGTCATGAAATGGTCTTCGGATTAGATGTGCACCCCAAATGAAGAACAGGACAGTGAATGTCGGCTTTGATGAATCAGTCAGAGCCTCGTACCTTCTACCGAGCTGGTATGACTACTCATAGTACAAAGAATACTCAAAATATCTTGGCTGATTTACATGAGACATCGAGTGCACGAAATCTTCTCTCAAAGAGCATTGCCATCGATTGCTGATAAATATAGACCCAACAGAAATGATTTCGTGTGAATAACAGTAGAATATGAGTTTATGAGTTATTTCCCAACTTCTAGTAACCACTGTACCCCGTTGACTGTATCTTCGGTCCTCCTTTGGACGTGCTGCGTCAATTGCGGATAAAATTCCCAGAAGTGATGAGGTAGACCAGGATACAAATCAAGACGAGTAGGAGTCGAATTCTCTTCGCGCAACACTTGCTCATATATCAAGCTATCATCTCGCAATACATCTAGGCCGCAGACCTGGAAGTATGTTGGAGGGATATCGCCGTGCCCTTTAGGGTGGTTAAAGGGAACCATCAGAGGGGAATTCAGATCAGGCTTATAGGCGGCTATGATGGATTGATAGATAGTCAGAGATCGGCTGACCATTTCCAGTGCAAGAATATGGGAGATGGAGGCTAGCTAAATAACATGCAGGTTTGTGGAGGGGGGAGCAGAGTGACTGTACGGAGACTTACATAGAAAGAGACGCACTAGGTCTGACGAAGGAATGGATACATCCTTATTCTCCTCTAGACTAACGTAGTCTGGACGATATTTTGCTGGGACGACAGGGGCTGGAAGTAAAGGCGCCACGCTAAGAAATTGCCCTGTCACGTGGACTGGGTGTTCCTGGTCGCGGTTGAGATAAACAACAGCATTGGCAATATTACCACCAGAGGATGTACCACCCACAAGAAGACCTGTATGAGGCGAGGCGTAACGGTGAATTCTGCTCGCATTGGCTGCCACCTGGGATGAGCGTCACATTGTCAGTATATTATTTCATGCTCAAGAGTGACAGTGACCCAATCGCTTGTCAAACAGGCAGAACAGGTAGAAATATAGAACGGAAAAAAAGATAGAGGTCTCTACCCATTGAATAGTATCAAGTCCGTCAAGAACAGCTGTTGGAAAAGGATGCTCTGGAGCGAGGCGGTATTCAGGGCTGACAACAACAGCTTTGTTTCTCAGGGCTATGGCGCGGTTGGACTCGAAATCATCACAACGATTGCCAATACAAAACCCACCACCATGGAAAAAAATTAAAATGGGTAGAGTCCTGTTGGTGATGACTTTCTCTGCAGGGCAATACACACGGGCAAGAATCGCACTACCGTCGCGTACAGGGATCTCGATGTCATGCTCTGAGACGTCAGGATGAAGGCCATGGGCATCACGATCGGCTTTCTTGGCTTCATTTGTGAAGTTGCGCAGGCTAATCACATCTATGCCGGGTGGTAGAGCTGGTTGGTCTTGGGTCGCAATCAACTATACATAGTGAAGAATTAGTCATCTAAGTCTGAAGTAGCGTTTGCGACACTCTGCCGATCGAATGGGGAAAATGATGGACAAACCTCTGCAAAATAAGGGTCTAGCAGAATGCCTGCCTCTAAAATTCCACTGCTAGGGGTCATTGTGCGAGTCAACAGGTGACCAAGGTAGCTATAGTACAAGCCAAACGGATACAGACATTCACAAGGAACACAGTGAACGGAGGAGACAACAACTTCGACTAGTCAACCGCCTATTATGACATAAGGCTGCCGCCTTTTGACTCTTTTGGCTCTTTCGGCTGTTTTTGCTGTTCTTCCCCGCGTCGGAGCCTGTCGGCGGGACCATCAGCATGGATGGGTAAAGTGGGGCAATACCGGCTTGCCGTAAATCAACCCGGTGAATGTGGGTTTGGAGTTGGGTACGACGGAACGCTCGCTAGGCCTATCAGCATTTACGGAAACCCGTGTCCCATTTCACGCTTTTCGGTTTCGCATGTCCCCGGTTAGAGAACAAAAGACGTGCCATCTCTCCCGAGAGGCTCATGCGGGCTTCCGACGAAAACCCCTCCTTTTCGAAGTCACGCGCCTGGTGGTTTACACACAAACTAGCTATATATGGGACCTCTCTTTCGTAGGAATTAATATACAAAGAACTAGGTTTATCTAGTCGTTGTCTAACTCACAAGTTGAGAGATGGTGGTGAGACATTGATCAACATCCAAATTGAGTAATGTGTTAACATCCAGTTTTGGCAGAAATTTGAAAGCCAGGTCGTCGTAATTGGAGCTGGTCCTGTTGGCCTGTTCACAGCCCTTGTGCTTGCGCAAGACGGAATAAATGTTTCAGTCATCGAGGCAGCTGAGGGCATCAATCAGTCACCCCGTGCTGTAGCGTGAGTTGGGTGCCTTATCCTCCTTGGCGATAAGTTAACTGACAATCCAAAGTTACTTCCCTCCTGTTCTCGAAGAATTTTCCAAAGCAGGGATTATTGGCGATGTAGTCACTGCTGGAGAGAAGAATGCAGATGGTTGTGACTGGAGAACAGCAGACGGGGCCATTATAGCCGGCATAGATCCGCCTCCAAATGACCCGAATTTTACCGTGTGCCTTTCTCAGCCAGATCTTGGCGAGATCCTGAGGAAGAAACTTTTTGAAACTGGAAATGCTAAGATTTTTTTCAATCAAGCTTTTCAACGGTTGGAACAACGAGATGGAATGGTTGTGTATTGGACTAAAGAGGGCAGCGACGTCACCGAACATATATGTCAATTTTTGATTGGAGCAGACGGCGGACGCAGCTCTGTGAGACAGGCAATTGGTATTCATCTCGAAGGTCATACAATGGAGAAGCTACAATTCATTGCTGTCAACTTCCAAAATGACCTACGGGAATCAGGATGGAAGGCAGCAAACTTCATTGTGGATCCCGTCGATTGGGGGATCGTTGTGAAACGTGGGAAGGGATCAAGCTGGCGGTTTGCTACAGGTGTTCAGACCGACGCCCTGAAAAAGGACATACTGGATGAAGCTACCATTGACGTGGTGAAGAAACGCTTGTGCCGAATACTGCCAGGAAACACCAGTAATATCCAGTATGAAGCGATAGTCCCCTACGCTGTACATCAACGATGTGCAACTCGTTTCCGCGATGGAAATGTTCTTTTAGCGGGTGACGCGGCCCATGTATGCCTTCAGTCAATTGGACCCACTGCTCATGAAACTCGTACTGACAGCCGCTCATAGCTCAACAACCCTGTCGGAGGCCTCGGTCTAACTACTGGTCTGCTTGATGCTGCCCATCTAGCCCAAGCTTTGAAACAAGTCCTCTTGCAAGGAGAGGATCTCGAAATTTTGACACGGTATTCAGATGTTCGGCGACGAATTTTCCTTGAGCGAACCAACCCTACAAGCACTTCTAATCTGATGAGACTTTACTCGCAAGATCCTGAATATGTTAAAGAGAGGGAGGAAACATTTGCCAAACTTGGAGATCCCAACGACTTTATCAGCAAGATGCAGATTGGGCTCCCAGATTTCTGTCTCACAAGTACATCTGACACAATCTTCGATACACAGGGTGAGGTCAGATGGTTCATATCAGTGACGCAGATTCCAGAATGGACACGGGAAAAGTTTGTGCACGAGTATAAAGTCGTCCACGCCGAAATGACTCGTAAGGGTGCCGAAAAGTCTCCCGTTATTCGTCAATACGTGCAACTTGAAAATTTGCGAAAGTCGGTCTCCAATACGGAAACTCCTCAATGGGATTACGTGACTTGTCTTACATGGCCAAGTTTGTTTGTGATCCATGTGGGATTTCAAAATCCAGACTATCGTGAAACTGCTGGCAAGCATATCTTTTGCCGACTGGATCAGGAAGGGTGCATTATGTCTCAGATGGATCAATACAGAAAAACCCCTGAAGCAGCTAAGCCAGCCGGAAATGGTACCATCCAATGTCTTATCTACCACAAGAGGCAGGATCCCGACGACGAATTTCCTTCTGAGTGGTTTTCAAATCGCGCTGCTATGTTGAAAAGCCTTGCAGCTTCCGATGGTCGACCACAAAATTATATTCTGTGGCGCGATGTGACGCCTAAGACTACAAACTACTTCCATGATTCGCAGTTCTCTGCAGGCTCCTGGCTTCAATACAAGGCACTTGAAACCTTGATTTTCGAGAAAGACGATGATGCTGTTTCGTTTTTGGAGCAGCACAAGAATGATGTCCTTGACGCTGGTGTAGGAAAGACCCAAACTGTTATTGGTGTTGCAGATTTTGTCCTTTAGCTCGCAATAAACAACTATATATTTGAATACCAAGGCCAGTGACGCAAACATTTGGAACGTTGGCATACGAGAAGTTGTGGCGTCAAGAATATTTAGATGCGCAAATATTTCCAATGGTCCATGTACGGGTGTTTTTATACCGAACGCACTTTAGCTAGCTAAAGATCAATCAACATGAAAAGGGGACTCGAGACACTATTCACACGGCTCACCGATGGAAGATTTTCATTTGTGTGACGTACTCACTATATTCTAAGATTATTGCCAGGTCAATCTTGGACTGGCAAGCTGGCACAAAATTTACCTTGAAGTTCGAATTGCCGTATGTGCTCTCCTACTTTTCAGCAAATAAGGCTGAGACTCGAGAGCCTCTAGTAATTTTCCTCGATAATCATATATTACGAATGATCAAGCTGTAAAATGTTAACTCACAGTGAGAGGATTTCTCGGTAGAATGATAGCAGAGTTTCACAGTGGTTTCGTGGATTGAGAAAAAGCCAGATACTCAACATCTGTAGCTAAGAGTAAGCTTATCCCTGAAACTCTGTCATCACTCCCCAAAGTTATCATCTAGAAACCAGTAAAGTAGCTTTGGATGGATTCTCATCGCTATGTCAGATGTCAAGCCTGGCAGTCCCAGTACTATAACTAAAAATGCAGATACGCACAGCAGCCAATAAACTGTCAGTGCACTGGAGATATCTACACATCCAGATACACCAGTACGGAGAGAGCTATTCCGAAGCTGTGGCCGCCAGTCTTGTGAAAAAGCGTGCGGTTTACTGTAGGGCAGACTACTGTAGGGCAGACTACTGTAGGGCAGACAAGCATTTGAAGAAGGACTGAATAACTGTGGCCTCGCCCTAAATCAGGTTATTTGAGTCACAGTGCATGTGATGGCAATTTTAGCTGCCTAGGCACTGGTGAACTTGACAAGGCATAGTCAGCGTCGAGTAGAGGCACAAGGCATTAGAGAGTTAAAGACCTGAACATCCTCAACATTATCCCCACACACCTTTCTGGGAGTGACTAATACTTGCGGGGTGTACGGGAATCTCATTTGTGGCAAGCATCAAAAAGGCTTCTCCTCGTATCTGCTGTATACCCAAAACCAAAGCGACAATGTGGATAGAAATATATAAATTTACAGTGGTCATCATTGGAAAGTTAAGAGCCTGTTCCTGCATCTCGTGCATCAATTTTAGTACAGCGAAATCCACCACTATGCCCATGTTCGGCCCACTAATTATTTCTCCCAGCCCGGCATTCCGGTAATTTTCATACTTTCTGGAATTGGTAAATTACAAGCTTGTAACCAGAACGGATGTTTAATTGTATTACTTGGCCGGGGAGGGTCCCTGAGGTTCTAATGGCTAAGCGGAACAGCCGCATGGCCGGGAAGCTACAATGCGGGCAAGCATGTGGAGCCGAGAAACTACTGGCTGGTCAGTAATTCTATAGTTCTGGTGATTATCTCGATATGCAAGCCCCATGCTAGACAAAAGTCTCTTCATTTACGTTATAGCCTATAAGTAGAGCTTCGTGTCCCAGCATATCGAGGCTTCAACACACAAAGTCACACAAGTCCAGTTCTCTCATCCTCCCGAGATGAAAGCCTCTCTTCTCCTGTCGCTTGTCTCGCTCGTTTCCGGGTCGATCATTATCGATGACCCAAGCGACATTCTTCCACAGCAACAATGGGCCTCTGACAATGCAATCAAAGCCGATTATGATGTTCCGGTGATATACTACCAGACAATCGCTAATGTCGCACCGTATAATGTCGCACACCAACGAAAGACATTTCAAAATGCAATTTTGAAAGGAAAGAGCAACGACACCAGTGTTTTAATTGCCACCGACGGTTCAGTTGTGAATGTGAAAGATACTGAGGTGATCAAGCTTGGATACTCCAGCAATCTCGTGCAGGCGAGCTTCTTCGGAGTGAACGCAGCAGTTCTTGCAGCCAATCGCAGTCAGCTCTACCTATCCGACGTGAACATCACCACTCACAACGGCGCGGCCAATGTTTACGCCTATGGCACTGGTACTCTCATCAACGCAGAGGATATATGGTTGTATAGTTCAGGGCCCACGGCACATGGCCTATATGCGAGCGGAAACGGTACAATCAATGCTAGAAATGTGCAAGTGTATAGTGGTGGAAACCGTTGCTCTGCCTTCTCTGGGGACAACCCTGCAGGGTATCTATATATTCGGGACTCTGTTGCTCACACTGGCGGAATCGGATCCGCAATCGGTTTCGTCTTAGGAGAGATGAACTTAACAAATGTGGTTGGTTCTGCGGACAGATCTCCAGCGTTCTTCACTATCGGTGGTGCTGTTGGATCTTGTACAAACTGTGATCTGACTGCTGGACTCCTTGCTGGCTTGATCATTTTCAGTTTAGGCAAGAGCTCGGGTGTCAATTACTTTTACTTGGATCACACCAGAATAGTGGTCAACCATGAAACCGCTCCGGCCCTATGGTTCGGTAGTGTTGTTGGGGAGGTATACGTCCGACATACCGAATTTGTGACAAACTCCGGGTTATTGGCAATAGCAAACTATTCCACCATCACTCAGGAGTTTGACTTCTATGGTGGATACGTTGACAACCCGAGCGCAATAAGCACAGCAGATGGCCGAGTGTATGTGGAAGACAGTACTCTGAATGGTGACCTCGTTGCCTACAATGGCAGTACCCTAGGGTTGCACCTTAGCGACAACTCATTTTGGACGGGCAAGGGCTACATTGGGTATGGAAATGCAGATTTGGGCGTGGCCTTGGATGCGTCCAGCATCTGGAACGTGACGGGCAATACGGCCCTCTTGAACCTGACCAATGCTGATGGCACATTTTCCAATGTTCGGGGCAATGGCTTTTCCATCACATACAATGACAGTGCACCAGCTAACTGTCCCTTGCGAGGCCGTACCTTCAAGCTGAAAGGAGGTGGTACTGTCTCACCTATTGCAAAGTGAAGCGAGTGCAAGGTCAAAGGCGGTAGGTGGTCGACCAGAACGACATGTCTTGAGAATTTGTGAATATTCATATTTAGATTCGCAGAACCAACATGTTCTTAGGCGAAATACTCGTACATTTCATGAAAAATGGCATTACAGATCAAACTACCTATGTTTATCGTTCCTGCATACCCGTATTGCGTACTCGTATGCTTCTTTGTTCCTGTCTCCTCTACCCTCCAATCCGTCCAGCACCCCGTGCGACATTTGCGGCATCTTATGTAGCCCACTGATACCCGCCAAGAGCCCACAAGCAGGCTCATGAAGCCTTAATCCCGCGATGTGTTGCAAAGAAACTCATAGCCCAACGTCTGATGTAGACATGTTGTTCTTTCGTCTTTTAGTAGCACTCGAAAACGACGTATTTTGAGATATCCCGCTTGGTGTTTAGCGAGGCTATAACCCCTTTTCTAAAGGTGGTTTGAATGATCGAAAGGTAACACAGGTGCTTTATTCGAGGATCTAGTGCATCGTCTACCTTAAGCAACAGGCCGAAACCATCAATACTTGGAGACATGTGGAGGTTTGGTACCAGATATCTATTATGATTTGAAATCAGAATCACCTTCGGTTGACACTTGGGCACTTTGTTTATCGGTCCGTGCCTGAGCTAAATGTACCCAAGTGGTACTACTGTGAAAAGAATCTTCCCAAGAGTGAATCTATTACAAAGTAATATAGAACAACCGCGGCCATCAGATATCTCACTGTACACTGCATAAAACCTAATACCTCAGTATCATTCCTTTTTCAGCACTACTCTAAGGATAGATCATATTCCAGTTTGTTATGTTTAGTCCTTCCCTCAATTATATTCTATGCACACTATGAGCCGTTGACCTACATTTTACAAGACCATTTAGTACGTTTCACTTAGCACAGGTTCCAAGGTTTTTAATTCTTCGTAATACTCAAGTTTTGTATACAAACCCACAGTAAAGTGCCGTACATAGGTTGAAAATTCCCTCAAGCAGCAACTCCATCTCTTTAAAAAACCCGATTGATCACTCGTTAATACTATTGTAATATCAATGCCCAGAAGAAAGAAAGGTGAGACACTCTACTCGCAGTAGGCAAAGGTTGTAGTATAGCCCAGCATGAGTAATATAGCTTTTAATGTGATGAGTCAAGTTTCACTACATATGGAACTAAAGAGTGACGTCTTCGTGCTCCATCGATAGATCGTGATCGTTGGATCCAAAAGCATAAAAGAACCAGATCAAAGCAAAGCACACAAAAGCCCACACTAACTGATTCATGTGTGAGCCCTTCTGTGCTGGTGACATCGTCTTTGTCTTCGGCAAGGATAGCCTTTCCAGGGTATATGCTTGATTCGAAAGCCACGGGAAGTCCTCTGCTCGACGTTCGTTCGGCATTTCGTCTAGGACTTTTATGATATTGTGGACTAGAGAGCTTTCGACTCGTAATTTGTGGAGCTCCTCAATGGTGAGTCCGCTGAAGACGAGACCTTTATAGAGTCCCAGGAGGCAAGTTTTCTCACGAGCCGATGTGATTCGATTAAAGCCGAAGTCATTAATAACGTCTTTATCGGTAGGTAAGGTGTCAATGACACAACTTTGATATAGAGACTCGGTGCTGTTCATCATGAATTGATTGACGGAATATTGATGCAGAGGTGAAAGGATGATCGAATAATCCCTTGTAAGAGATATGAGTATCTCTGACTGGAAAACTGTTCTCACCTACGGAAGTGGCTGATTAACTTGACCTGGAAGGAAGGGTCCTGCAGATCTTAGCTTTCACAATAAGTAGCCCACGGGGGAATCTGCAAGGGGTGCTACCTTCGGATTTCTCCTGTTAACCCTTGCATGATCTACCTATTCTCTCAGTACAGACCGAGAAGTAAAGCGTCAGTGTCGAGGCCATACTGTCTTGAAATTCAATTGTGATTTAGTTGATGCATTGAATCATAGCTAATGTTAACAAACTGTAAGTCAAATATACATGGGGTATTGAATTTTCGTCGTGAATGTCATGGCAAGTGCAATCAAAAGGTGGGAATGAAACTCTGTGAGTCTTTCTCTTGCTGGCTGAAGGACTGGGGGAATGCAGCGATTCCGCCAATGATTCCGATAGCCATGAATGCAAGAGAGATGAAGGACCAGATGACACCCCAGCATTGTGAAGATCCTCCGTATTTCTTGGCGAACACGCTAGCATCAGAACTGTTGACTTTGCGGAGGATGAGATCGTCGCACTGTATAGCTTGTTAGTTGATGCAATCAAAGGTCAGAAGAGAATAAACATACAATATCCCACACGCTATAGAGAGAAGACATGACACCGATGAAAAGCTAACGATGATAGTCAGTATAGGATAAGAACGCATACAGGAGTCGGTTCAACTTACCACGAACCACCTCAAGGCTTCAGCATGGGCGATGAACCAGCAAGCAATCAACAAGCCGATCGCAAGCAGAATAGTCCCAATAGTCAACCAATCTTTCCGCGCCCACCAAAGTGTCAAAAGAAAGCAAACTCCCAAAACGAAGCTCGCAACTTTGCTAGCCACGATATCGAATCCAGCGAAGATCAAAAGAGCGCCGATGATGGACGATCCCAGATATCCCGCCGGTAGAGTGATCGCAGACATTCCACCTCGCATATGAGTGACGCCTCCTTCATGGGGATCAAGCGAAATAGATTCAACCCTTCCACCTGTGCAGCATGCTGTGATCGCATGTCCGAATTCATGGAAAGCGATAACCAACATCTGTTTTTGTTAGCTAGGTGACAGTTGGCGCGCATGGAGCCTGCTTACCTTGAAGGGCCATAGTGAGTAGCGAAGGTATGGCAGGTTCCAGAGTAGTGCGATAACAACCACATAGACAGCCATGATACCTAGCGTTATTGCCTGTGTATGGTCGACGCTTAGGCTGCGTTGGGCAAGGTGCGGGGCCATGGCCATGTGGGCCCGTTCGTCCAGGGCCGAGTAGAGAGCCGGCATAGTGAGAAGACTTTGTAGCGGGATACCTTCGACAACAGGATGAGGGAAATAAGGCTAGATCTGGAGGTAATTTGAGGACCCCAAAACCTTTAATATTGCGGTCGGGAGTCTTCTCAGTTGGACGCGTCAGGAATGGACGCGCATGCCATCTTGGCGGTTTGTTTTGTGTGTGGCGCTGCGTCTGTGATAGGCTGGTTGTGTGGCTGGGTTTCCCGCCTTCCTATTTTTAGTGGACGGAGTGGGTCACAGGGCTGGCAAAGCCTCAGGGACACGCCCATTGTTCGAGTTTAAATTGTGGTCAACTTTGGAGCCTTGGATTGCGTGTTTCAAAACACTGGTCTTATTTCGCTTATTTAACTCACAGCGCCTTGTAGCTTTTCAACTCAACGGATTCTGGATCTTGCATGAAATATATATATATTTTTTTCTCAGTAAGAGAGCAAAGGTTTGAAATTCCTGCGTAGTCATTGCCAAGCTCATATATCTCAGGACGAGTAAAGGGTATAGTTGCAAGTGGGGCAAGATGAATCCAGATCCACTGTCGCAGGATAGGTATCCTCACCATATGTCGAGTTCAGCGAAATAGCGCCTGAAATATCCCCGGACTCCAGTCGAATCCAAGAATCAATCACGCTCTTCTTCAACTTCTCCTCGGACACAAGAATCTGTCTCGATCCACGAATCCAACTTCCATACCCTCCATATCCAGAGTGCTGTCCAAAGCAAAGATTGACACCATTACCCTTGACAGACATGCCGGAAATCAGACTATCCCACTTGTAGCACCAAGTATCACCGTGATCGTGACCCGAGAACACGGCAAGGACACCAGGCGTATCAACAAGAGCTTTCATGAATGGCACATCCTGTCCACCGTAAACACAGGTGCTAGCATCGCTGCCGTCGGCACACCATCCCTCACCCTGTTGCGCAAGGGTGTAATCATCATTGATACCCGGTTCACGGTTCAGATTGATCCCAATCTCCGTCTGCGCGGCTAAGGACGCATTCGTGGGAATATGCACGAAAACAAGAGATGGGATCTCCTTGTGATACTTCTTAACAAGGTCCGCATTAGTCTTCTTCCACCAGTTCACAACGCTGACATCAACCCAGTTCGGCTGAGCAACCTCATCTCCATTTGAATCCAGCTCCTGGTAATAATAGCCACCGCGGCTATCAAAGAACCAAAGCAGCAGCTCGGGTGTAGAGCTCTCGTCCTTAGACCCATAGACAGGGAGGTAATAGTTCGAAACACCAGCCTCGCGACCGGAGACCATCTGCTTAGTTCTCGAATTAGGCCAGCGGTGCTCCCGAGCTAGAATCGCTTCACGGGAGAGGTTGTAAGCACTATCGTGATTACCGTAGGTAGAGGCCCAGGTCAAACCACGATCAACGAGTGGGGCGACGATCTCATCGATGTAAACAGTGCTGTTCTCCAGGAATGCATTGTCGCCAGTAATCAAATCGCCGTTGAGAACGACCAGGTCGGGCGATTCAGCGTTGAGAACTCGGTTGATTACAGCCACGGAGTTAACGTCTTGTTCCGGACCCCATGTGTCCCAAGCATCTGTCATAAGTGTTAATCTTGCACATCGATCTTGGACACGGCCCTGTGCGGGTGGGACTTACTCTCTCCGAAGTGAAGATCTTCAAGAATCGAGATCTGGAAGGTGCCATCCTTGGCAAACTTGAGGGGTACAAATTTCTTTGAGACTGCGCTCTGCAATGATGGCAGAGCGAAGAAGGATATAGCTGCTAGAGTTCGCAACATTGTGTTGTTTACTTTCTTCGGTCGGACATATTCTCGCTTGAGAATGAAGGACTTCTGTGCTGTTTATATTTTTCATTTCCATACTAGCATCGTGTTCCTAGCTATCTCGGCAAAATCGGGTAATTTGATTATTTTGATCCAATGATCCATCATTTCCCACGTGCTCGTGATGATATGACTCTATGGGTCAGGGGTTGTGAAGCGGACAGGGGTAGACAAGCACTTAGTGGGGCAGACCCGTCAACTTTCGGCACGGCATCCTACTAGAGCATACCATTGGCCTCTACTTTGGCACTTGACGTGCATTTCATGTTGCCGAGCCTTAGCTTGATGTTAAACACTCTGGGGCTAGGGGCTTGCAGACTTGGAACCATGGCTTTATCTGGAGACTCGGAAAAGCAAACATTAACGCGAAGAGCATTCAGGCACGAAGAGAGTGGCTCAATAAATGCCTCTGGCATTCTTGTCCATTGGCATAGCATCCAATCGCACGCAGTCAGATCATATGCATTGCGAACGACTATTTTCACATGGCGTGGTGGATCAATCGGCATCGGCCCGGCAAGGATTATCGTGAGCTATCTCGGTTTCCCGTCAGCATCAATTGCCGGCCGATGGCTTTTCGTCACTACTCTCGTTCGGCTGCGTTTTGCGCGCTTCCAAGTTTCTCACACTGTTCTGGAACTCAATCTCATTCTGTGGATACCAGTGTAGCAGTGGCGTTTGGCGAGGTCCAATAACGAGAAAAATAAATTATTTTGTTACTAACAGATTGTCCACGTTGAAGCTCTGATATCCTGAAACGTCGCGTGAATTCAACAATTGAGTTTTATATCTAACGGTGTCTGGTGAAATTAGACGAGCCTTGGTGGGTGGAGGGAATTTTATCAGCTGCATATATTTGCCCTACGTGCCGAGACGGACGGGACTCCAAGCTTCGATCTCGTCTTCCCGTAAACACCTTCAGCTCTCTTCGCCTGCCTCATACAAACCTAGGGAATAAAAGACTAGGGGAAGACACGAAAGCTAGAAACAAATCACGATGATGCCGTTGTAGTCCCCTCTAGTAATGTATATAAACAAGGCTTGGCACTACGAATGAGATTAACTTTAGGTTGCCAAGTCCTCCAAACCAAACCACTTAGCTCGTAGACAAACTGGGGGAAGTGGTATAGTGACAACATCCGTGGATGATCCAGATCCAAATTTCTGTCATGTAGCTTACCAAGGAATCAGATGTTACTATGAGGCTACTTCAATAGAGCAGACGGGCGGGATAAAAAACGGCAGAAAGAAAGTCAAATAGAGTCGACTGGGGTAATGGACTCTAGGAGCCCCGGTGTAGGAGTTTGTACTATCTCTGTCCTGTTTCCCGGTGAGATTTTTCCTCACGTTGGTGGTTCTTGTACGTTCCTATGTACATATTCGCTTGAAACATTGCAACCCACTCTTTTCTTTCCTCGATTGCTTCATCAAACCCTATCATTGAGCTTTACTTTACCTCGTATTTTGTTCCGCAATGCATGTCGGTGCTTATAAATCATAGTTCTGCGGCATTCAAGTAGCCCCCGCTCGATACCCCGATGCGACCCTGACCCCGCAAAATAGGCGGGGATTGCGATCAACACTGGAAAGCCACAACGTTACTTCCACCCCACGCGATGAAAGCCCGAGCCCGACGCTTTGATACAAATCGTGGAGCTTGCTAGTCGGCATTTGAGGAATGTGGAGAGCTGCGTTCGGCAGCAGCCGCCTTGCCTTTGCAATGACATAAATCACGTTGCTCCCGGCTTTTGATCAAAAGAACGACTGTGGTCAAGCTAGGCTTGTCAGAAACAGCTAGGAAAAATGAAGGCATTTTTTGGACCTTTGCCATTTATCTTTGGTCTCTCTGGGGGTGTTTCCGCCCAGCCAACGCGTCAATGCGGTACCTGCGGCATACGGGACACATCCCACTACCATGACAACGCGGGAGTACTTAATTACGTCAATCCTCTCATCGGCACATACGGTGTATCCCCAAACAGCAATGGCGGAATGATTCCTTCAGTCTCCCCTCCTTTTGGGATGACAAGATGGACACCACAGACGCGTGAAAATTATATCTCCCAATGTCCCTATGGTGATAGCGACCGTCTCATTCATGGATTCCAAGCTACACATCAGCCGGCTATCTGGATGGGTGAGGCGGGTCAGGTTGTTTTGACACCAGGGATGGGTGAAGTCCAGCCGCTATTTGTCAATCGCGGACTTGCGTTCCGAAAAAATGATGAGAAAAGTACACCTTACGTTTACGAGGTGGTTCTAGATGCGATGCAACTTCTGGGTCGGGATTGGAATGCTACGGCTGAGTACGCGCACGATGGTCCTGATCCCGGTGGTGCTGGTACTGTGGCCAAAGATGTTGAAGAGGGTGCGAACGGTCGGACAAGAAAAAGGAGCGACAGGCAGATAGGCATGTCCTCCGGCACGGAGGCGCGGGAAGATTATCAGCGGTCGATTCGGGTCGCTATGTCTGCTGATTCTCACGCTGGACATCTTCGATTCGACTTTGAGGATTGCACTAGTGCGGCAGAGAAGTTGGAGCCTTGGGTATTCATTGAAGCTTCTCGTCGCAATTGGACTGGTGAGGTTCACATTGATCCTGCAACAAGGGAGATCTACGGCTACAACACGGAAAGACAGGACTATCTGCTTGGTCCAGACCATGCATCGTCATTCAAGGGATACTTTGTCTCTCGATTTTCAGAGCCCTTCACGAAAAGTGGTGTCACCGAGGGAAACACCACTTTCGAAGGCGAAATGAACAGGACTGGAAAGTTTACTGGTGCCTTCGTGAAGTTCAACCAAAATGTCACAGCCGTGGAGGTTCGAACGGGTGTCTCATACGTCAGTGTCGAGCAGGCGCGTCGCAACTTGGGAATCGAGACGCCCAATAACGCCTCATTCGAAGATACTGTTGAACACACTAAGGACGCATGGCTCGAGAAGCTAGGACGTGTGACAATCGAAGGTGTCAACAATACGGATGCAGACCATGATCCGCGTAAAATCTTCTATACAGGGTTGTTTCATGCATTGCAGTATCCTAGCGACTTCTCTGAACCGGTCTCTGAGGATGGCAAGTTACGTACCTTTTATTCCGGATATACGGACAGCATTCACACATCCAATGACTCCTACTACCAGTCCTGGTCTATTTGGGATACTTATCGAGCCGAACACTCTTTGCTCACTCTATTTGCGCCAGAACGCGTCAATGGCATGATGCGGTCACTACTAAAAGTCTTTGACTGGTCTGGCTGGCTACCCATGTGGGCCAATATAATCGAAACCAACATCATGGTTGCGACAAACGCAGATGTTGTACTTGCCAACGCATTGGAGCGTGGATTCCGCGACTTCGATATTGCCAAGGCCTGGGCTGCAGTCAAAAAGGATGCGTACACGCCACCAATTCATGACGTAGAGACGCTTTACTATGATCGTGAGCCTAACACTTCATATGAGGTGAGGGCTGGACTGACCGCCTATATGAAGCAAGGATGGGTATCCAATGATGGCTGGTCAGAATCTGGAAGCCGGACTTTGGACTATGCGTATGACGATTACGCATGTTCTATCGTGGGCGTTCATGCCGTGGCCGATAACGACACAATTACTGCCCTCCGTGCTCGAAGCGGAAATTATGCAAACATCTGGAACAACGAAACACAGTTTATGCAGGCACGCAACAAAAATGGGACCTGGGCGAACAATACATGGGGCTGGACTGAAGGTGATGACTGGGTCTACACATTCGACGTCATGCATGATATTGAGGGCTTGTCTAAGCTTTTCGGTGGTCGGGAAGCCATGCGTGATAGACTGGATATATACTTCCAGGACGGACACAACGACCAGACCAACGAGCCGAGTCACCATGTTCCTTACATCTACTCCGTTCTTGGCTATCCCGACCGATCTGCGGAGACAATCCCGAGCATCGCTTGGGAGAACTATAATGCTACAAGTGGTGGACTCAGTGGTAACGATGACCTAGGTCAGATGAGTACATGGTATATCTTCTCAGCACTCGGATTCTATTCAGTCAACCCGGCAAGCGCTGAATATGTTGTTTCCACGCCATTCTTCGAAAAGACTACCATCCGCTGGCCAGCTGAAGCTGCTACCGGTGGTGAGGCCACACCCGGGCCAGACAAAACTCTTGTCATCAATGCTCCTGGGGCACTCAACAAGCCATACATCAAGGGCTTGAAAATAGCCGGAAAAGAGGTGGATCTGCCGAGATTAACACATGCCGACATTTTGAATGCCGGAACAATTGACTTTGAAATGAGTGACACTCCTACTTCCTGGGGAACCACCCCTGCGTGGGAGAAATGAGGTCATTCGCTGTACATATCCCCCTCGGCTCTTAGCTAAGAACCTTGGAACCAGGTACTTTAGACTCTTTATTGCTCCACATCGATCACATTTTAGTCACGAAAACCGGCACCTTGGGTACTAGTGCCGAATATAAACTAAATGGGTCAACCCAAGACGAGAAGGAGCTTCGGAAAAGGCGCTATCTTCCCGTCGTGCGGCATTTTCCATGCCATTTTAGCCGTTAAAGGCGTGCTTGGCGGCGACCAACGACAAGAGGAAAATCGAAACACCGGCGGTAATGCGGAGTCCCCAGCTCCACACCTCGTCAGTGGCAGAAGCCCGTAATGTGAGATCAAAGTCAAGATGATCGGGTTGTCGGCATGCCGACCGGGCGAAAATAGTTCGAATGACTGATCAACTCGCGGAAAAATTTCCTGCCAAACGGTAGTTCATGCATTCGATGCGTGCAGATTCTTCATCTGGACCCTCCTTCTCGAATCTGGGGACGGCAATTTGTTTAAGAGGGGAAATCGGGAGTCTTCCGAGCGGAGACCTCGACACGACCCGATGGAGTCGCCAATTGTGGGGTTCATGGCGCCACCAGCCATTCATACACCTTCTGACATGACCGGACGAGCTGATCGTCATTAAACACCGGGGATTCAAGGAGAACATGCCAATGATTGGGTTATTTGTGACGTAGGGGAAACAAAATTTCCGAGTGGGTCGCTTTAACTGTCATCTGGGGAGTTCTTCGGTAAATTCGGAGAGGGTTCTGGGGCTTAAAAGGTAAGCAATGGCCGTTTGTTTTTCGTTTCGATCGACATCGCTCAAACCTCAATTGCAAGATGATCGGGTTAAAAAGTTTGATCTGGACAACCCTTGCGGCGTCAGCCGTCGCGGCGCAGGCACCATTGGACCTTGGAAGTGGCTTTAGTCTCTCCGTTAACCAGGATGCCAACCACCTGGCAGTGACTGGTCATAACCAGACCATCTGGGAGACTGTCCCTGGTGCAGCCTTCTTAAGCGCGAGTGCGGGACTCGATGAGATTGTTGATTCCAGTGGAAACTTCAAGATTACCGACATTGACAACAACAAGTGCACATCTGAGCGAATCACTCGTGTTTCACAGCGCGCATGGAAGGATAGTGTCAACGGTCACGCTGCAGTCGTGCAAGGCACCCTGTCGGGATGTGGAAACGCCACCGCCGGATTCTCGCTAGCCCTCTATGTTCCTTTGGAGTTCCCTGACCGCGTTGCTTTCAGCATCAAGGTCAACCCCAGCTCGGACGGTGCCCTGACCAAGCTGTTCTTCACCTACGCCTCCTCGCCGTCTGAGGACTTCTACGGTCTTGGTGGGCAGGCCTCATTCGCGTCGCTGAAGAACCAGTCTGTGCCCATCTTCTCTCGCGAGGGTGGTGTTGGCCGTGGTGACCAGCCTACTACCGAGCTCGAGAACGCCTACAGCTTCTTCTCCGGCGGTGACAAGTACAGCACCTACTCTGCTACTCCCCAGTACATCTCTTCGAGTGCCCGTGTATTCCACTTGACCGAGGAAAGCACAGCCTATGCCAACTTCGATTTCCGCGATGCCAATGCCGTTACCGTGCGTTATGCTGCGCTAAACGTCGATGGTTACTTTATGCAGGCTAGCAACATGCTTGATGGAATTACCATGCTTACTGAATACACTGGTCGCATGCCTGAGCTTCCCAAATGGGCCGACAGCGGTGCTATCCTCGGTATTCAGGGTGGTCAGACCAAGGTCAACCGCATTGTCAACTGGGGTTTGAACAGCTCATGCCCCATTGCCGGTGTCTGGCTTCAGGATTGGGTGGGTACCCACACCCAAACTGCTTCCTACCTGAATGGTCTCACTGTTTCTCGTCTGTGGTGGAACTGGGAGGCTGATTCCGACCTCTACCCTACTTGGAACAAGTTTGTGCAGAATCTGCGCGATCAGCACAACGTCCGCACCCTGTCGTACATCAACCCCTTCATCGCCAATGTCAGCTCCAAGCCTGATGGCTACCGTCGCAACCTTTACCTTGAGGCGACTGAGGGTGGCTTCATGATTCAGAACTCCACCATCAACGACACTGCTGTTATCTCCAGTGGCCCTGGTATTGATGCTGGAATTGTCGATCTCACCAACCCCGCTGCCTGGGCCTGGTTCCAGGATGTCCTGACTGAGCAGGTTTGGAGTGCCAATGTCTCTGGTTACATGTGCGATTTTGGAGAGTATACTCCCGTCTCCTCTGACACCAAGTTTGGCAACAAGAACATCGATCCTCGCTTCTACCACAACCAGTACCCCCGTGACTGGTCTGTGATCAACAACCAGCTTCGTGAGAACGTCTCTGCCGTTGCTGATGCGCTCATCTTCCACCGCTCATCCTCCATGTCATCTAACCGCAATATGAACCTATACTGGGTTGGTGACCAGAACACCAACTGGGGCGTCAACGACGGAATCAAGTCTGCCGTCACTGTGCTGGGACACATGGGTCTCTCCGGCTACGCCCACGGTCATGTTGAGATTGGTGGTTACACAACCACCTGGGACAGCAACGGCATCGTCAACCGCTCCGCTGAGCTTTTGGGTCGTTGGGGAGAACTGTCCGCCGTTTCCAGCGCCGTCTTCCGCTCGCACGAGGGTAACGTTCCCGAAGTGAATGCCCAATTCTACACCAACGCCTCCACATACGCATACTACGCCTACAACGCTCGCATGTTCGCCAGTCTGGGCCCTTACCGTCGCCAGATCCTTGACACCGAAAGCAAGCACCGTGGCTGGCCTCTTGTTCGCATGCCCGTTATCTACTACCCCAATGATGTGAAGGCCAAGCAGATTAGCTACGAGAGCTTCTTCCTCGGTGCTGACTTGTATGTTGCCCCCGTTTTGGATGCTGGCCGCAAGAGCGTGCGCGTTTACTTCCCTGGTCCGAGCGAGACGTACACACATGTCTGGAGTGGGATGACTTACAAGGGTGGTCAGACTGCCACTGTGTCCGCTCCTTATGGCAAGCCTGCTGTCTTTGTTGTTGGTCAGCCTAAGCACAACAACCTGAAAGACTTCTTCGACTTCGTTCGCAAGGAGAACGGAACTGTTATTCATGTCTAGATGATATCATATAATGTGGAATGTGGATAATGTTTTCTTAATACAACTTTATACTTGACTTCAAAATTGATGTTTCAATTCCTCAAATAACCCTTCCGAGACAAACTTATGTAAGTAAATGTTGTATGATGATCCCCCACCTGCACAGATCGACATATCATTAGTCTGTCTCGGGCAAAATTCCGACGGAGAAGGTTTGCCCGAGACAGTGATCTGCATGAGGCATGCCAAACTATATCGGCATGAACCGCGATAATGGTTACATTTCTCCTCATTCTTCGGTCGGATCTCCGTGCCACCCGTCCAGTAATGTTCCGAGCTCTAATCAGAACAACCCCGCTTGCATTTATCCAGGCTGGAAGGGCTAGTGCCTCTATGTAGGTATATATCAAGACCCTGAGGCATCTACGGGCAAAGCAGTAGCACAACACCCGTTGTGATCCAACATGCCTTCAAAATGGTCTATGATTTCACTTCTGCAATACGCAGTTACATTCAACCCCATCACGCCCACACAGGCTACTTCACGTGAGCAAAAATACCACATCGAATAAGGCTACTATGTCAGAAAGCTCCTTTCATTGACCACGTTGCTACAGTTGTTCCATTTGCATATGATCCTCTCCCTTTGGGCAGCATCACTGCCAACGGATGGCTAAAGACAGAACTTGAAACCTCCGCTGCGGGTCTGGGAGGTCATTTATACGACTTTTATCGATTCGTCGCCAATTCATCATGGATAGGTGGAGACCAGGAATATAGTGATCTGAACGAGGCACTGCCGTATTGGGTCAATGCACTTGTTCCACTTGCGTATACCACGCACGATGAACGTCTGAAAGCACAAGTCCATGTTATCGTTGATAATGTGCTCAGTCGGATTCAGCCGGATGGATGGATTGGCCCGGAGACGTTGGAGAGTCGAGAACGGATGATCTGGGCGAGGACATTACTGTAAGAAGCATATTCTTGTGGAGATCAATTCGAATGTGTTGTGAACTGATATATTGCAGATTCCTCGGATTGATGAACCTTGCTGATGCAAATTCAACTTATGAGGCTCCCATCGTAGATGCAATGCTCCGGTTTAACGGGCTTATGAATACCATGCTTAAGGACAATGGAACAGGGATTATCTGGCATGAGGGCGATAAGCCTAATGTTGATGATTTCCTGTGGTTTCGTTCCCGTGTTGAGGACATGATGGTTAGCGTGGAGTGGCTTTTGGACTTCCATCCGGGGAATGAAACCAAGATACTCAAGGAAAATCTTGAAATGCTTCATGAATATGGGTATAAGTGGGAGGGATGGTACACCGAGCAGAGCTATATCAAGGAGGACTTTTATGATTTGCCTCAGTCTGTCACGGACGATCTGTGGCAGTTTTTGCATGGAGTGACTATTGCTGAAGGTAGATCTGCGAAGTCCAGAAAGTATCCACGCCGGATGTTGTTGACAAATTGCAGGTTTGAAGTACGCTGCAGTCGTGAGACGCTTCACCTCCAACGACAGCCTTTTGACGACCGCCAAGAATGGCGTAAGTCACAATTAACACGTCAGTCCAATACCATGCTGACTTTTGTAGGTTGACTGGACATTCAAGTATCACGGAGCGCCAAGTGGTACAATTCTTGCAGATGAACGAATCGACGGATTAAATCCATACTACGGATCGGAGCTTTGCACACACGTCGAGACAATGTATTCTCTTGCATACAACTACTTCGCAATTGGCGACCCGGATTATGCAGATCGAGCTGAGTTGACTGCCTATAACGCCCTCCCTGCTGCTCTGATGGGAGATTGGTGGAGCCACCAGTATATGACCGAGCCCAACCAGCCATTCTCTAAGAATCTATCAGCTACACCATTCTATGATGATAACACTCAATCTAACACGTTCGGTCTCGAGCCCAACTACCCCTGCTGCACTGTGAATCATCCCCAAGGATATCCCAAATTCGTCCTTTATTCGTTTGTGAAGAAGGGAAAAACCGGTCTCGTACACGCCCTGCTCAGTCCGGGCAATGTCCATACGGAAATTGGCGGAAAGACGGTGTCTATTGATTGCGAAACGGATTATCCATTCGCGAATACCCTTTCCTACACGATTAAAACCGACACCGACTTTGACTTCTACCTTCGCGTGCCAAACTGGGCGACGGAAATATCAATCCAAGGCCTTGCCAAGCCATCAACAGACCCGAAAACCGGATTAATGCAGTTCAGCATCCCGGCTGGAACGACAAAGTTCACTTACACACTCGGCATGGAGACAATGACGACCCCTCGGGCCAACGACACGGTCGCAATCTACAGAGGTCCCCTCTTATACGCACTATATATCAAACCCGATATCTCATCCGGCCCCCCGAAATTCTATAACAATCAATCAGAGTACCCGGCTGGTACATACCCACCCCAGGCCCAGGATCATGTTCTTCTGAACACCACCGAGTGGAATGTCGCCATTGATCCGACTACATTGGAATACAACGCTGGTTCTGGCCCTCTTCCTGAACCTACGTTCCAAGATGGTGCACTGCCTATGTACATGACTGCGAAGGGATGTTTGATTTACTGGCCAATGTTTCTTGGGGCTGTTCCGGGCTCGCCTATTCCGAAGGAGGATAGGGTTTGTTTGGGTGATGCTTTCAATGTTACACTGCGGCCCTACGGGAGCGCGAAGTTACATATGTCGGAGATTCCTACAATTGACCTCTCTGGGCAGTAAGAGGTGTGCTCGATGGAATGTTGTGGAGGGTAGTAGTTGGAATAATGGAGAAAGGGGACCATGCATTTGAGCACGTGCCTACGCTTGAATATAAGTAACCAACTTAGGTAAATCTTTACGAGTCAGGGACTTGAATTAAAAAAAAGGTCCTATTGTCGGAGATGATGTGCTGAGTATGTATCCACGATATAAAAAGTAGTAGGTCAAATGCTGACAATCAATTGTCTTCACGACAAAGTATCCTTGATCGGATCCTTCTCGGCTCCCTCAATCTGCTTTAAAAACTCCTCTGCAGCATCAGGGTTATCAGCGAAGATATGTTCCGCAACCACCCGGCGTGGGGTCTCCCCAAGCCACTGGAACAGCGAGAAGTCCTGGAACTTGTCCGCACGGAAAATCTCCAACACCTCAAGCGGCTCTTCATCGCTCAGGTTTTCAATAAAATGTCCCATGTTGCGAGGAACAATACCCACATCACCGGCCATATAATTAAACGTGCGGGCATTTCCCTCCGCAGCAAAAACGGTCACGCGAGCACGACCTTTCTTGAAATACGTCCACTCATCCGCGTTGGGGTGCCAGTGCATTTCACGGAGCGCACCTGGGGCGATTTCTAGGTGCGCAGCTGCCACTGTCTTCGAAATCGGGAAATTGGTCGAATCTGTAATTCGAACAGCCCCACCACTTGTGTTGATGGGGTCTTGTGCGTGCATGTGATGGGTGAACTGGAGTTTGCTCTTCTGGAAGCCGGGAGGTTTCTCGCGGTCAATTGTGTCTGGAACCGTGCCCTTGAAGATGTACTTTTCGGATGGCGGGATGGAAAGGAACTTTTCTGGTTTGACCCGGAAGTTCTCGGCCAGAACTGATTTCGGGGTATGAGCTGTAGTTTCTGTTAGCAGGGACTGTGAATATACTATTTTTACCTGAACTTACCCAGCCAGTCAGTCAGTATGAATGTTGATTCTTCGGAGAAGTTGCCATCGTCGAATATCAACAAAAATTCGGTACCGTTGGGACTCAGACCTTGCAGGGAGTGAGGAAAGCCTGCTGGGAAGTACCACAGGTCACCTGCTTCAAGGTCGTCGATAAAGCTACCGCCGTCCGGATCTAATGCGGTCACTCGGACATTGCCTGCAAGTACATACGCCCTTCAAAAGTTAGTTTGCGTCGGAAGAGAAATTGCGTAAATGAGTGATCTTACCATTCTGCCTCGGTATGCCAGTGGAGCTCGCGATAAACGCCCTCATCCAAGCGCATGTTCACACCGGCCAGCTCGCGGCTTGTTGGCAGTTCACGGATGGTTGTTTGCCTCGTCCATCCTCCCTCCTAAAAGCACGTAAGTATCAAGTCATAGAACCAGAACAAAATGCCTTACCTCAATGCGCACGTGCGAATCGGCAAAACTCCATCGCATATTCGACATGCTGCCATGATCCGTGCTCGGAGGACGCACAAGATCGGGATTCTGCTTCTCACGGTCTATGTTCCTGGGTCCCTCAATCGATGCTCCATCACCACCACGGTAAGGTAGAGGGTGTCGGTCATCCCCTACCGAGTCAACTTTATGGTCAAACGGGTCACGATGTCCTGGAGTATAGGGAGGGTTGCCAAGGCCGAGGACATCCTGACTACGTCCAGGAGGGATCTGTAGAAGCCTCTGAATAGCCGAATCGGGAGCAGGAATACCCAGCACAAGATTAGGAAGCAGCTGCAGTAACGCAAAGCACTTAACCGAAAGTATATGCATTGTGAGAGACGTGGTACAATCTACGTTGTACAAGGCCAACGGTTTTTAAGGTCCCGACCCCGCACGCAAAACAAGTGTATATTTAGCGTGTACGTCAAGCATTTTCAACCTCCGATTCATCCGGCTGTTGCCTGGTGACTTTGTCAGATAAATTAAATTAGCTTCTCATGTCGTAATCAGGAAGCTTATCCCTTGAATGGATCGGAACCCCATAATTGTGGACCTATGACGTGCCGCCCAAGTTTCCGTGCGGAGACATTCGGTAACCGCAATGGAAAAATTATATCCCCGCACGCGGGAAGTACAAAACACGAACGGAGCACCTTTAATTAACATATCCCTCCCTGCCACCGTATTCACGCATCATGGCGGACGAACACGAGCCTTTGCTGGGCGGTGCCCCGGTGCCTCGGCGCGCTGTTACGAAATATCTGCGCGAAGAGATTGATACGCGCCGTGGCGATTTCCTTCTCCTCATTTGCTACATCATTACTGGACTTCTCGACAGCTCAGCAGTGTTTATTTGGGGCAGTTTCGTGTCAATGCAGACTGGAAACACGGTTTACTTTGGCCTTGGCCTTGTTGGAACAGATGATGATCGATGGATAAAATCTGGTGTCTCGATCTGCGGATTCTGCCTCGGATCACTGGTTTTCTCCACATTTCATCGCTTCTTTTCGCCTCGCCTACGCTGGGTCATTACTGTTTCATTCTTCATACAAATGCTTTGTATCACAGCCGCTGCTACCATTGTTACAATTTATCGTCCTACGCGAGACGCGCCCTTGAGCTGGTTGATCCTCGTACCTGTTGCTCTGGTAGCATTCCAGAGTAGTGGACAGGCTGTTGCCAGTCGCGTCTTGAAATACAACGGGCTGACCAGTGTTGTCCTGACCAGCATTTATTGTGATCTTTTCTCACATGAAGATTTTCTTTCATTCAAACTTTTCCGCAACGCCGAGGAACTGCGTCGACTAGGTGCTGTGGTCTGCCTGCTAGTTGGAGTTGTGTGGGGTGGACTGTGGGCACATAGCTCGGTTGGAATGATGGGAGCCCTGTGGATGGCTACTGTCTTGAAGGGGCTGATTGTTATAGCTTGGCTTTTCTGGAAGGGGAAAGAATGAGTGATTTGTCCATATGTTAACTTCAGCTGTGCAGGGGTTGCAGCGAACATGTTGGGAGATTCCAAGGTTTGCAACAGCTTGCTATTCGCAGGCTGCAATTTAGCATAATGAACATATGCATTGGATTGTACAATAAATCATACGAACAATTCTATCGTCAAAAGCAAATAACTCCAACTATTTGTGGCATCCTTCCCCTGTCCGTGGAGACGCGCACCAATCTTCATGGCTCCACGATATACACCTATGTATCCATGAATCGTAGCATTCTTCCATGTATCCTCAGCCTTTGAGTCACACTGAAGCTGCTCCAAGATCTTATCTTCAGACCAAGAATGAAGAATGCCATGGGCACAGGGAAAAGGATGGTTGTTAAACAGCCAAGAAGGGCCATTGCCCAATTCACCCTCAAATTTTTAAACTATAAGATAAAAAGTTGTCAGCTACCACTGTTTGCATGTGAAAATAAAAACGCGCATGCTCAACTGACCATAGTATTAGCGAATCAGGTGAACCAAGCACCAATCCAAGATCCGGAAAAAGGTGTTGGCTGCCAGAGCTGAGTTTGGATGCACAGTATAGACATCAGCTATGTAGTTCAGTCCCTATTGTATGTAAAGTTCCAGTACCTCAGTAAGAATAACCTGCTGGGAATGTTCACCTGCACAAATATCAGTAACACCCCAGCTCCAAGAAATGCACCGGATATAACCTCCGGAACCCAAAGAACACCCAGAGAGGATGGCCATGCAAACCGGGACATTCCCACGCGGAGGAAGATACCCCCGATCATCATCGGAAGCAATCGTTGTGTCATTGCCGCACGGATATCAATGCGCCGGTTGGTAAACGAGAACCTTTGATCACTTAACATGTGGTAGTAAATGGCATCAGCGATGGGGGTGACGAGGTATCGGCAAGTAATGACTAAATGCAATTCAAAGTTCTAGAATAAAAGTATTATACAATGTCGGTTTACCTTCTGAAACCTCTAATGAATGTTTAAAGGAACACCTGATCCATCGCTTGGACTCGGAGCGGCACATCTCTCTGGAAGTTCCAATGTCCGCCGATCAACAGAAATATGCACACTTTTCATAATGTGATTTTCAGGCCCAGGATTTCTCGCAGGTAAAGGCTCATCTTCGGTCCAAAGATACGGATCGCGTGCCTTCGAGGAAAAAAATTTCTTGATCGTTTTGATGCGTGAACTAGGATGGCTGAGGGACTTGGACGCGTCATCTGTGTAGGCTAGCCCATTTTCATCCACATATGCGGCGATAAAAGGCTTCATAAGAGGTGCAATAAGTACGACAGTACTTAGGGCAACATGTATCTCGGCTACGAGGGTAGCTCCAGTGCCTTCGAGTGTTGGGTCCAATGATTCAACTTGGCGATGTATGTAGTAGAGATGCACGGCTGCAACTGGTATGAGCCTAGAGAAGATGGTCAGCAAAGAAAGTCATTTTGAGATGCAAATGATAATTCGACAACAAACATCACACGGCAACTTAGAATCAAAACCACGACAACCTTTTTGCCTAGGCTTGTTTGCAGCTTGGGAATTACTCGGATGGGGTAGAGGAATAGGGACACCTCGAGAAACACATCCAGCGCAGTTATCACTTGCCATCTGGTAAACTAAAATTCCGAATTAGCATCATAGATATAGTTCGATGTCAACTTATTTGCAGCTCACAATAACTGGGCAATGATTATCGATATCATTCCAAGGATCATTTCCGCATCGAACAGATATTAGGATTCTATTATTCATCACATCAGTACGCCATTCAAAGCCGTATAGCTGTGATCGAGGTAGCGTACATTGCTACAGGCCCCCATAAAGCGATGACCCCAATAAGGCCATGTATCATCCACTGTGAGCTCCTCATCGTGATAGTACGATAGAACACCGCAGTGGAGGCTTTTGACATTCCCAATATCGTAACATAAAGAATATCCGCGGCGTAAACGACCTGTTGTATTACCGATAAGCGAAAGCCAGGCATCTCTCTAATTGAAGAGCGTACTTTTTTTAATCCATCGTCAAGCGAGATTAATTTGGCAGCCTGGCCCCAACCGAGATGAACTGAAACAAATCCTGCGGAAATTTGGCCCAGTGCAACAACCTGTGACAATGAGTGATTAATTCTAATATTGTATTTTTACAGTAGCCTACCACTATGAAGGCAAAGAAAATATCATCCATCCCTCCGGCATGCCTAGCGTAGGCCGAATAGACCCTGATACCACAGGAGCCCAAGACTAGGAACATCGCAAATGATAGGATGATAGTAATCAACCCGCTGTGGTTCTCATAATCATCCACTGTCAGCGGGGGTGTCATCCCTGGTGGCGTCGAAGGAAATGCGACCGCCATGGCCGACACTGCAGGTTGATGCGAGAGTCATTCAGCTAAAGCTGGGACTTGTCCTGGCATATATCTAGGAGGGGAAAATACATATGAGCTGTTGGTTGGAAGCGCATGAAGAAGTAAGATCACGAGCACAAGGACTGACTCGGTACTCTTCTGGGCTTGGGGCTGAATAGCTTTCGTGACCCATTTTTTGTATTCGCGGATTACGCTTATGGGTGCACAGCAGGTTGTTGCAAGGATTGCTTGATTTTCACTTCTTTCTCTCGTATGGTTGATCGGTTGGGCTTTGGTGGCGTCAGATTGGTGCGTCGAGGCTACCTTTTGCGTCACAAATTCAGTATACAGCCATCATTATCTCCCGCTTTTGGGCGTGCGCTTTGACAATGGATGTTAAACCTTCTCCTCGTAATCGAAATAGCACGTCATGTAACCTTGGGGATGTTTGTAACTCCTGGTCTCTTGGCTCCGGCGGACAAAGCGACGTGACTGTTTCGCTGCTGATTGTGACACAGTTGCTTTATGCCGCAAATCCTCAACAATCAACAAAGGCTGAACACATAAATTTTCGTCGTCGATTTGATTGCTGGCCACTGTTAGGCTAAGTTGGAATCGTCGCCTTTCTTGTTCGGTCCTGGACTAGTGGCTCCGGGAGGGTGCAGAGACGGTCCAACCGGTTTATCGGAAGCATCACACCGTCGGGGGACACGAAGATATTGGATTATGTTGTTACGTTGTTTGAAGTTTCGGTCGCGCGAATATAATCAGCCAAAACTACAATCCGAAATGGCGGGGAAGGGAGTATTTAGAATGCCCTTGATTACTAGTGTTTGTTACAAATTAGTACCTCGCCACGACTTTCAATCAACTGTTTATGTAGATCAGTATACAATAAAGACTCAATGATCAACAAATACAAAATTACAGGCTATCCTGGATTGACTTCACGTCTTAGCCAATATGTTGTACAAAGGCAGGGACCTGGAAATTACGGATAGATCATATTAGTTGTTGCTTTCCAAGGGCCATGTGGCTGAGTGCATGATCTCGTGTCATTAGGTGAGCAGCAAACGTTGCAAAAAGTCTTCATTAACCCACTTCAAGGGATGTAGGATATCCTCGGGAAATTTCGGCTGTTTGCTGTACAACGAAGTTTGATTGAGTTGAATTCCTCTGGCAAGCTGGCAGCCCCTCCTCAACATTTCTAAGTGGTGATTCATTCCAAAGACCTGCTCTCGCCTCTATTGCATCACAAAGGGGTTTCCCATCACGGAGATCAGTTCAAACCCCACGTTTCGTACATTCCAGTGGTCAACAACGTTACACCACAAATAAATGCTGCAGTGAGCTTGACGGATGGCTTCCAACACTAGAACCTTCATCTCAAACACAGATGATGATAACCAAATCACAGCGGTACAAACGATAGAGGCCGAGGGCCTCGATAAAGTTGTCCCCGACTCAGGGGCCACACACAACGACAAAAATGATATGCACCGAATGGGAAAGCTTCAAGAATTCAAGGTATCATCACTCCATTACAAGTCGATAATGCTGCAAGCTGAGAGAACATAGCGCAATTTCCGCCCATTAGCTGCGTTGAGCTTTTCGGCCGTTCTCCAAGCCACGTGGGAGTTTATCTTGATGTGAGAAAATACTAAGAGCTAGCAATCTGCATATTTGACTTTCCGCCTTTAGATCTAACTCCCAGGGCCTGCAAAATGGAGGGCTTGCTGGCCTTTTCTGGTCCTTCATATGGACCTTCATTGGATTCGGGTTTATTATCGTCAGTCTTGCTGAAATGGCGTCCATGGCGCCGACTTCTGGTGGTCAGTATCACTGGGTTTCAGAGTTTGCTCCAAGGCGATTTCAGAAATTCCTCAGCTATACAACAGGTCAGTCACTTCGTTGTCGGTCTGACCTCTCCTTTACTGACTTTTCCCTCTTCTTGCAGGATGGATGTCCGTCTTGGCTTGGCAAGCCGGAGCAGCAAGTGGGTCCTTTCTCACTGGAACGATCATTCAAGGCTTGATCACCATACGAAATCCAGAATACGAGGCACAAAATTGGCAGGGGACTCTCTTTGTTTGGGCGATGATTGCACTCATCTACGTTTTCAACGTCTATGCCGCAAATTGGATGCCACGGATACAAAATCTACTTCTTGCTCTGCATCTTATTTGCTGGGTGATTGTGGTTGTCACGCTATTTGCCATGGCGCCCCACCAACCTGGGAAGGTAGTGTTTACTGAGTTTTACAACGGTGGCGGCTGGCCAACAATAGGAGTGAGCTTGATGGTCGGCCAGATATCCGCTATATATGGGTCACTTAGTATGTTGTTTCAAGCACATTTGAGTAATTGCCTAACACTCTTAGGTTCTGATGCCACTGCACATATGTCGGAAGAGGTAAAGGATGCTGGGCGCTACGTTCCCATCGCCATTGTATGGGGATATTTTGGTAATGGCGTTTTGGCAATTATTGTTCTTGTTGGGTTGCTACTCTCAATCCAATCGGTTCCAGCGTCGCTCACTGACAGCTCCGGGTTCCCATTCCTCTATGTTCTACGAAATACGCTTTCCCTAGCTGGAGTTAACGGATTAGCCTCCATAATCCTGGTTCCTGTCATTTTCAGCAACATTCTGTTCAATGCATCGACGGCCCGTCAAACCCATGCCTTTGCTCGTGACAAGGGTCTTCCCTTTGCTCGGTGGATCTCCCATGTTGATCCTCGCCGTCGAATTCCCGTTCGCGCCATCGGCCTTTCGTGCTTGGCAAGCGGCTTGCTCTCACTAATCTATATCGGATCCTCGGTCGCATTTAATGCTATTATCTCTTTGAATGTCGCGGCTCTCATGTACACCTATGCCATTTCCATGAGCTGCGTGATCTATCGAAAGATATGTAGTCCTGAGACACTTCCAGCACGACGATGGTCTCTAGGCTCTGCCGGATTGGCCATCAACATTATTGGCCTGATTTATGTGTGCTTCGCTCTATTTTGGTCTTTCTGGCCACCTAGCCCATCTGCTGCAGTCGAAGACTTTAACTGGAGTGTGGTTATATTTGTGGGAGTCTTCATTCTCAGCCTCGTCATGTATGTATTCCAAGGGAAGAGGCAGTATGTGGGGCCTGTTGTTATGGTGCAAAGGCGCGACTAATATGCACCGATGAAGATGAGACATCAATTTAAACTTGATGAATCCTGCTAGTTCTATCGTAGTCCTGCAGTAACTGGTCTCTAGATTTACTCATGGACAGTGGAAGTACCGCTCGACAGAATTACTAAGGCTTAGTTGAGAGTAGACACCTAATCAACAGTGAGAGGTAATAACAGTCTTCCTTTTTCATGCATCTTTAAGTTCCACTGTATACTTGCATGTGACGTGATATATCTGGTAGGCAGAGGTTGTCTGGTGATATAATCCTCTGATCGGCCCCACTTTGGCACTTGGTTCTTCACTCACTTCAATATATTCATATGAATGTATATTCCAACACTATGTACACGTATAATTTCATACAAATTACATTTTCTGTTTCGATTCACACCTATATGGATCGTAAATCCTGACTCCTGGGCATCTCAATATCTCGCTGAGGATCACTTTACGTCAGGGGGAGGGGCCGCGTGAAAAACAAGACGCGATCTACTTCTACCGTTCTTACTCCCTACGACTCTCGTTTGTCTACCTCCATGGTGCATGTCAACTCTCACACCAAATCATGTTTTAAGCTCTCGTTCCACCGTTCCATACTTGATTTTTTACCCAGAGAAGAATTCCTTTCCTTCAAGTATGTCCGTTTCAGCTTCATAACCTCCACGACTTCTCGATGCTAGCTCTTAGCTGACGCAGCTCTTCCCTTCAAAGACAACTTCAACATGCCCTCGATGTCTGAACGACGGCTACCTGACATGGTAGAGGGTCCACTCATACACGGAATGATTGAAGTTCTCCTTCAAGACAGGATTCAGTTCCCTACAAGACTCCTGAGCAGACAAGTTCTAAATGTGCTGAGGTATTTCAACATGTCCATGTCTCAGAGCGTTGATCTCAACGCTAAGGTGATCCGTTTTATGCGCGATGCGGCGCAGCCGTTTACCTCTCGGGAATTGTCTAGGGCCCACAACGGCTTCTCTGAGACTGAAAATATCGGGGTGATTCACTACCAGCTCTCGATGCTGGTAGCCAATGGGGCAGTTTCTCGCTTGAAGATTTATGCATATGAGCGCCCGAATGAGCTTACCTACATCGGACCAGGTATGTCAATTGCCAGCCAGCACCAAGAGGCAAATTCGGATATCGATGGCAGTGAAATCGCTATTGTACGCAGTCAATTTCGTTCCAAATTGCAGAATCCCGACAACGCAGTCGGTCTGCACAGCGAATAGCTTCTTGAAATCGGCACGCGATGAGATGGTTCGAGACAGTCTTCAATCAGGAAAGGATCTGCGAATCATGACAGCGGCACAGAATGATCTTCTCCAAGGGCAAATTCGTGAATTCAGCAACAAATTCGGAAGGCACATCGAGAAGATGGGATTTTGATGGGGAGCCAGGCGGCGCTTTTCTTTCTTTCGGGTATTATTGTGCCTTTGGTTGTTTTGCATGTCCATTTGAGGACTGCGCGAGCCTCTACGAAAGAGTCTGGGTCTCTTCTCATTTTGTGTTGATTGTGAGCCCAGTTTCTTTGAGATCATTCTGAGTTTATTCGGCTCGGATCCTTATGTGTCATGTTCTGGAAGTGCATCATGGATCATTGTATTACGGTACCTCCTAAGTCGCATGACTTCGTAATTGTTCGCATCATGGATAGCTCCGGTACCTCCATTCTATGGTATTCCCCTGAGCAGCGCGACCGCTGTTCCTTCGATTGTTTCAGGTGCTGGAGGTCCACGCGACTGCTTTTAGATACGTTCGTGGCCACGAACAGTCACTGCATAGAAACTCAATACATCAGATTCCATGAAGATAATATTAACATTGTGGGCTTTCTTCCACGGCTCAAGAACTTCGAGGGGAAGCTGCTCAACGTTCTCTGCCAATGAGATCGTGATGAACTCGTAGAGAAGCGCAAGCACTACTTACCAGATACCATCGAAACAGGCGAGCTTCATGATTAAGACTTGGCGAGATCAATACCTTGCACGACCAAGACTCGTATCTCGTGAACGAGGAATTATCATCTAATTCTCATTGCAAATCAGCGGTGTGCACAGACCACAAAGTGCCTCCAATATCAAAAGCTTTGATGTTAGTAACAAGCATGATCAACAGTCTGATCAGCCCGGGTGAATTCGCGGGTTTTCATTTACGCGACAGATAGGGACCGTAACACAGTCATTAAAAAATCTAATAAACGGAAGAGATTTCCCAAATGAGTTACTAGTGCGCTTGGCGGGTGGCGACCATAGCTCCATGGTACGTAGGATGCAGTTCAGGTTAGCTCATAGAACGCATGCAAGCGAGTCATGGAAGGCTCGGAGTATGGGGCACCAGCATCCGGGGTAAGATTATCGGTTTGATCGCGACAAATACTCATGACATCCAGATCCGTTATCGTGGCCCGAGGTCTCTTCTCACTGGTCATCGGCCGGGTCCGATGGAACGAAGTGGAGCATCTCAACACGGAGGCCGGCAGTCGGTGCTATCTCTGGCAACTCAGATATCGGACCGAGTCACTCTTTAAGGTTTTTTAACACTGTTTCGGCGTCCTGGGGCTTGAAACTAGGCATCCCGATCAAGGGATGGAAGCTGCGCTACATCGATCCCCAGAATTGAAATGCCGTTCGAGTAAAATCCGGGGAAACCAAGGAATCTTAGCTAATATTATTTCCTTTTCGGTTTCGTTGCGGGTTCGGTCTCCACATTTCCGAAGATCGGGCCTGGTTTAGCCGTACAACGCCCATGTTCTCGCCAATGACTACTGCGATGCTCGGTCCGTGGTGGATGGTGGTCCACATTTTGCTGCAACCTTCAAGTTTGTCAGCTCGGGGGACGCCGATGGCCGTCGAAAACTGTGCTTGCTGTATATATGAATTGGATCACCTTTAACTTCATGGTTGGCCTTGGCGAGGTGACTTTTTATCATCTTGCATGATCATCAACTTTAACTTGACTCGGATCTTGGTTGACTTTGACCAATAGTGAAACCAAAATGGCGCCTTACTTTGGTCTTCGTGGACCGGCTTTGAGTCGTGCTATTATGTGGATGGTTGTTTGTCCAGCCTTTCTGACATATGGATACAACCAAGGTGTTACGGGAGGTCTTTTGACTTTGAAAGCATTTGCAGAGCAATTCCCTCAGATGAACACACTGACTACGACGGGCGCTGAGGAAACTTACAATTCTACAATTCAGGGTATGTATTCTGGTGACTTGAGAGTCGCATTTTGTACTGTGTTCCTTGGTCGATGAGTCTTGCTAACGCATGCCTACAGGAACCGTGGTCGCATTATACACAGTGGGAGGAATGTTCGGCTCGTTATCATGCATTCAATTGGGAGATATTCTTGGTCGCCGGCGAATCATCTTTATCACCACCTTCATCTCACTTATCGGAGCGGTCTTGATGGCTAGCTCTTACTCTCTCGCCCAGTTTATCGTTGCGAGATTAGTCCTCGGATACGGTACCGGAGGATACGTTGCTACCGTGCCCGTCTGGCAGTCCGAAATCTCCAAACCCACCAAGCGCGGTGCACACGTCGTTACTGATGGAATTTTCATCGGTGCCGGTATCACCATCTCCCTCTGGATCGACTTCGGCTTCTACTTTGTCACCGGCAGCTCAGTCTCATGGCGGTTCCCTCTCGCCTTCCAGATCGTCTTGTCCTTGATCGTCATGTCTTTTGTTATGCTATTGCCTGAGTCACCTCGTTGGTTGATCAAGAAGGGACGTACCGAGGAGGCACGGGCTATTCTCGCTGCGCTCGCCGATGTGGACGACGACGCTGAAGAAATCACCCTCGAGATCCGCGATATCGAAACATCCCTTGTTCTCTCTGGTTCTGGCTCCTTTAAAAGCCTGCTCTATATGGGTGAGCAGCGTCTTTTCCACCGTACCGTCCTGGCAGCTCTTGGCCAGGTGTTCCAACAAATGTGTGGTATCAACTTGATCACTTACTACGCAACAACCATCTTCCAACAATACCTCGGTCTAGATGCTACAAAGTCTCGGATTCTTGCAGCGTCGATGTGCCTTACTCAGCCGCTAGGTGGCTTTGTAGCGTACTTCACAATCGATCGCCTGGGTCGCCGTGTCCTTATGCTTTGGAGTGCAGCTGGAATGTCTGTGTCAATGGCAATCCTCGCTGGTACGAACTCACTCAGCAATAACACCTCCGCCATGATCGCTGCCGTCGTGTTCCTCTTTGTTTTCGAATTCATTTTCACCATCGGATTCTCAGGATTGACCTTCCTGTACGCGACCGAGGTAGCCCCATTGCAGCTACGAGCAGCCATCAGTGCCGTTTCGACCACTGCAGTATGGATGTTCAACTTCCTTTTGGCTGAGGTTACTCCTGTGGGCTTCAACACCATTTCATGGCGATACTACATCATCTTCGCCGTTCTCAATGCTGCAATCGTTCCAATTGTATACTTCTTTTTCCCTGAGACAAACGGCCGATCGCTTGAGGAAATCGATGAGATCTTTATTCAGTCGAAGAGCATTTTCGATCCGCCTCGTATTGCGCGTTCCATGCCAAGGCTCCATGTGGCTGAAACTCAAGGCATTGAGGGTGAAATGGCCAAGGCGGTAGACGGTGATGGCTCCGTTCCAAGGAAGGCTCCCAAGGCCTAAATCATTACGATATCACGAATATTTAGATAGCCTGCATTGCAACAACCATGTACAATACATAGAATGGATAGATAGAGACTTGGTCCACAGAAGACCACCCCAATACATGATAGATCTCTCACTGAAATTTGTTCTTGGTTCCTGATCAACGCGGTGTCATAGGCATGCTTAGTTTGAATAAGAATCACTACACAAAACGTTCATTTTCAACCTGCTTGCAGATCTGGTCACGATCTAGTGTTCAAGACGGACTTGATTGTACCAAGTCCATAAAGTTCAAAGACTCAAATTCAATGATCTTGTTCAAAGCCACCAGTTATCCCTAGGTCAAGACTGAGAGTCCAAGGCTCGGCATGTATGACTGGGCTCGCGATGATTCGGGTTGTCCGAGACCAAGCTCCGATCGAGGCCGGCATTTGTGGATCGGTGGAGACGCTTGAATAGAAAGTGGAGGTAGGAGCGGATGAGGCTCTTTTTCTCACCCGCCGCTACACTGAGGAAGTCGACATGCGCACTGAATGTATCTAATTGATTTTCAATTCGCGATTTGCAGTTTTTCTCGTTTGATCTCCGGTATAAAGGCACAGTCAAGATTCCAGTGGTCATTCAGCCCATCCTGGGCAACTCAGGTCTGCCCAGTATGGGAAGGGTGGGCAAGGACATCGCTAATGAATGCTAATCTCAACTGCCGAGAGTGGGCCGCTTGGGGGCTGCTTTCACCGGTAGTACCCCTTCCGTATCACTCCGAACATTTTTGAACAATTGCCACCATATTGTAACGGCTCTGCTCTAGTTGGCCGATGGGGCGCGGGGCGATTAGAAAATATTGAAGAGGCGATCGAATTTGTCACTTGCGCCCTTCAAAAGGGTAGTCAGTGGAGGTGTAAGCTTCTGATATTGAGGCAATGGCTTATACTATGTGCCAAGGGCGTAGCAGTAGTATCTGAAACATTCCCCAAGATGGCCGTAGATAAAAAAAAACTGCAACCATGCCCCAAATCGGCAGGGAAGTTGAAACAGTTAAAGCTTTGTGGGTTACTCAAAATTACGAGATTCCATGGTCGTAAATCGAGAAAGGGCGCATAAGAGATACAAAAACGATAACTATGTAGAAGCATGACATAGCATTTCAAGGTTGCTCAGCGACATCGATGTGTTAGTCTTGGTCCTCGCCAGTATTGGCCTTGTGTAGAGCTTGTAGCCACCTAATTTGATTATGCTTCCGGCCATGACTTGTGAGGAAGTGTCTGGTACTCCTGATGGGAAAGGCAGATGTTATTGAGTCCAACAATCAGTTTGAGATCTTCAAAACACAAGCCCGAGCCTTTCGGAGGTCTAATTGTTTGATCTTTTGCGTCGGTCGTCGGTCGTGGTCAATGCGGTCATTTCGACTATGGAATAGTGTCGCCATTTAGAATAGATGTTATGACTTAAAGAAGCGGTGTGGGGAAAAACTCAACAGGCTTCCTTTCTGAGTCCCTGCACTTGACCAGTTAACTTGACAGCGAGCTTGTGGCTTTACTGGACCACCGGACTTTCAAATCAACTTTCCAATGCTTCAGAGAAGCCAGGAGAATCTCAAACCCCCCGACAAGATTTGAATATTTAGTCCCTCTTATTATTGTAGCAATATGCATCTATCCCTAAAATAGTGGCTAGTCCATGCAATTCACCTATCCGGGAGATTGCAGCTATAGTGCTACGGCATCGTATACTCACATCAAGATTAACTGTCAAATTTCGATCAGGCCTAGATCACCCTTTTTTCTTGTTGTATCTGGAAGGGGTTAGCGAATACGAGATTCGGCCAGGGCATGAATACTTGCCAATGTGTGTCACTTGAAAAGTGAGAGTCTTCAACACAGGCGCGAGATATTTCTGGACGTAATAGGTTATCTGTCTTTTCCTTTAATCAATGGTCATCGAAATAATACCTCTTCGTAGCCAGGTTAAGGTCCAAGTTTTGATACCGTCTAGTCACTTATGTACGGTTGACGTTGAGCTCAAGTGCAACCTGGTACAGATTGATTTCAAATCGAGAACGGGAAACGTCTACTGTTTCAGGGGCTTTCTACTTCTGCCACTACTTTTTTGTTTATAATCATAGGGAATCCGGAACTTGTTGCTACTGTATCCTTCAGCCGTCGTTCTCAAAGGGCACTTGTTAGTCGATTCTCTCATTTTAAAAAGTCATTCGCCGTCATGGCTTTCAAGAACTTCTGTCTCACAGCCATATCCTTCCTTTATATGGGCGGCAGCCTTGCGGCTCCTGTAACCAGTGATCATTCCCGGGTAGGTAAAATGTTGAATAATTTGGATAAAATGCCAAGTTCCTGATCTTCGATTGTAGATTGAGTATTGTGCCAATGAATCCTCAGGCGATTGTGAGCTACAACGCTTCACCATGAACCAGTGCACGACTTTGAACCACGCGTTAGTAGTCCTTCCCGTTCTTCGATGTCAATTGTGGCTGATCCATCACTAGGGGCAATGCAAAGTGGACTGCTACTACAAATGGTTGTTGGCTATATAGGTGAGTTACCACTACTGCTAGAGTTCGATTATGCATTAATGGAGTTCTTCAAACATCTAGCAATTCCGACTGCTCGGGAGACGAGAAATTCCCACTACCTAAGGCCATAGCCCCATTTATGCTTAGCATACCTATGAAAAAGAATGCTGTATATTGTGCCTCACAGTCGCATAGTGAATAGTTACTTATGTCCCCGCTTTCGAAAGTCATTTACAAATTCTCGACGTACATTCATTTTTCCACTTTTCCATCACCAATTCAATTAACGCGGATACCTTTCAGTGTTCGAAACAGATGATTGGCAATACACGTGTAAAGCTTCAGGTCTGAGGTCATCAAACGAATGTTGGGTAGTCTGGACATTTGCTTCATTTAAGAAAAAAGCTTGCTATACAGGTGCAGTGACATGTCCCGCCAGGCAGTTGTCATGATCAAAAATCCTACAATTGGTGGACACCCCACTTTGATGTACTCCAACCTGGTGAAACAGATAGTTCACGCTGATTGATTCAATTACTGTTCATTGGATTCGAGATACGCCACATCCTTAGGGCGGAGCTTCTGCTTCTCGTTAATGTTGAACTCGATCGTGAGAGATGTGGCTTGCGCTTGCTGTATGTGTCAAGGGTGTCAGTTTATCAGAGATTAAAGCAAAATAACAGGCGTGGACAACAAAGACAAAATAGAACTAACTGCGATAGTGTGCCCATGTGCCTCTCTGTTCTTAGGTTCCCATCCGTCTGGGAATCGTTCCTCACTCAGCCAGATGCTCAGATCTCCGACATCGCCGCCAAAGATCGAGTACATGAGTGCAGAGTTTCCAGATCCTAGTTTCAAGGCATGTGCCTGTCAGTAAAGTGGATGTAACACAGAAAACCTCAATTACATGAAGTGACTAACCAAAGAACTTGTGTAGAAAGCTCCATGTTAGCGAGTATTGGCCATTTGAGCGTTTTGACTTAGCACGGCGGAGACCTGAATAGTAGGCAATGTCATCAATTGAAAGGGATTTGCCGTTTTTCGCATGGTCGAGGAGCATATCGACCATGCTGGGGTGTGGAAAGCTTTGGTCGGGACAGAAGGCAATGTCGGGACGCGTGAATGAAGCGTCGTGCTGGACAACCTGCGAAATAGAACATCATCAGCGCATACCCTTAGCCTATCTTCTTGGTCTACCGACATTCAATGCGTTGAGATCATGTAAGTCGATGTGGCCCCTCCCTTGGTCGAGCAGACGGGCGGAAGATGTGAGCTGTTCTGCAAGGGTCGGTGCAAGGTTATACGCATGCTGAACTGCGCGCGAGATTTGCTTATATGTAAGCTGTCGACCATCGTGTGGCAATATCTCTGTTTCATGTGTTTTAGCGAGAGTTCTGTAATAGCCGAGGATGCGCTTTTCTATACTTACCATGATTGGCAAGCGCATTCAGTCTATATGACAGAGAGATCGACGCGCACAGGTCAGAGGAATCAAGTGAAATATTAGATTAGAAAGGAAAGATACGTACGCTGGACACGGAGATCGGCTGTCGATGCCATTGATGGGAGGAATGTATTTTGGCCATTTCCCGCCGTGGCCTGGACTGCCGAGGGGCACAACACTTCCGGCGCGACGGCTTGGAGAAAAGAGGTTCGCCGACTATATTGATTGCAAATCTCTATCAGGCAACAGTACTTCCTGGTACTTTAAGGATAAAATTATGGAAAAGAACACCCACGAGAAAAAAGAGGTCACGAGTTTGAAGCCAAATTGCAAATAGAGCTAAAGCAAGAAGGGTGGCGATTAGATAGACAAGCCCCGTGAGGGTACCTGCAAGCGTAGTGAAGAAGTTGACCATGCTGTTGATCAAGGCAAATCGATCAAATTTGGGAAGATGTTGAGGTTGAGAAACTCAAGTTGATGTCATGAAATATATGGAATGCAGGCGTGCCATGTCGGCTATAAACACTGCATAGCCACCAAGCTCAGCCGGCATGCTTTGTCCGCCCGTATTTGAATAAGCAGCCACCATGAATACTCTTAACTTCGGAGCATTAATTATTAATACAATAAAAAGATACTTGAGTTCATTAAATATGCATCTAGCCTATTTAGCGATGCCATCACAACTTGGCAGGATCGTGGGGAGTCTACGGGCACCGGTACGGTTATTACAGTTGAACAATCATCTATATCTTGCTCTCATTAGTGGCTGGAAGCAAACGTGCGCCGTTAGATTGTCTGACAGCTGGGCAAACGCTCAGCTGGTGGAACGTGGAGACTGATCTGCAAGGCCCCCCTGATCACCTGGCAATCATTCCACCCCCACTCCCCACATTGAAATTTCTCACCACTCATCATTAAACCCGACTTACTTGTCAGTGAAAAGTCCTACAGCTGACTTGGTTCATTGTTTAGCTTAATAATGCAGGTCCGTGCCATGAATCCCAAGATTGCCCACAGACACGAATATTGTTATCACCTGAATCGTACGGGGGGACATATATATTATTTTCCTGCAAGGCTCTGTGGAGATACAATTTTTTTCACACCTCCGACCGGGGAAATTTCCTTGTGAGATCTCAGAGGACTCATGTACAGAAACGCACGTGCGTGGAAGAAGTATTATAGTCATCAAACTTGAAGCTTCAAATATTAGGCTTCTCCGGCGCCCCCGGCTCAAATGACTCTCCTGAGTCAAACGTCGACTCGCGCATGAACGGACTGCGGCGTCTAATATCCGGCCCTTTAAGTACCAAGACAACGGGGACAACAGAAAGAGCGACTCCAACGAATCCTAGCAACGAGCCAGCCCACCCATAACCTAGAGTCTCAAAAAGCTCGTAGGAGGCAAGGGGCAAAAAAGCGCCAAACGTATTCCGCCCCAGCGAAGCCGCAGAAAGCGCCGATGCAGCGTATTTCTCATAGGCGTCAGTCAAATAGTTCACAACAGCCATGTAGATGCTATAGATTCCAACACCTGTGCATCCAATGCCAAGAGTAGGCACAATCCAGTGAATCGATCCATCCCCAACACTTGCCCATCCATACCAGAATAGACCTCCCGCAAAAAGCAAGCTTCCAGGAATTGAGGTATAAAGACGTGCCTCCGGAATTGGTCGGCCAGGCTGCTCCCGGTTTCTCTTGGCTGAGCGTAGATAGATCCAGTCTTGGATCGGATTGAAGACCGTGCCAATCACCGCGCCAACAGAGATAGCGAGCTGGACAAGACCGGTAGTAAAAGTACCCCAGCCGTAATTGTGACTGAACGTTTGCGAAACGCTTGAGAAGAAGAGGAACAGAATTCCCCATGCAAAGCTGACCCAAAGGGTGAAGAATATGACCACCGGCTCGGTGACGAGCATTCGGGTCGGTCGCTCGAAGGAAACCTGAAGTAGTTTCCATATACTAGTGGTGTCAAGGTCGGCTTCCGCATAAATGTGTCTGCCAGTCTCCTTGCGAAGTCTTTTAGCTCGCTTCTTTAAGATAACGTCTGCACGAGTCTCGCGAAGAATCAGCCAGAATACCGGGATCAATGCAGCATTGTAGATGATTTGGATGTAGAATATCCTAGTCCATGTCAGTAATGGGTCGTATCGGGTCTGGCCTTTCTAACTCACCATCTCCATGGATCGTTCTTGTGGATGGTCTGAATAGCAGCACCCACAAATGGCCCCAGCGCGATTCCAATAACACTTGTGAACCCGAACAATGACATTGGTAGACTGCGAGCTTTATCACCATACCAGACATCACTAATGCTGCCACCGACAATGTTGATGCTGACAGAAGAAGCACCACCACCAAAGAACCTGGTAACAACAAGTGTTGCAAAGTTCTGCGCGAATGCCGACGGGAACAGGGAGACGACGAGGATAAAATAAGCGATGAAATATCCTGGCATCCGGCCCGAGGATTCGGTCAATGGGACGAAGATGAGTGGCCAAAAAGCGGCTCCCATGTTCCAGGATGTTGTGGCCCAAGCCAGATTGGGGAATGGGGTATTCTGCACATGGAACCGTTGCTCCATGTAATTATTCCCTGCACCGTACGATCCCGCGGGGAGGCCTGTCAGAATGGAACTGTATCCACCGTTAGCCTCTGCAACATGTAAACACGTAAGAGGGATTGACTCACATGAAGCAGACTGTCAGAGTCAACACCCACTTATAGGTTTTGCTCCAATTGAAAGGGTTGTCAGGGTCATCAGGGCCATTCCATGTGTGTATTTCGATATCTTCCTTATCTCGTAATGGGTGCTGGGACACATGACCTATGTGGTCTTCTCTCTTGAAGAATGAGCGCACTCTAGAATGAGGTGAATACTCAGTATGAAGCCCTCGCGTTGATGAGAGAAATATTATTACCTTGACAAGAATGAATCATTAAATTTATTGTGATGGAGCGTGCTGACAGTTGACGATCGGTGGATCGGTGGAGAGGACGGGTCAACAAGGGGTTGCTCCTTAGGAACCTCTTCGACATCGTTACTTTCCATAGTGGCGCTTCAACCAGGACAAGGCTTAGAGATACGAGGAACTAGAATGGAATACATGAAAATATATTTGTATACCAACAGGTTGGGATGGATTGCTGAGTCAACGACTATCGATCCCATTTTGGATTACGTCATGCTTGTCATGACGGCCAGCGAGCTCGTCAGAATACAGGTATGTGCCGTCGATTCTGTCATTGCAAAGCTTTTTGATGGTTTGATTCATCGTGGTGAATCTTCTCCGATGCTAGATGCTATTTTGGTGTTGTTCAAGAAGCTATCGCGTTAGCATGGAAAATCATTTGCATTAAGGCGAGCAGCCGGCAGTAACCTTAACGGACTGCAACACACTAGTCCAATCCACATACCCACTTAATTAATTGCCCCCCTGATGTCTTGCAAATAAGGGCTGCTAGCGTCAGTGTGGTCGTCTGCCCTAGTGAGCTTGCTATAATCTAAAGCATCTCGAAAATATGGATTTGCTCAGCGGCAAAGTTATCTCTCGGACCAGAGTAAAGCCGCTCGGAAGAGTACCCAGTGTTGCAATTCCTTTATCTGGATTTCTGATAGAAATCGCTATCATGGACAAGATCCAATGGGGCGTATAACGACCCGCCACATATTTTTAGTGTCATCGCCATCCAACACACCCCTATCCAGTGGCTCTGGGATTTTCAATTTCAAGAAACATCCACGGTCACAGCTCTCTTTTAGTCACCCTGTTTTTGGCACCTAATGCCAATGAAGCACAGGAATATGATAGCACAATCAAAGCCATTCATGCGTGCCGCTGATACGTAAGTGGGGGAGCGAGATCCATTGCGTGTTGCAAAGAAGAAGCACAAAGTGGAGCCTCAAAGGGCCCAGCACTCAGAAGTCCCGTCTAGCCAACGGTCAATACCCCAGAACTCCATAATTCTCCCAGGAAGAGCTACCGGTATACATTTTAAACTAGAAATCTTTGAATTTGCTTCCATCTGCCTCCATGCCGCGTTGTCTTCATGGCAACTTGACAATGCAGGTGCCTACTTACCAAGGTTAATTAATTTAGCTCAAAATGAGAATAGGTATTCTTCAAACCTTGAATCTTTCATTGGTCCGAGAAATAGCCTCTGCTTTAATGCCGATGCATCTGGCTAGCGTGTTGACGTATGTGTTTCAGACACTTGGGTGTTGGTGGCGGAGCAGGGTACCTTCTACGCACAACTCCCTCTACAGTATGTGGGCTGGAGATCTTCGAATATATTAAAATAACTAGACACCTGACCAATCAACATTCTGTTAATTACGACTTGTGCCTAATATATAGGCAGTGAATAAACATTCGAAGTGCCGAAGTCTAGCCATCCAGTTCCAATATTCCTATCCGCAACCTCACAGTGTTGCAAAAACCTTATATTGTTGATCGACATCTAAATTAGATACCCGTGCAATCGCGTAGAGGAAACTCGCTACAGAAATTATTCCCTACCTCGAGATGTCCCCGATACCCAAGTTTTTCAAATGATTATTCATCGTCGTGTATCTGTTTCCATTGACCAATGCCGGAAATACCCCGTCAGCCTTCCAAGAGAAGCCAAGACCACGGGGCCAAAAGAAGCAATCCTACCGCTACCCGCCAAGCCTCTCCCGTCTCATCTCTGACGCGGTCTCCAATCCCGGCTTCGAATTGCCGTAGATAATCCGGCTTTTGCAAGCATGTGGATTTGATCCAGGAAAGGGATTGGGAATAACGGGGATGATCTCCAATAGAAAGCTCTCTATTCGTCAGTTCTGCGACGATCGTTTGCCCTGTCGAGGTAAGCTCGTGGGGGCTCTGTCGCGTCCTTCTGCAGACACGCGGCGCCAAGCAGATTTTTGGACACTGCACAAGATAGCCCATAGGGACTCAACGCTCTAGATTGGAGACTCCTGAAGAAACAATGACAGACAAAGTATTTTGAGGCAAATGTACTGGGATTGTGGAGACATTGTTGTCCCTGGCATGACGCGTTCAGAGACAAGAGCAGGATGCTGAGGTTATATAAATCCAGGGCATCAAGTCAGCTCAGAGAATGAAATACTGTTCAAGTCGTTAGTCAGATTTTTCTTGTTAATATTCTTCTCCATCATGGTTCAATTGTCCAAATTCATTGCTGTCGCGGCCGCTTGCTTGGCTGCACCTGCGGTCGCTCACCCTGGCGAGAAGCATGATCCCCATGTGGTGAAGCGTGAGCTTCACGCCCGAGACTATGCGGCTGCGGCTGCAAAGCGCTCGCTGGCTGGCTGTGAGAACAGCCTCCATGCCCGGGAGTTGGCCAAGCGCAACGTTGCCCGTCGCTCGCAGAAAGTCCAGAACCTCCGCAAGAAGCGTGGTGTCACTGCCCGTATGAATTCTTTGCCATAACTTCGCCAGAGACGCATTGCTAACTCATTCATTCAGACCCTCAGAAATGGCGTCGTGACCTGGCCGCTCTCGAGAAGTGGGAGGCAATCAACCATAACCAGACCGGTATTCTCAACTATAGCCCTGCCACTCCCGAATCTGTCGTGTTCGCCGCCAACACCAGTTGCATCCTGACCCCCACCGTTACCGACGGTCCTTACTATGTCTGGGGCGAGGTGATCCGCCAGAATGTGAAGGAGGATCTGTACTCCGACGGTGTGGACATCTCCCTCGAGGTGCAGTACATTGACATCAATACTTGTCGACCCGTTCCTGGTGCTCTGGTCGATATCTGGCAGGCAAATGCCACTGGTGTCTACAGGTATGCAAGCAACCGCAACAAACAATCAGCACATATACTGACCAAGATAGTGGAATCTCGGAATCCGGCAACTATGCTGCGGACGGATGGGACAGCACTTACCTGCGCGGTATTCAGCAAACTGACACAGACGGTGTTGTGAACTTCGAGACAATTTTCCCGGGCCACTACGATGACCGGGCCACGCACACCCATCTGTTGACTCACCTCAACGCAACCGTTTTCCCGAACAAAACCCTGGAAGTGGGCAGCGGCAGCGTGGCTCACATTGGACAGTTGTTCTGGAACGAGGTTCTCCGATCCGCAGTGGAGGACACCTACCCCTATAGCACCAACACTCAGTCAATCACGACCAATGCCGACGATATGTGGTCCGTGGAGCAGGCCGATAGCTCCTACGACCCGTTCCCAGAGTACATTTACCTTGGTGACGACTTGGATGACGGTCTCTTCGCTTGGATCCAAATTGGCATCAACGCCACGGCCGACTACACGGACAACTCTTACTACAGCATCGCCGCCTATCACGATGCAAACGGAGGCCACGAGAACTCTGACAGCACCTTGAGTGGAGGCAGCGGAGGCAGTGCTCCTAGCGGGACCAACGGCACTGCTCCATCCGGCAGCGCTTCTGGAAGTGCTTCCCCAAGCGCCTCTGTTTAGCGAACGGTGGAGACGTGGCGCATCATCAACCCATGGGATGCTTCTTCAAGCGAGCGATTACCGATAGTGACAGCGGGTTTGTCATTCAGGGGTAGACAATGCAGCAGCCTTGTTGCACTGTATAAACCATAGAGCAGATTCAAAGACTAGAGTATAAAAACTTGATTGTTTTATTTTCATTTTTTCATTTTTCTAATTTTCGAGGACCCCTACACTAGTTAAGTGGACAAACTGGACATTACATTGAACGTTAAGCATACAATTGAAGAATGTCGATCACAGCCCTGCCGCGATTTTGCGTTTCTCCCGCGCGCGTAAACCCATGGACCGGAGGGACCCGGACTTTAGTGTATCAATAGACGCGCACGGACAGCAATAATGTAATTTGCGAATTTGGGAGGGCGGAGTAGGATCCAGAGTTCGTACAATAGGTGCCCATAGCGCAGATGGAATGTTGAATCGAAGATTCTCCAAAACGCCACGAATCGATCCACAGGTAAACAACCTTGAAAACGGAGTACAAAGCAGATATCTGCATGACATTCAACATGGGTATGGAGAAGACACTAAACTATTTATGGAAGGTGTAATCGGATTAGGGCAGCAACCCCTGCACCTTGCCTAATCGGGTCAAACAACGATCAAAATTTCACGCCTCAGGCTTCAGTTCTTTCTCTTTCCGAAGTAGACCCGGCCGTAATGTCAAAGACCTCGTGGCATTCAAGCCTCAAATATATCGTTCCAAGGTTTGCATCTCGAATCCCTAAGTCTAACACGTCATATGATAGAAGTCATGTTGCATCGGCTGGGCAACCAGGTCAATGAAATTTGCAACCATGGTTTGTATATTTAGGCAGTATTTTACTACCAGCGAGCGAGCAAGCCAATCACAGCAATGTTAACGAGCTGTTACCGGCTTTCAGGATAGATGCGGCTCCTCGCCCGCCCAAGTGAAACCAACTATGCATGAGCGAAACCGATCGTCAGATCTTCGGGGCTTTGGACATATTCCATTCCCATGGCGAATGTCATGTGTGTGCTGCTTTGAACATGTAATTCTGCCCAACCTCGTTTGCTGATCCATACCCGAGCATGAACCCTGGAACCGTGCAGTCCCACCTCGGCTACGGTCATGCCAACCAGTCCAAGTATCAAGCATTGGTTACCGAAAAGGGAATACGGCTTACAAACCGGGTTTCTGGCAAAGCATTCCACCTACCGCGATCGTGATGGTTCCTCTCGCACGCCGATCCAGCGGATTTAGACTCGGCCCTAAAAAACAATACCCCCCACCTGTACCATAATTTGCATTTATTCATAGACGCAGGGGGGTTCCACTCGGAACCAAAAGTCTAGAGCTGCTACAGGTTTCCAAAGTCAAAATAGCCGGGCTGCAGAAGCGTGGGGATCCGATCTTTATGAAAAGATAAAACCACGAGGGCGCCACCCCATGTTTCTGGTCTTCCCCCCCCCTCTTCATCTCGACTCTGCTGCAAGGCGAATGGGCTTTCCGTCGGACTGCCATGGAAGCTGACGATGATAGCCGCAGTCAGGCTATCCTGATCGTCACAGCGGTTTTTCTCGCCATCTCGCTCATTGCCGTTATCCTTAGAATATTTGTTCGGACTCGCGTGGTCAAGGCATTCGGCAAGGATGATGTCTTTATGTTATTGGCCATGGTTCTCAACATGGCCTTCGCCATTTGTGGATTCCTCGGAGTGAAATACGGAATGGGACGGAGATTGGTTCACTTTGTAGGAAGGGAGGATGATTTCCATAAGGCCCTGCTGGTATGATACAACGATTTCCAGGCGGCGCAATGGTGAAGATTGCTAATTCTGTTGATGTATAGTGTTGGTGGCTAGGCCAAATCTTCTATGTCATTACCTGTGTCGTCGCCAAGATATCCATTATCATCACTCTTTTGCGCATCACCGTGGATCGCGTCCACGCTTACATTCTTTACGCCGCTATCACACTTGCCACCGCTGTTGGCTTAATCTTCTTTTTCTTCACTATCTTCCAGTGCAGTCCGGTCGAGTTTTTCTGGAACCGACTCACCGAAACCGGCACCTGTATCAGCACCGACCTCCTCATCGACATCGCATACCTGTATAGTGTCGGCGCGGCCGTCACCGACCTCACTATTGGCCTCCTCCCAGTGGCACTAATCTGGAATCTCCGCATGAATCAGCGCACCAAGGCCGCTATTGTCGGCATCTTAGGAGTCGGCTGCATGTAGGTCACGCCACCACCTCTCCCCAGATTCCATTGCTAATAGGATTCAGTGCGAGCGCCGCCGTGATCATTCGCATTCCTTTCGTCAAAAACTACAAAAGCACCGAATTTCTGTGTACGTTGCGCCTAGTCATATACCCACACCCCATACTACTTTTCTACCCTCCCTGATTGGATCCTTCGGCTAACAGTCAATATAGATAATACCTACCAAATCTCCATCTGGTCAAACGTCGAAGCAGGCCTAGGCATTACAGCCGGATGTCTCACCACCCTACGCCCCCTAGTCCGATTCCTCCGCGATGGCTCCTCCGGCTCCCGCAGCCGCAACAATCGCACTCCCGCTCCAGGATCTTTTCCCCTATCCAGCAATGTGGCGCAGAAGTTCCACCGCTCCTCGCGATCAAGGCACGACGTTGAGGAAGGGCATCTTTGGACTGGTACAGATCAAGATGACTACCATGGTATCACGACTACTATCATGGGGACCCAGCGTCCGCATCCCAGAAGTAGTAGTGAGGAGGATTTAAATCCGCTGAGTACTGGGTGGAAGGTTGAGCGATCCGTTCGGGTGTCCGTGCGCGATGAATGAGGCGGGTTCTGTTCCCACTCTCCATATTACGTATAATTAATGTACTATACCATTCACGACCACAAAAAAATAAGTAATGTTTTCAATGATTCATACTTGGGTGTTTCATTTAGTTCGCAGATGGCTGTTTTTCTCTTTTGTTCGGACAACAATCCCCTTGTCCTTGTTCCAAGCTTTCCAGGGAACGATCGGTGGCGCCAGTGGGTCTATTGTATCGTAAGCGAGATGATGCAGCACCCTCGAAACTCGAAGCACCGACTCTACACAGCCGACTGTTTCACTATAACCTCCATCTCTCCACGTTCAGACTTTCGGCAATTGGATCGTTTCGATCGCCACCCCACTGTAGGGTCTTGAGTGTTCTAATTAGTATAGTTTGGTTTCGTAGAAGTGCCGTTGGAACAAGTGAGATACAAGTGTATTTTATCAGTACTTTCGTGCAAGATCTAGTCCCTTTCCGGCCTAAAGGGGAAACAACCCGCCGGCTCGATCGTCAGTTAACGAACTTAATACCCAATTATATTCTGGCGTACGGGTAGCGTGTTACGTATGTACAGCGATGGTGATACATTACTAAATCTGAAAGTATTGAATATTCTTGTAGAACGTGATTTTAATTGTCTTGCGCCACGGACGGCGTTACCCAGCCTTCGACTAAGCCTATTGAAGCTAGGTTCTAATTCATGGACAATCTAGACGATTACGTATGAGTGTATCTGAGCAATGCGCCACAGCTTGGTGTTGACATTGATGCCTGAAAAATGGTACTTTTGTCTCAATAATGAGCATGCACCTCCTGTTTCTCGGGATTTGATGCCATGATCGACCCGCACATTAAACTGAAAAGACCCACGCTGAGACGAAAATTTCAAGCCGTTGAGGAATGTTGAAATTCTGGCAGATCACAACTCATAGAGGGCACGTGGACATGTGAAGATATCGATGAACAATATTAGCCAGGGATTCGTCATAGTGCGAGTACGCGAATCCCTCGGTTGAATCTCTAGGCATTGGCAGGCACGTGAGCTGAACATAGCATCTGACCACCACTGGGTCAGGTATTCTTTCTCTCTAAAAGACACCGAGATACAGGGAGATGACAGCTGACCTGTTTCCATGCTCCCTGCTTTCCATTTAATACCTCTCTGGATGGTTGGCTGGGGGAAAGGTGGGCATAGGATTCCGCTTCCGAGATTGCAGAACTCGGCAACCTGGGAAAGTGATATCCGACCACAATATACATTCTGAACTTAGGCCTTTCCCTCACCACTAGATAGAGAGACATAGCTCCTAAGCTCCCAAAACTCTTTTTTATTTTATTCTTTAGTTTTTTTTTTTCTTATTGTTTTCCAAAGATAGCTTTTCGACATTATAAAAAAACCTCAGCAGGCATACAGGTTACACCTAGGCATTGAAGAGTGACCATTAAATTACAGCCAAAAAGATTAGATATGTTGAAAAGCCCTGTTTGGGCCTATGAGATTCATTATCTAGGTCACACTGGATGGACAGAAACTCATCCTTTCCTTACCAATTGACCTACTGCCTAGTCTACTTATCTAGAAATCGATACAGACCTTGCCAATGTGCTGACCACTGGCAACGTATTTCAAAGCCTCAACGACTTGGTCACGACCAAATTTGGAAGTCTTCTCAACAGGCACAGGGAGACCCCGCTCACCGATGAAGCGGACAACCTCCTCCAATTGCTGTTTCGATCCGACCATAATACCATGAACAACAGCGCCTTTGGAAAGAGTAAGGGAAGCGACATCAGGCATATTTTCTTGAGTGGCAGATGAGAGGAAGCCAATGATTGCGATAACACCACCGAAACCAATTGCTTCGAGTGACTGTTTGATGTTCCGGAGCCACCGTTCTCTAGAATGTAGTCAACACCCTGCCCTCCGGTAATCTTCCGAGCCTCAGCCGCCCAGTTGGGGGTCTTCTTGTAGTTGATAGTGTAGTCAGCTCCATATTTAGCCTTGACATGCTCAAGCTTCTCATCTGAAGAGGATGTGATGATGGTCGTAGCACCTGCAGCCTTGGCCAGTGCGAGACCAGTGATTGACACACCGCCAGTTCCTTAATAGGATGATTAGTTTATTTCCCCGGTTAATTGAACAGATGCTTGATTTACCTTGGAAGAGAACAGTTTGACCTGGCCTCAATGGGTTGTTTCCACACAAGGCATTCCACGCTGTGGTACCAGTGCAAACCACACTCGCCCACTGGGCATAACTGAGTGCAGAACTCTCAGGGATTTTGACAACCGCCGAGGTGGGAACGGCGATGTATTGTCTCAATACACCGTCGGCAGGACCACCCAGAGCTGTCGTCCATGTCTTGATCGGTCCATACAAGGTCGTAGGTTCAAAGGCAATAACAACCCTGTCGCCTTTTTCAAATCCAGACACACCCTCGCCAGTCTCAATGATGTCACCGGCTGCATCCGAACCTGGGACTACATTCTCCTTGACTGCGAAGGGGTACTGGCCGGTCGCAATGGCGATGTCTCGATAGTTCAAGGAAACGCTTTTCACTTTAATGAGAACCTCATGCTTCCCAGCAGAAGGCTGAGACTTCTGAGACTCGGCTATGTTATCCAAGGAGCCCTGAGAAGTGAGTCAGAGAACAGTGTGCGAAACCATATTTGAAGATGATGTAGAAGAAACGTTACTTTGATTGATTATAGGAGTTAATGGATTTGCAAACCACAGAGACACGGGCTTTTATAAGCAGCGGTAGTTTGACGTCGTAATTCTTTCTCCAAATCAAGTTTGTTTTCGTCATGATAGCATCGACCTTATGCAATCAATTTCCCTCTCCATGAGGGGTGATTAATTTTGTAAACTCTCCGAGATCTCGATTATCTGCCCCGGCTTCTGACAAACCAACCCCAGGCATTTTCTATCGCTAGTAGGAATCTAGTTCGCGACTTGAATAGTTATTTTAGCGGGTACAAATAATTGTACGATTACTCATAATATTCTGCCTAAGCTTCATGGTTGATTAAAGGATCTAAGATAGGACCTGTTATCTGCGTGTGTCTCATACAAAGGCTGGGAAAGAACCGACTTTTTCTCTGCCAACATTTCCGATATGTGCTTGTAAGCTGAAGCAGACGATATCCAAGGACATCCTGCTGTATCTGATGCAACATCGAGTTTGTTATGATGAAGTTGATCATCTGTTGAAGGGAATCGTGGAGGTAGCGGTGGGATTTGTGGTTGGTCAATTTGACCAATGTCTGTTGTATGTCCGGTATGGCTAGAAGAGGGTTGCCCAGTTTACGACATTTCGATGTTTCGCCAGGTACGCGGGGCTACCCTCGCAGGAAAGGCAGAGCAGCACCGAAGGCCGGAGCTAAGCCCGAGTCTGAGCCCGAGCCCGAGCCCGAGCCCGAGGGCGTCGTATCCTTCATGTTTGGCCGATGACGAGCCATGGAATAGCGCATCAAATCCATTTCCAGGTTACAATAAAGTAGAGCCATTATCTTTGCGCTTGTAGCATCTCAATAATCACCGTCACGTCACGTCACATCGTGGTCGACTGGACATTATGTTGTTATCCACGCTATCATCGGAGACAACTTTCACGGCGCTCGGCCTAGTGCTTCTCTATGGCCTTTATCGTCTTCTCCAGGTCGGAAAACGTGACCCCCGACTACCGCCTGGTCCTCCAACCGTGCCTATCTTTGGTAACATGCTTGATATCCCTGCCACAGGGTTAGGCAAGAAGTAAGCCCGCATAGAATTTGCATTTTCTAATTGGCATCTAAACGAGATGACAGGTTCATGGAATGGTCAAATCAATATGGCAAAATATATTCCCTCAAGGTCGGACCAGGGACGATAATCGTCATATGCGATCGCAAAGCCGTCCACGAATTGATCAATAAGAAAGGCAGCATCTACTCTGACAGACCACCTAATATTGTACCGCTTTTCATCACTCGCGGCAGCCATATAACTATGGAGCGTCAAGGCCCTTCATGGCGAGAAAAGCGGACGCTTGTGACAAGAAATATGAATCCGAAATCACTTGACGAGAAGTACTTCCGTATCCAGGAGGCCGAGTAAGCTTTCATTCCCAAGCATCAAATTCCACAGGGTTGTTATATTAATACTTTCTGGAATGTAGAGCTGTTCTTCTCATGAATCGACTAGTGACAGACCCCAAAAGCTTTTTCCAGTACGCCAGGCTCTACGCGTCCTCCGTCGCGGCAGTGTTAGCCTGGGGGTTCCGTGCGAAGAACCTAGATTCATTCTGGTTCAAGGACACGTCCGCAATGATCGAGGAGGTAATAACTGATCTTGATATTCCTGCTAGCTTTATCATTGATTGAACTCATAGTTCATTAAGGCTATCGAACCCGGTGCTAACCCGCCAGTGGACATAATTCCACCCTTATGGTATCTGCCTGGAAAGTGGAAGAAGCGCGCATATCGCGTACGCAAAAAGATGGACGTTACCTGGGGCAAAGCCCGCCAGATGGTAGATGAACGCCGCGCCCGAGATAACAAACGTGAGTGCTTAATCGACATGAAATTAGATGACTACAACAGTAATGGCTGGCCAATGAGTCAGCATGCCTTTAACAATTTCTTTGGTGAGCTGATGGAGGCTGGGGCCGACACCACTGCGAATCAGATCCTTACTCTGATTATGGCTCTGGCCAAGAATCCAAAGGTCCAGGAGAAGGCCCGTAAAGAGATTGATGTAGTCTGTGGGACCGACCGAGCTCCATTATTCACCGATTTTGAGAAGTTGCCCTACATCAATTGCATTATAAAGGAAGGTCTCCGTTGGCGTCCTACGTGAGTCTCCCACTAGAATTATACTATTAAAGCGCGATCGGGGTTTTGCTAATAGGCATTTAAACATGTAGAACCGATCTTGGACTTCCCCACACCGTTACACAAGGTTGGTCTCGATCGATAAGCCATAAATTTGATTTTAAAGCTAATCGATGTTTTTCTTTTCACTTAGATGACTGGTATGACGGCATGCTGATCCCTAAGGGAAGTACCATCTTTATTGGTGTATGGGCTATGCACCACGATGAAAACTACTACCCTGATCATGACACATTTAACCCGGATCGATTCGTGAACCACACTAAGCTGGCACATGACTATGCAGTGGGATCCAACTATGAGAACCGCGATAAGTGCTGTCTTACTCGATAGATATAGAGATCTGACTGACATCCATTTACATCATTATGGCTACGGCGGTGGACGACGAATATGCCCCGGCATCCACCTGGCTGAGCGTAGCATGTGGCGCATCACAGCCAAGTTGCTCTGGGCCTTCGAATTTGACGAACCCATCGACCCTGAAAGTGGCAAGGCCAAGCCTCTGGATCCCAACGCCTACACTTCTGCCAACCTGGTCTGCCCTCTCCCCTTCGAAGTACGGATCAAGCTGCGCAGCCCGGCCCATGGTGAGGTAATGAAGCAGGAACTGGTTAGGGCGGAGGAGTTCTTGTCTCAGTATAACTAAGTCCGGCATGCATGATTACTATCTTGTCTATAATAACGCTCCTTTGCACGTTGTCTCATGTTTCAGGTATGGTTTTAAGATGAGCGTGGTAGTGTCAGAGCCAGGTTGTGAATGATGTTTTGAGCTATGCTCACAAAAAGGTCGAACTTTCAAAGCGAAGCAACAATTGTGCCCTTATGCAGTAGCCCCACCCACTCGATGTATTGATTGGTGCTCCCAATCCCAACGTAAAATTCAATTTCCATTCTCTACTGCACTAGCATCCACCACAACCATGACGGGGGCGGGAAAAAGAGACAGAAGAACCCAACACCAGGGCCATCCGAGGTCAAAAGTCCGAGCATAAGCCCCGAAATCTAGGCGTTTGGCTGTCCACCGCTAGGAAAGTTCGAGAAGGAAGAGAAGGAGCCCAGCCACCAGTAAAGACATGCCAAAGAAGTCGAGCTTGGCCAGTTGCATTTTCTACGCGTAGTCATTTCCGTGGAGCTCAGCGAAAGACGGAGGATGGTTGAAAAATTATCAGAGGGTGGTTCCGCAGACTGTCAAGGAAAGAGCTTCAGTATTGAACATGATAGACAAAAATAGTGGTGGTGTAACTTACCCATGAAAGTGATATGAATATAGAAGATACATGGCTAGTTAGCCAGGGTGGCCAGGCTAAGCCCAAGATAACTTTCACGCCGATGGGTGGGTTGATGCTTGTAGCCATGCAAGCTGGAATATCTCCAGTGATTCCAAGGCAGTATACTGCAAGTGCAAAGTTATGGCGACCAAACGTGTCCGGATTACGTCCGAAGAAAATATATCAATGCGCTGGCTAATGTTCCATATAATAGTGAAGAGAAATGTTTGCGCTGGGTCTTCTGTCTACGGGTTCTAAACACAGTATTCTTTTGATCTGGATAGCACTGTTCTTGGACCTAAGGTAGTGGTATTAACACCTGTAACTAGTTCCTATGCTATATTACTCGTTCACCGAAACCGGGGAAATGCCATAATTAGGACTACGGACCATCTATACGCTAAGATATGAGGGAAAGTGGAGGGGAGGGGGTGCAGACTTTTGCGCTATATTGTAGTCTCATCGGTGTCTTCATAAGCTTTAAATGACACTAACACCGCTTAGTTTAGGCTCAAATTCAACTCTTCAATGGCGAATACACAACATGGTGACGTGTATTATGCTTCTCTTGAGTGTTCCCGAGATTCATGCTTATAGGTCGGCCTGAGAGGAATATTGCGCGTAAGATCTAGGTCCATCTGCTCTGTCTTTTCGCTTCAGATGCTCCTCGACGGGTAGTTGCGGATCATCATAATCTATGACCAGTCCCGAGAGTTCACTATTTGCGTGAGTCAAAACCTGCGCATAGATGCTTCCGATGACTTCAGGTGTCACCATGTCAACCTTTGACACAAAATCCTCGTAATACTTGGTATCCTCTGCAGTCCAACCATCCTCTGCCACAGAGTTAGATTATGTTTATATTTGGAATGAAAGCCAACTTACGTTGACCGGAACGTAGACTAGCAACCATCTTAGTATCGCAGAGGCCTGGAGAGATACCAATGGCAGTAATGTCCTTTTCCTCGAGGTGCAACTGCTTTACCATAAATGCCACCGCAGCTTTAGACATGCCATAGAACCCCCAACCAGCGAAGAGTGGGGCAACTCCTGCCCCGGATGTCGCAGCAATGACACAGCCCTTGGTTTTGCGGAGTTCCGGGATGGCGTAGTGAAGCTGACAACCATTAGTATAAAAAGCCCCCCCCCCCCCAAAATGCAAAGAGAGGTGCCAATGCAAACATATTGACTCACGGTGCTCAAGTGGGAGAGGACATTGATGTCGATCCCTCTTTTCCATTTTTCCATTGGCGAATTCTCAAGCCGATGACATGGTCCAAAGACCCCTGCTGCCAAGACAACACCAGTAATGCGATTAAATTTGGCTATCGCCAGCTTTACACACTGCTCAGAGACCTCCGGCTATCCTTTGCTGTTAAACCAAATCATGTCCAGAGCTTAGTCCAAAATCAACTCACCTTGACAATGTCTCCCGTAACCACCTCTAATCGGTCTCCATATACCTTTTTCTGGTCCGCCAACGGCCCTTCGACAATGTCGGTCGCAACCACGCTAGCGCCATGTTGCTTTAAGAGACTGCGGACAATCTCACTACCAATACCCCCGGCGGCTCCAGTGACTATCACAACGTGAGAAGAACCCATTTCTAATTAATGTTGAGGGCTTGACAGAATTAGAAGATTCCATAGATGATAGGCTTCTCAGCTGGAGCCCCAACCCTCCCCGGGCTGTCGAGGAAATATATATCCTCATACCCGCCTCGCCTCCACATAGCAGCGGGGTAGGTTTACCGATACCCGAGAGTTCTACTCGGCTTCACTGAGAATACGGAAAATACCCTTTCTGGGGAGGGGTGCTTCATGGGTGATTAATCGTCCCTTCACCAGGGTCTTCAACTCACAAATAGAAGACGGGATTTAGGGCCGAAGCCGGAAACATCCCTTACACATGTTCATATTTAGCTCCCCTTTTTTCTTATTATTCAGTCCGTTTCACCTGTAAGAATGTAGTTCACGTCAGCGCAGCTCATTTTGGGCTCTCACTGACCGGTCACAAGAACCATTGATGGTTTTGGTTCTTCGCAAGACATTAGAGACCAAATATAACTATTAGAAATGTGTATGGCAGATATCTCTTATTACAGGCGTATTTAAAGGATAAGATGATTATAACTATGTATTTGATTGACTTCGACGGTAAAATTCATCGAGTCACCTACCTAGGTAGTTTATATGGTAATTCAGTCACATGATGTGGAGAGTATCTGTGAAATACATTTACACTCATCAATGGCTTCTCCACTTATAAGTTCGCTTCCCCCTACCCCACATCCTCGGACTCGGGCCCGGGCTCGGGCTTGGACTAGGGTGCGGGCTTCCGGGTGAGGCAAACAACGTTTTTTAACATAATCCATGAGTGACGCGGATACAAGCTTAGTGCCGATCTTCCAGAATTAATCTGAATCGCGCTGACATTACCGAATGAGGATTCATGGTGAGCAGTGCTACAAAAGACTATATTCAGGCTATTATGTTCCTTCTTTGGCGCTAAGTTCCCTTTGAAAGCAAATTTAGACTTGATGTTATATGCACCTCATTTCTTATGTGATCCCAGACATGTTAGGCGGTTAATGCCATATTCCAGGCTCTTGATCGTGGCATGCGCGTCCGCCGCTTCCTATGACGTTATCTAAGATCAATAATCTGTATAAAAAGCAAGAAAGCTAAACACTTGGCAGAGAAAGCAAACAAGAGTTGATTCAAGCTATGCACTGAGATTCTACGAATGTAGAGCCAACCATACCAGAAATCTCATAATCATATTGCGGACTGTGAACCATATTGCTCTAATAAATTAAGGCAAGGTTAAATCCTATAATTCCTATGGGCCTAGTAGTTCTCAATGATCAGGCTTAACATCCAAACGACCGTTGCATGACTTCGACTGGCGATCTTCGTCTTGGCCACGATTTACTGGGTTTTTGAAATAAGGGATTGGAATGAATCCGAAGAACAAGTTGCCTTCGGGCAGACCTGGCGACGCCCCGAGTGGAGGTCCAATTTAAAATGCTTGACATGGAACGTTAACCCGTGTTTACTGACGCGTTGGAAAAACTGCACTATTCAGATGAGTAACACTCTTTAAGGATATTAAAAACTGGTTACTTAAGCGTAAATGATATTCACAAAGCATGATAAAAAAGCATTATAACGCCAGCCATAAACAATGGATGGTTGACATAACTAACGTCCTCACATCCAGCATATTCACATTGATGCAAACCTGCCCTTATCGATCAAACGTCGATCGAATTGCTTAGACGGTAATGACTACTTTACCCGTAGCTTTGTTATTCTCCATATATTCGTGAGCTTCTCCGATTTGTTGCAACGAGAATACTCGGTCCATGAAAGCTTCAGCTTTGATAACACCGCGTTCAACCTTGTCGATGATGCATCGAACGAAGTCGGCGGCCCCCTCATCATAATCCTCTGGCATAGTGGTATAGAAAGTCAACTTCCGAACCGCTCCCATGTCAGTCGGCGAAAATTCACCCATGGAAAAATTCAGGGACAATATTCCTGCGTGAACGACCGTACCATGGCGAGCTGTCGATGACAAAGCAAGTGGGTTAATATTCTCCGGCCCAACAATTTCGAACCATGTATCGAAACCTTTGGGCGCTAGCTTCGGGATGGTTTCTTTCAACTCATCTTCCAGTACGACATAGTCGGCTCCCGCCAATTTTAGACGCTCAATTTTGGACTTGTTGCGAGTGGTTGCGACGACCGTGCAACCAATATCCTTTGCTAAGATGATCGACCAAATCCCAACTGAGCTACTAGCTCCATGGATAAGAATTAAGGACCGAGGCTTCATCTGTGCGGCAATGTCCAACGCTCCGTGTGCAGTCCACATACTCATGACCGCGCCGCCTAGCACTTCCCAGGGTAGAGAAGTCTCCAGCTTCACCACAGCTTGTTCCGGACTGATCGCATACTCTGCGTAGGAGCCATCAAATGCTTTACCTCCACCGAACATCCAGGCAACAACTTTATCTCCTGACTTGAACTCCGTGTTGCTTCCAGCCTTTTCCACTTCCCCCACCATCTCTTCGCCTATGACTTTTGGTGGATCGGCGCGATACTCCTTTGCGAAGAGGTTGAATTCCAAGATATGGCCAGGAAAGCCATGGCGCGAACGGAGCTCTGCACGATTGAGCCCTGCAGCTCGTACTCGTATCAGGACCCAATCTTGCGAAGGTAAAGTAGGCTTTGGGTAGGCAGGATCGATGGTGAAGCAGGCACTTGGTGGAGAAGCCCCTGGTCGCGTAAGCACGGCGGCTTTCATTGTCCCCGAGGGTTCATTATACCATGACGGCCTTTGCATTCTTACTTTCTTGCCTTTTGTTGTTGGACTCGGCGTATGACTGAAAGATAAGCGGATATCGCTCGTATTTCGTTCGTGTGAGGTTTGTCCAGATGCAGATGCAGATGCAATAGAAATGACAGGAAACCCACGATCACCGTACAGCAAATTCACAGATACCTCGGTTTTGTATTTGGACCGAGTTCCAGGTTGCACTACTGCGAGAATTCGCGTCTCCGCTCACCGGGTTCGGCCTCGGCCTTGGTCTCGGGCTCAGAGAAGATGACAGGAGTCCATAGAGGCATTACCCAAGAGTAGGTGAGTTAAGTGCGTATGTCGCGGCTCCCAATAGAGCGACGGGTCCGTATGCTTAACCATTAATCAAAATTGTCTGCTTATTAGTCACACATAGTAGATCAACTAACGTATTTCGCCCCTAGGCGAGCCACCCCGCTCGGCCGGGCCACCCTATCAAATGCTGATAATTCAAATTAACGAAATATGATCAAAACAACGTGATATTTAATATAAGCTATTCTGCTAATGTTAGATAGTACGTTCTATACCAGAGTGGTAAATTACACTTAACTCTAATGCTTCTCTCTGTAACGGGCCTGAGCCCGTGGAATGTCACGTGTGCGCACGTGAATGGAACTAAATAACCTTTCTTCCTTGAGCTTAGTAAGCAGCATGTTGCCTAGTCTAGTTGTATGAAACTTGACTTTAGCCCTTCACATACATTAGGCTTCCTCTTACGGACAAGAGTATCCCCTGACACAAGCGTCAGAAGATGACCGCGCGTTATCGCCGTCGTAGAGGAATACCCCTGATTACGCACACTAGAAGTAAGTAGAAACGAAGAACGCGCCTATAAACGAATATTGTGCGAAGCGCCCGCGATTAACCCTTCATAATGGATACGATCGTACGAAAGCATAGATGGACTATAGTCTATAAGGGCATTTTGGTCATGAACGAGCACGCTTAGACTTCCGCAGAACTAGACTTCCGCAACACCCAACTCAACCCGGACCCAACCCGGACTCAGTTGGGTTTTGGGTCGAAGATTCGGACCCAATGCTGGGTCCGGGGCCGTAACTAGCCTTCGGCATAATGGGCCGGGCTGGGCCCTGGATTTAAAAAATGGGGGCCCATTGCCGAAGCCTAAAAGCAATCAATGGCTCATCGCTCCAACGCAGAATCTCGGTGATTTTCGAAAACACACTTATGTATGTGCTGATCGACTCCCTCTGGCAGATTTGGAATAATTCGATTTCAGACGATACGTCATGTATCCTCTTCTTGGATCTTAGCCATTCGTTGATCCAACTCCGTGTCAGCCATCTTCAGTTCAAAAAGGAAAATCCCTTGGATCTTGAACTTCGACGCGATTGGCGAGGTATAGCCACATCTAATATATGGAAGTAAAAATTAGCCTTTGAGATGCTGCCAGAATTATGTGAATGAGAGCCGACCGGAGGTGATACATATCGATTCATATCAAGCAAGAGCGGGGTGGATTCAGAAAGATAAACTTACATGCAAAAAGCGATTCGGTAGGATTTGCAGTATAGCTTAGGAGAACTTTGAACCGACAACATAATATTCGAAGTGTAAACGCTCTGTTGCTTATAAGGAGCAAATTGCAGGAAGAGGTCACATAGCGAGATCTCGGTGTTAGAAAAATGAGACGGAATTACATTGTTAAATGAAAAAATATCATTATTCCAGACGTCTGGCTCATTCAGAAAGGAGAAGCTCTGAACCATATGATCGAATAAGTCCTCGACGGGAGAGGTAACACGAGGTAAATATGTTGCTTCGGATGAGACGAGGTCTAGAACTTGTGACTCCAAGCTGTTTCATTAAAAGTCACACCAGACTCGAAAGTTCCGTAGGGATGAGATATCAAGTTTTCCAAGTCCTCCTGTATTTGAACATTGAGGGCTTCAGTTGGCGCAACTGGTTCTTCGACACTCGCAGGCGAATGGCATAGTCGTTCATGGCGACTTAGAAGATCCCTAGAATGAGAGATGTAAGTCCACGAGCGAGTAGGCCGGGCAAATCAGCCCTTACTGCCGAGTAAATGAGCTACCGCAATGGCAAACGAATGGTTTCTCTTGAGTATCTGTGATTGTGGGTTAGAATGCGGCATTGATCTGTGGGACAAGAGCAAATCAATGCAAGGGCCACGGACGAATACGCTCATGTCTCTGTAGATGCTCTAGTCGCTTGAACTGCTTCTTGCAAAAGCGGCATGGGTCGACCTGTAATTTGGGTCTCCCCTTGGGTCTCCCTTTGGCCATGGGGACAAATTGTTAGGGATGGGGTATGTATTAATGGGGCATGTAGGATGATTTTCTTCCAACACTGCACCTACATGACGTAATCAACCATCTCACCACAGATCACATAATCAACAATTGGGCTTTCCATTTGTGCCTCATGACCTAGGCCCTGAGTTCTACGCGTATCAATAACCAAAATTTGTACATTTTCCTAATCAGTCATCTTGCAACCTAGCCATACAGCTACGTTCTATCCAGAATGTGTAGATTAGAAAGCCTGAAGCTTCAAAGAATAATTGATAGACGTTTCATATTAGGTATACACAATCTTGCGACTATTAGACTGGGCCGCCCGGACTGGGTTTCGTACCCATCAAACCAAAATGTGACAAGATAGAAAGCCAACGCTAATCATTTCACTCTTTGATCTCCTGGGCCGTCTCCTCGCGGACGAGACCCTCCTGCGAAGATGCTGACACGGTCGCAAAGGCATCAACCTGAGTTGAGGAGAACTTGCGCGCAGGAACCTTCCTGGCGAAAAGGATGTCCAACTCAGCGTAGGTACGGTCCTTGGGTTCTGGTAGGCGGAAGAAAGCCCATGTGAATGCAATCAACGCGGTACTTCCCCAGAAAAAGCCGGTCTTACCAGACGCATTCCATGCGGTTGGGTTCATGAAATAAGGCTCCAAGACTTGCGAGACGACGTTGATGAGCTGGTAGGCTGTTCGTGCAAGGCAGACGGTCAATGTTCGTAGGCGGACTGACGAAATTTCCGCGACGACGGAGTAGGCGATTGGCCCGACGGTTAAGGAGTAGGTGAAGAGCCAGATCATGCAGAGTGCTGCTTGAGCCCACATGGAACCGTCACTCGATGACGCGGCACTGATAATTCCGACGAGGAATAAGATAGTGGCGAGGATACCCTGGCCCCAGACATACAGGGTTCTTCTACCAAACTTTGTGATTAGGAACCAGGAGAGTGCGGTGCCTACGAAGCTAACGGCTGTGCATCCAACTCCAAGCTGGAAGGATCGGTTGGTGCTCATGCCAGCTTGCTCGAAGAAATACGTAGGTGTGTAGGCGAACGAACTACCAGCCATGATCTGCCCCATGAAAGCGACGCAGCAAATTTCTGTGCGGCGCAAATCCACTCCCTTGAAGCACTCCGCGTATGTTGTTCCAGACTCGATCTCGGCTTCAATCTTGGTGGTGTGCACCAGCATTGCCAATTGCCCGTTAATTTGATCCTCGGTCTTGTTTCCTCCAAGTCGGCGGAGGCTGCGCTTTGCATCCTCAAGTCTGTCCTTCCGTACGAGGTACCATGGGCTCTCTGGTGCCAGCCAGCAGATTACCATCAAGGGCACTGGCCAGATCCACTGCAGACCAAACGGAATACGGTATGACCACTGATCCGTTCGGCCGACCAGGCCGTACAACACGCCAGAGGCAATAAGTTGACCAATGGCCCAACACATGTTTACATAGATGGTGAGGTATCCACGCAGGTTTGTGGGGCAGACCTCGGATGCGTAGGCGGGGCCAACAGTTGCGAAGACTCCCCAGGAGAATCCGCATAGGATCTGGCCGACAAGGAGGACGGCAGCTGAGTTGGCGAAGAAGGTGATAAAGATGAAGGCAGTGAGGAACGCCAGTGCCACAATCATGACGCCTCGGTATCCGAATTTTGAAGCAAAGTATCCATTCATAATACCGCCTAGGCTTGTCAGTGATTACTCCTCGTGTAATCCTAGGAGAACTCACCAAAGATACATCCCACTGTACTAGCCATACTGAGTCCCGATTGCCATGGGGCTGACACTTGATATTCATTACCCTTGGCATACCAGCTTCCGTACTTTTGCGTAAATGTGGGATAGGCGTAGAAGTTTCCCATGAGAATCGTATCATATCCTTCCATGATAATTGACATCGAAATCAACATTGACCACGCGACAGCCTTGCGGTTGTCACGCAGTGCCTGGAACAGAGTCTGAGCATGCTCCTCGTCGCTCGCCTGTTTCGCTTCGATGATCGCACCGTGACCCAAAGTATCCTCAACATGGTGCGCCGCTGTCTTCTCTAGCGCGATCTCAACCTGAGTAGTTGCCATGGCGGAAATATAAGATAGCGACCGAAAACCCAGTTCCAAAGATCCCGTAGCCTCTCAACGGGTTCCCGACAAGGGATGGACGAGACTAGAAATATAAGACTTTCTGCCCGGCATAGTCTCGACACGGCCTACCACGTGCCGGGACGGATTCCGAGGAGAGTGTGGAGAAGGATACCAATGGCAGAGGATCAGACCATGTATTCAGCCTAATAAAAAGTCGAATGCCAGTTTTGCACGAGCTGAAGAGCTGGTCCAGCCAGTAAGATAACAAGGGACATAGAGTCTTGCCACACGCCGGAATGCGAGATTCGACAAGAATCCTAATTTTGCACCTATCATATCACCCGGCACATTAAGCTAGGAGCTAGCTCCATAATCAACCCGTGGATTCTTATTAATACCTGGGGAAGCGAGGGTCGCGAATGGGGGAGCGGGGTTATGATTGGATCCCGGGTTCGATGGCTGCCGCCGCAAAAGGCCCTATTCCCTTCGGGTAACGGAGCTTCGCGCCGAGACTGCCTCACACGGATTGTGTGATCTTAGCAGGGTTGGCTTTCGCACGCGCCCGATGCTCTTATTCGTGCTCCGATCGCTGATTCTTGGGATTCCGGAGTGTCGGTCCGGGGTGTTGGCCTTGACCGATCGAGTTGCATGAATGGCAGGGAATGTGAAAACCTAATGTGGTTAAAAGTTGTCTTTTTAGCCACGTTATCGGGACATTTTGACCCTGCCGATATTTTCTTTGGCGATGATGGCCCGGTGGGGGACCGAGGATGAAGATCAGACGAGCTGATCTAGTGCAGTCTGACGATCCGGGGTTTCCAAACATCGCGCACAGACCTCCTTGTTCTCCCGAGTTCATTTCCCGGCGGGTGAAGTCTGATGTTTTAAATATTGCTAGGAGGCGAGGCTGGTATAAGAAGATCCCATGAGTCATTCACGGGTTTTGCAAGAGCGTCCAGATTTCCAATTGCCCAGGGACCTTGGGATCAGATGGAGTGCGTGAAACCCAGGAGACTTCTAGTCTAGTACTCTCCGCAAAGAAGATGGAAGTTGTAAATAAAATTTATTCCCTGGGAGATATTCATATATAGCAGAAGCCCATCTGTTACTCATAATTTTGAACATAGCCTCAATAAAGTCATGGAACCTTTCCCTACCAGGCAAGAACTTACATGCATGCCGTGGTTCTAAGTTCCTTAGTGGCACCTCAAGCCAACTATATGCCTTGTCTAATTAGACAAGACTATTGCTCACGAGACAGAAGTCCCTCTGCCTCCTGAGCATCGTTAAATAGCCCTCCGTGTGATTTCTCCAGAGACTCCGCCATCGCGAGGGCGTCGCGGCGCCCCTTGTCGGCATTTACCATCCACACCAGGGGGATGGGTAGCACAATCAAGATCGCGATGAAGAAGAAGCCAGACCGAACCTGACCAGTTGCGTCCACGAGTACTCCTACCACAGCGGGTCCGATGAATGAGCTGCCTTTGTCTGTGGCGGCATATAGCGCATAAAATGCAGCCTCGCTACCAGGAGGAATCAATAGACCAAAGAAGGAGCGACAGTACGAAGCGAGGCCTCCAGACACGATACCGTGGACAATTGCAAGCGGGAAGATCTCCCATGATTTTTGCAGTCCAATGACTCCCCAATTTTTGATGAACGGGATATAGGCTAGCATTCCATAGAGCGGAATTGTCTCGAACAGCACAATACAAACGATGATTGTTTGATTTGGCTTCAATCCGAAACGCCGAGATACGTGAGGCCAGAGGAACGCACCAGTCATACCCGATAAAGTAGCAGTGATCGACAACAAACCGACTGATGTTGTGCTCATCTTTAGTTCTGTACGTGCGAAGAGGATGGCGGTACCGGAGACAGTTGCCATGGCATCAGACAACAGAAACCAGGCGACGAGAAAGATCATAGCTTCGCGCAACTTCACGGCCACTTTTACTGTCTTCCAGAGGGATTTCCATGCAAATCCCATGAGACGCAACCACACGCGCCACCGAGAGGCGCCAGGACTGGATGATGTATCCAGTCGGGGCCCAGGTCGTGAGCGTAGCCAACGACCGGCGACAAACGTGAATAAACACCACCATATTCCAACCAAGAGCAGAACGAAGCGCATGGGTAGGGTTCCTGAGATTTCCGCGAGTTTGGTTTTGGAGAGTGTTACCAGGAGCGCAATACTCAGAATTTGCACGAATACCGCCGCGCAGTATCCAAGTCCCACCCCCTTAGAAGAGATCTTCGTAGAGAGTTGAAGTTCCGTGTTAGATCCCGAGCCTTTGCCCTTTAGACCATCCGCTCCGAGTGGAACATGTTGACCTGGGCCTTGCAAGCCGTCAAGGCTGTCCTCCTCGTCCCACGCATTCCAGTCAGCGTCATCGCCGACGCCACTATTACTGTTGCTCTGGAAGTTCGACATCTCATCACCTCCATCTTTGACTTCTTGAATTGAAGGATCATTGGCGACCAATACGGGCAGAAATGAATTTAGGACCACAAACGAGGAGCCGAGGCAGGTGACGCCGATTACTACCAAGACGGAGCCGAGAATGAAGACCGGCGGTGCGATAAGCACGAACAGCATGCTGGTAGCCGAGCCAATGAACCCGAAGGACAAAAGTAACGTTTTACGGTTACTTTCTGCGCCGATAGAATATACAAATCAATCATTGGCTCTATAAAAAAAAAAAGTGTGGTCAGGAAGCTTACCGTAGTCTGCCAGAGCACTGAACGAGACTAATGTTAATGCCTGGATTAGCACCGCCAGCGAAAACGTATACATCGCGAAACTGGCAGTGGTGATGTGGAGTCCCATCACCCCAACGATACACTGTTCGTCTGCCTGCGTGCCGTTCGCCGGCGCCTGAGGGCCCCAGCAGGGCAGGTGGCTGGTTTGCAGTGTGCCGTGTTCGCGCGCCAGCTGCTCAAGCGTGAGAGGCAAAAAAGAACCTGAAGTACAGAGTCAGCAAATAGTCTCGATGGGCTGGAATGGAGCTATTACGAACCTACACCACAGACCGCGAACACCTCGGCGGCAATGCCGTAAGCATACCAGCCAAGGATTTCGCGGCGGGTAGTCGGTGTGGTATCTTCGCCGGCATACCGAGGAGGCCTTTGCTGAGCCCCTTCGGTGGGATCAGGAGGTGATCTGATGGCGGCGAGGATATTCGACAGCATGGAGAGGTGAGGTTGAGAGATAAAAGGCTGAAGCTACCATCACGCGGTGAATTTCAAACCGGATGTCGACGGAAACGGGGCGGGGACGCACGATGTGGTCATTGCCGATCGCGATCGTCCAGGAACCACAGGGCGGATCCACTTTAGGTACCCCTTCGCGGCTGGCGTCAAGCTATACCACATCTGTCAATCTGGGAGGTAGTAGGTAGCTACTAGTATTTATGGAGGATGTAAACATAGAGGTGAAACGAACCAAACAAGTCAAAAAGCTAAATAAGTTTATCTCACCCATACTTGCCGTTTACGGCCCGGAACCGGCATCGTTCTTGCCTAAAGGATACTCCTGTTAGTATTTGAACTATTGTGGTGATCGGGTTTTTTTCTTTCTTCTACAACCCGCCAATTCATTTTTTTCCCTTACTTCGAGGGCTTTCATATCGTCCGTCAACATGGCTGGCATTTTGCATTACTTGACGTACTTCCTCGGCCGCTTGTTCTACCCCTTCCGAGGCCATGACTCCCGCCAGTTCATCTATAGCCCGGCATTCAAAGATATACCCAAGCCGAACATGACCCTTGAGTGTAAAGAATGTGGTCCGTCGGGCTCGAAGCTTCTTCTGCATCATACCTCCCTCGCTGAAGATGGCATCGGCTGCATTCCCGAACTGAAATGGACACCCCCACAAGTCACCGAGCCCGTCAAGGAATATGTCTTGATTAGCGAGGACATCGACTTACCAATTCCATTCCTCGTTATCCATCATGGCCTGTTTTGGGGAATCAATCCTTCCCACCGAGCTGTTACTCCACTGCAGACCAATGTGCCGAAGGACAATCCGAAGCGGCAGACTAATTCCGCGTGGAACTACGTACCCAACCTCCGAGGCGCAGCTTATATCGGTGCAAGCCCTGTCCTCGGTCATGGAACCCACCGATATGTCTTCACCATCATCGCGCTAAAGGAAACCCTCGAATTCGATTTCCCTGAGAAGGTCAGCAAATCGGACATCAACAAAGCCATCACTGGCAAGGTTATTGGTTGGGGTCAATGGGTTGGGGAATTTGAGCGCCCCTGGCCCAACTAAATCTCAATTTGACACTTTTCTTCGAGTCGCGCCTCGGAATAAAAGAGCGTCCAAAAGATTGGAGAGCTTGACAGCTGGAGAGTTTCATGCTTACCCACGGAGTCTGACTTTATGTTATCATATGGCGTGCATTTACCAATTTTATGTTTTCATACTTTATGCTACATAATACGACACCAGAAAGCGGTTATGACATGAATGGATGAAGTCTTTGAGGCTACAATTCGCGTTTCCCCCCAAGCTCATCTTTTTAATTTGAATGGTATCAAGCAACCACCTAGCCAAAGCAGATGAAGCCAAGGAAATAGGGTCGCGTTCATCGATAGTCTCCATCAAAGCTTTCAAATTGCCCATGATAAGCTTAGCTAGATACTTGATAGTGCGCAATGTCGCAATCCCATTCCGAAGCGTCTTTAGGTTTTTCAGCATCACGTTCGGGCTCTCAATCAAATTCAACAGCCTCCTTTGCCTCTGTCCATTTATCGTGCCGATCAGAAGCTTTTTCTCCTCTTCTTGGAGCTCTGATTCGCCTAGAATAGCCTTACTTCTAATGCAGATATATCGAGATGTCAACTGCTCCATAGCCAACATGGCAGAGTCAAAAAAGCCTGACTGGGTCGCGCTCGAAGATGAGGGATTTTTGACTCTATGCGTCCCACTCAATGGTATGTGAGATCGCAAGGCTTTCCCGCTAGCAAAACTCGATAACTTGCAGTAAACAAGGTTGCTGCGAAGCGTTTTTCAAACTCATGAGCAACATTCAGTAGAACATAGAGTCACAGCTTTTCACGAACTGAATGAAGGCTAAAGGAAGTCATTCCACTGCTCCTTGCTGCCACTCTAAACATTGGCCTCCTATCCCCCTGACAGCACACATATTAGGAGTTTTCACACCATGTTGAAGTTTGGGAAGTTAGTAGCCCCAATCAAGGTTTATTACTGACCAATGATTTTCCTTGTGGCTGGGGATCTTCACAAACTATAGACCGGCTAGGTTCAGCTGCCGATTTAGTAAATTGCTATATCGACCGACCGCTTGGTCTCCTCCGATTCATTATCATAATACCCCTAGAGCCAATAGATCATTGATGTTGAGTTTGATTCATTGTACGTAAGAGTAAGAAACCAAATTTTAACCTACTGCCATCCTTAACTTCATCAAAATTACTTGCAGCCTCCGATCAGTCTCCATAATCATAAGCATTCTCCCCCTAGAAAAAACAGCCGCCAATTGCTGCTGCATACAAGCACGAATCCGCCGAATAGCCAACAAAAGCATCGAAAGACGCCCCTGCAAAACTTGTAAGATTAAACAAGATTTCTCCTCAAGAGGAACCCTATACCCTCCAACAAGTAGAGAACAAGCATCAAAATGAGACTTAAACCCATCCCCACTAACCAAGTCCCGTAGTTTCCCACTCGTCAAATGTTGTGAAATGCTAGGAACCCCCTCCTCATCCATTGCCCCAGCCGATATTGTAGTAGTATCCAGCGTTGAGAGAAGACTATCAATAGTCACAATAACAACCATCAACATATTCCCCTGCCCCTCGGACTGTGAACACACACTACACCGCAGGATTGCTTCAGTCTGTAATAACAGCTCATTTTGGCACGCGAGTATACTATCAATGCTAACAAATCCGTCCGATTCAGCACGTAGACCTGATCGAATCAGCTCACTCATCACGCGCTTGTAGCAGCTACAGCTGAAATTTGGCGGCGGGCTGAGGTGACCCGGCTCGTCAGGCGAGTATATGTCACTGTCGGGACTCGCATCTGGAGACTGGAGTGGACAGTAATTTGAGTTTGAAGGGTCTATCAGTACCGGCATTGGTTGGTGTGGCCTTTCGAGTATCCACGCGTTTTGGATGGGCTGCATCTCTAGTTCGGAGGTGCTGTAGGGCCATGGAGCTGTATCATGGTCTTTGGCATCAAGAAATGCCATTTTCTCGGTCGTTTGGAACGTTTCTAGGTCACTGTCGGGTCCTAGCGGGAGTGAGGGGAAGTATGGATCTCTCGATGGCTGGATTGGGATTGGAGCTGACTGTCTCATGTACTCTGATGGTGTATCGAACGTGTCTTCTAGCTCGATTTCGGCATTGGTCTCCTCAGGTGATGTCTCGTTCAGGCGTGTAGACATGAGCTGTTGAGCCCAGTTCTCAGACGTAAAGTCCGTTTCAAATGCTGGGTGGCAGGTTGACGCATTCATTTCATGGAGATGAATGGACATCCCGGGCTCATTGACATTATCTGGCAGCGTCGGAGTCGAAAATTGTTCTTCTGGAGTGAATTTTGTTCTTGCACCTCGAGGCCGTATCGCCGTTCCTGAACCTGACCGAATACCCTTTTTTCGTGACGTTCTGCGGGCCGCTCGTTCAAATTCTAGATCCTCGAGTGTCTCCGGCGAAAGACTGCTCCCTTGCCCTTTGACCTCTATCCGGCAATCTTTCTTTTTTGCCGGACGACCCAATCGCCGCGACACACTGTAGATACACTCAATCTTGTGTCTCTGGCAGCGACGACAAGAAGGCTTCTCATGGCTGCAACGGATTTTGGCCTGCTGACAAGCATTGCACGTAGAGCGAACCTTTACACTTTTGGGCAATTGGCCAACCCCACTCTTCACTTGTTTTGACGAACTCATTCTGATAATGTTTTATGTACTTGGATAAATTGGAAGAGGACTTCAAATAATAGCATTTCAAGTAACTCCACTAGCTCCTATCGCACCACAGACCATTTATCTATACAGCGCCCCGCACTCACCCACAGTTCTGGGATCGACATCACGTTCCCATATCCATATCTCTTTCCGAATTTGTCGCTTAAAAGAGCCTACTGTTAGATCATGGCCGAGTTGAAAGTTACATCCGAAAGCCCCTGTTGAGCTATGTTGTTGTCCTACCCGACTGTGCTAGAATGTCCCGTGTGTGCAAGAGATATTTAACTAGTGGCTCGCAGTGGTTTACTTCGGAAGGAGACCACTGGGAACGACTATCGGTAGAGTATACTTTGGGGTCATTTGTATGTTCTCGGGTTACGCTTGTGTATGGTACAGCAATTTCAGTGGACATTTGGAGCACGAGACAGTCGATTGTGCAAATGGCTGCAGAAGCCTTGTAAAGATCGTCAACCTTACTTTTCCTTGTACCTTTGTGAATGGACAGGGTCGAGTTCAATCCTTCCATTGAAACCAAGTGAACACTTGGTATCGCAGGAATGCTTCTTGGAAGGTTACCCATCGTACAGAATTGTATCAACCAGCCCATCGCGAGACCTTCTCCCCAGGCCGTCTGTGCAATTTCATTATCACCGTCCCACAAGAACGAGGACCTTGGACTAAACAAACCTGATCTTCATCCACCCCTCAACCATATCGCCCACCAGACTTGCATATTGGGAGCTCTTGCTGAGCTACACAATCCCCACCCGAAAGATGGAAGTGGTCCATCCGACGGACGGAATAGGCAACAGATGGATACATACCAAGACCGTTGGGCACGGAACTTGTCTGCCGAGGCACACAAATCCCGCATGTTAGTACAAGTCAGAAATAAAGCCAGTACTTATCCGTTGCAGGGACTGCTGCTAGGTGCAATCGCTTCGGCGATTTTGTGGACTCCACTCGGGTGAGATCTCGCGGGGGATCTGATAGAGCAGGTTTTGGGACAACTATGTTTTGGGTTATCCATGTCTGTTGGCGGTAGCCTTTCAAGTTGGGAGGGTTGGTTTGTTATAGGGGATGAGTAGAGGTTTGGGCATGTGTAGATACGACAGCCTGAATTAGACTATACATATGCAGCAAATTATTTAGAAAGCACGTGGAAAGCGAAATCGCCGGTTAGGTAAGATTATTGGAATTCGTGCATTTCGTGATAGATTCGTTAAACCATACAAGCGATGGAAACCCAAATAAACCTTCCTGCGATATTTTCCGGATCATAACAGGGGGTATTTTATATTTTGCAATTATTCAGGCATGTGCTTGAAAGGCTTCTCCAGGTGCTCCTGGCAGAAGGGAAGCTTGCCAACAGTCCAGATCTCGGTGTCCTGTGGAAAGAAAAAAGTTAGCCCCGCCATCTAGTGCGCTCCATTTTGCCCCACGTACCGGCTTCAGTGTCTTCTTGATTTCCGTGCTCAGGGTACCAGCCTTGATGGCGATGATCTCAGGGGCGGCATCTGGATCGTGGGCGATAGGGGAACCGCACTCGCCACAGAAGATGCGGTGCACGTCCTTTCCAGAGGATCCCTTGCCCGCCCAGCTCTTGGTGGGGCCGTTGATGGTAAGAGCCGCCTTGGGGACCACAGCGACCAGAGCTACAGAATTAGTCGACGTCATCACTTGGGGATTTGTTTTTGTCTGCACATACAGTAGGTAGAACCACTCTGACGCTGGCAGTCGTCGCAGTGATCGTAGGCAGTGATGAGCGGCTGGTCGACCTCAATGGTGTAGGTGACCGCCTTGCAAAGGCAGTGTCCGTTCATAGGCATGATGAAGTTGATTCTCACAAGGTTCTCAAAAATGGGGAATGTAGAGTTTGAGGACCTTGGAGGGGGAATAGACGGGAGTATTTAAAGGAAAGGAAATGGAGTTGTGCTCAACTTCCTCCACAATAGACTTTCTACATGACTTGAAAAAGTGGTGAACATGAACGCCCTTGATGTGTGTTGCGTCATACTAAAATCAATTCCAAATCCCGCATGACAAATTGTTCCAGCCCCGCCAGATGGAAGCCCCTCCCTAATCTGTTGAGCTGATGTGTGATTATGATTACCCTATCCAATTTTTAGCCACAGCTTACCGGCACCATGTCCGAATCCTCGAGGGTAAGCCGGTTGAAAAGAAGACACCGCAAGTCGCCGTCGAACTCTACCGCGAGTCCTGAGGACATTCCCACCGCGATCTCCTCGCGATCGACGCGTGCAAGGATTGACCCCATTGGCTCGATGTGGGGGTAATCGAGAAATTGAGACCGATAGTGAACGCACACCAGACCTCACAGGTCAGATAGTCAATGCAGGCGGTGACTTGTTTCCACTAGCGTCGGTTTTGGTCGGTTAGTCGGTTCTTCGGAGCATGGTGGATACCAAAGCGGTGGGGGGGGCGCGATATGGCGAACTGAACTTCGGGGACCGCTTTGTCTCGGGGAGCAGAGCGGTAACAATATGCTGCTGGGTGACAAATTCTGTCGAGATACAGAAGATCAGTCAAGCCAGGGAGAGCAGACGGGACAATGGGGGATTTAGGACCACGGTCTCGGGATGCGGCACTGGTCGAGCCCGTCGATCATTTAGCTGGGAATGCAATGAAGCGGGTCAGGTCCAGGGATGGACCCCAAACTTCGCATATCTACCCCCCGCTTACAGTGGGAACTTCGTGCACACAATTTATTTACGGCCCTGTGGACAGATGTCTCGTTGTCATTCGCTCTATGTCCATGTCTATCAGGTAGCTGGAGCGACCCGCTACCATGGCTCGTCTCGCCTGACGTTCTCGATCTTATCCGCAGCGCTCTATGCATTGAAGCAAATAATTAATGTAATAGCCCCCTCAACACCTCTGGTGCCCCACTTACCTGCATCTGTGCGGCCATGCCCTGTCGGGGAATCTGTCCTCCGTACAGCATCGACTCAGCTCGTTGGGCCTCTCGAGCGTCGTCTTTTGTGACATAGACCGGCACTTCGATCGGCACAGCAGGTAGTCCGAGGATTTCGTTCCGATCGGCGATCGAGCGTATTTGTTCCGATACGGAGCCTCGACCGGGGGGTCGACCAAATGCACGGCCCTGCATTTCCTGTCAGTCGTTGAGGTGAGATGAGATGAGACAGTACACCTACCTCTGTGGCTTGCATCTCGCGTGCATCTTCGTGTGTTATGTGGCTGTGCGGCTTGCGGGATATCTCGTCTAGCTGGGCATCGAAGTTCATTTGTTTCATCGCAATGCTTTGGGCGGTCGCTTTGTTGCGATCAGTCACAATGGCCAAGAGGTGCAAGGTAAGGGCATACCAGCTGGTCCACCCCGGAGCGGGCCGCGTCCAGTCAACACGCTTTCGGCGTGGGAAATTATTGAGACATCTGCTGGGGTAATCCGTTGTCCGGCCTCAACAGCTTGTTTGAGATCAGCGACTGTGGGAATGTCTGCGCTCATACTTGATACAACTGATGCTGGGGTATATTGTTCTTTGATGGTTATTTGCCACGGTTTGTCGGCTTGAGATATATAGCCTTACCTGTGGCGCTGATGTCACGTTGAACACATTCTCAATTGCCGCACGCCATCAGTGGCGCTGCCACTTTGTATAGAGCATAACCTCAGAGAATGGTTTTGCGAAAATTCCCAAATTTGGATAAAAAAACATGTGGAGCAGCTTTGAAGGTCCACGAGTTTGAACGTACTGGTAATCGCCACCACATGGAATCTCGAGTTCACCAAACCTAGATAGGCAGGAGTCTCGAAAAAATTATAACTTCATTACCCGTGGAGTCGATAGAAACAACTGCAAATCATCTACGCTGTTCCACCGACAACCCCAACACCTGCATCTATCCTACTTATCTTACACAATGACAGATTCGTCAAGTCTGCACGTAGCCGTAAGTCACAAAGGTCCTCATCAACGAACTGGAGGCCCCATCACGTTAGTCTCATATCATCCTTCAGTGAAACACGAAGATAGCATAGAACTCACGAGATCACAGGAACAGTTTGTTTCAAACTAGAGGGGTTGAGAGTAATGTGTGTTTTATAGGTTGTACCTTGCGTCCCCTGCAATGACCTTTTATGGATACCCCGTCTTGGCCCGATACCGATATTCTGTGCTTCCATTATCCAGGGCAGTCAAAATTCTCTTGTGTATCGTTCCACTGGGTTGGCTAAGGAAGCGACACAACCGGGCTGTAAGTCGTATTGACTTCGGTCCTTGCCGAGTGAAGACCTTGTGTGTACCTGTCTTGTGTTAATTGAGTATGGTATTGTTATGCGGAATGAAATCTTGAATGAAATTTAATCTTGGCGAATGATAACAGAAGTCTCATGAGGAACGTGGATAGTAGAACTATTCATGGAAAATGGTTATTGTGGGGATCCGCGCTTCAGCCAATCAGCGTTGACAAGCATGCCGGTCCCGGGATTCGTATCTTCTAAGTTACCGGCACCGGAGCGGTCCCTCATCTTCAACTCTTCCTTGTCACACCTTAACTCCGGTTACGCCATTTTTACTGATTGCCCGTTGAACTGAGCCAGTGTCTCTATGGCTACGTAAGGGTCCGTTTTGCATGATCTCCGTTGTTGCCGCTAATATGATGCGCCGCAGGCCGTTGAAGAAAGGGAAGAAAGCGTGCACCGAGTGCCGTCAGCAGAAGGTACATGTCGCCGGATGCAATGGGCAATATAACATCAAATACTAAGGCTTTTAGGCAAAATGTGACGTTTATTTAAATCCAGACGAGCCGTGTACTCGATGCCGCAAAGTTAAGGCGGAATGCATTATCTCGGACCCCTTCAAGAGAGAGCACAAGCGCAGGTATGCATATTCCAAACCGGGCAGATCAATACACCATCTGATATATACGCCCCAGACGCCTTTCAGATTTGCAGCGCGAGTCTGAAGAGTTGCGGCGAAAGCTCCGGGAATCACAACCTGCAGATCCCCACCCCTCGCCCATTGCTCTCTTGACAGCTGCGGCCGAGCTAGGAAGCCGATCGGATCCACATGTTGCCTCTCTTCCTGCTTCATCGCATTTGTCGCCTGACTCGTATCCAACGCAGTTGCTAGCTCCAAGTAGTCTGGGGTCCGCGACTCCGGCACCGGCCTACGACAGTGACGATGCCACACTACCTAGAACTTTGAGTGGAGTCAAACTCACAAGCGCAGAGATCGACGATCTGTTTCAATTGTATTTCCGTCACTATGCCCAGTTCCTTCCTATTCTTGATCCTCATACCCGCCCAAACACTTTCTATGCTCAATGTCCCTTCCTCTTCTGGTCGATCATTGGCGTTTCATGTCGGGTCTATCCACAAAACCCCACGCTGCTGATAGCGTTGGCGCGGAGTATCATTGAGATGGCATTCATGTCCGCCCTGTCATCATCACCGCCTTGGCACATAATCCAGGCGTTTTTGTTGATTCTACAGTGGCCATTCCCAAAGGGCGACCATCCTGATGTGAACTATACAGTTGCAGGGATGATGTTGCATGTCGCCATGCAGAATGGCTTGCATATCCCAATGTCAAGTCATGAATTTTCACGTCGGAAAATGCCGGCGCCTTCCGAGGCTGACCTTCTACGTCGGTCCGAATTATGGGCGTTGTCTGTGGTAGTTTATCACCGGTAAGATCACAGGAGAAATGTGCAGTTAGGAATATTTGCTAATTCTGGTAGGGTCTGCATGCAAAAGGGACAAATACCTCGAATCAACTCCGCGCAAGACCCAACGCAGCGCCAAGCTATCCTCGATAAGGTCGCTCCGTGGTTGGCGCTGAAGCTCCGATGCCAAGGGATAGTTGGCAGATGTAGCGAGGCAGTAATGGAAAATGGAATTCAAACAATGTCAATGGACCAAGAGCGGTCCCTTGATATCTTGCTTCGTACATATGAGAGTCAGATAGATGACCTTGAACTGCAAGCAGTTTCTGGTAAGATCGCCACATGGCTTCAAATTATGGTTGTTTATGCTGACCGACTTGAAGATGACGAGAGGTTTGATGTCTTATTTGGCCGCATGGCCATTCAAGGCTACCACTTCTACAAGATCCAGACATGGGTCTCAAGTGCATGTTTCCCACGAGTCCTCGTCACAGCATGCAATTTAATCGACTACATTCAATCCTTAACCGATCGGGTTAGCAGCCTAGCAATGACACCCGCCCAAATGCACTTCGGTCTATTCCTAGCCTCAACCTCCTTACTAAGGATTCTCAAAAGTCCAGCCGCTTCACACGGCTTAGAAACGATTCGTGCACGAGCATCCCTCTTCACAGCCATAAATCTCGCCAAGCAAATGTCCGTCGACAGTGCAGACATGGCTTCCAAAATGGTGATTGTTCTCAGCGCAATATGGAATAGCAACAAGGCATTCCGGAGACCAGATGGGTCGGAGTTCACCACACTCCGCATCCGGGGTCGGTTAGTGGTTAGTCCTATTATTGATGCTATTTGGTGGTGGCGAGATGAATATGATCCTCCTTCCAGATTCAGATCTGTCGTTGAGCCTGCCGGAGGTTGTGTTTACGGACATTCGCGGTCATATGAAGCGCCGGAAACCGGGCCTATCGCCACGGGAACTGATACGAGTCAACAGGATGTGACTGGTGGTCTTAATCAGGATGCATTCCTTCTTGATGAGCAGTTCCTGGCTGACTTTGAGTGGGCCTTGACTGATGACTTGTTGTTTCCTACGGAAAACATGCCCAATTATTGGGCTGCGGGGAACAATATGTTGTAGCTTGCATATGGCACTTGCAAAGTTGGCTCGCATGAACTGCTGAGGTGTAACTCAATTTGACCTCCGTGTCTATTTTCTGTTCTTCTGACATTGTGTGTATTCCAATTGCCCCGGAGAGTTTAATAGCGGAAATTTCCGAGGTTCGGGCTATAGCATCTATGGTCTATGAACAGTCTTGTCGGTTCTGTGCATCGTCCCGGGAAGTTGCATGTATATGTGACACTTGTTGATGGAACTCCCTAGTTTTCAATTGGAGTTGCTATAACCTCCGGGTTTAGGTACGATCACGGTGCCAGATGTACAATACCTAGATTGTCGTTGAAAGTCCACATATAATATCATATCTATAGTCTTACAGACACACCTGGGCATTCGTTTCAAGCTCCAATTTTCTCCTTTTAACCACTTTGCTTTTGTATATAGCGCGATCTCACTTGTACTGGACAGTCAATACTACGTCGATGACCATTGCCCTGCTATAATGTGCGACATCATACGCCAACGTCGCGCAACGTGGCGTCCAGATGGCCTTTAACCCTGAGCCTTGTCATACAATAGTAATCTGCAACCGTAGACAAGGATCGCCATGCATTTACATTCAGTGTAATTTCAAAATCTTCAAATTTGGAAACTAGATAATTGCAAGACAACATTGAGAAGATATTTCTGAATCTTGATTGTACTTTCCACAATGCCTCCTTCACTTTCCAACTTCTCACTTTCGATCTTTCCATCTTCTCATGATCTCACATTCTCACTATCCCACTTCCTTCCTCAATTCTTTACCGAAATTTGTCTCGCTTGCGCACATCTACCAACATTTCGATCCTCAACCACGCCTCAATCTTGCTGGGACTTTTCGCGTCTTTGTTCCGATACTATTCTCAAGGTTACATCTAACTCTTGATCAACCTCGGAATATTCCGTCGGATATTAAGTAGTTCCCACACTTTTGTCGCGTGTTTAATCTTCAAACAAGGAAGTCTGGCTTTTACTTCTCTCACTCCACTACTGTCATACTGTGCTGATCCCTGCGCGTCTCTTTCTCTCTCTCTACTCCTCGCATCTTCGTCCCAGCCATCATAGGTCCCTTCCGTCCAGAATCGACCTCCACTATGGAAGTAAATGATCCTAATATCGTTCCTCTTTCTGTTCTGGAGATCCCCCCACGGCGTTCGGCATCCATCACCGAGAAAGATCAAGCCGGCGTCGCTATTTCAACAGGCATCTTGGCCGACGAGAAACCAATTGATGCTGTGGATGAACGGCTGCATGACTTGAAAAAACTTCATCGCTGGGACCCCAATCTGCCTGACTCCATCATCGAGAATGCGAATGATGCACTCGCCACAGCTGATAAGGATGCTCGCGCTGCCATTGCCCACGACCTGTTGGACAACTCTCCTTATCCTGAAGTGCGAGCTGCTGTATCGAACATCGACGAAGGTGGCCACAGCAATACGATCCGCGCCTGGATAGTTGGGCTTATTTTTGCCACTATTGGTGCGGGCCTAAACATCTTTTTCTCTCTGCGCGCGCCCTCTATCTCCATCCCAGTTTACATCGCCCAGCTCCTCGCCTATCCTATCGGCAAAGCGTGCGCCAAATGGGTTCCAAGCAAAGAGTTCCACTTTTTGGGCATTAAATGCAACCTCAACCCTGGTGCTTTCAGCAAGAAGGAACATTGTCTTATCGTCATCATGGCAAATACTTCTTTCGGCACAGCTTATGCAACAGATATAATTCTTGCTCAGCGAGTTTTCTACGGTCAACGGTTTGGCTGGGTCTTCGAGATTTTACTCTGCATCAGCAATCAGATGTTGGGATTTGGATTTGCAGGGTTATTCACACGCTTCCTGGTGGAACCTGCAGCCATGATCTGGCCATCTTTGTTGATTAATACCACCCTCTTCGATGCTCTTCATGATCACTCAAAGCCCAACACACCCATGGTGTCGGGGTGGAAAATTGGCCGGTACCGCATGTTCATGTGGGTGATGCTTGGTTCGTTCTGCTGGTACTGGTTTCCAGGCTACATTGCACCTTTCCTCAGTGTCATCGCCTGGGTGACCTGGATCAAGCCTCAGAGTCCAGTGATCAATCAGCTTTTTGGGGGCACCACCGGGCTCTCTTTGATTCCATTGACCTTTGACTGGACCCAGATCGCTGGTTACAATGGCTCACCACTGATGACACCTTGGTTTTCCATTGCCAACACACTCTTCGGGGTGATATTCTGGTTCCTAATCGTGACTCCGGCCATCCATTACTCAGGCTTGTTCTACTCGCAATATCTGCCTATCAGTGACTCGACTAGCTATGATAACACTGGCAGAGTCTACAACGTTTCCAGAATTTTGACTCCAGGATACACTCTTGACTTGGAGAAGTACCGCAGTTATTCACCTATTTTTCTATCCACCACTTTCATGCTTGCATATGGGCTTTCATTTGCGGGTATCCTCTCTACGTTTGTCCATGTTGGCCTTTTCCATGGTGCCGAAGTTTGGTATCGAATCCGTCATGTCGGACATGATATGGAGGACGTTCACAGTCGCCTTATGGCCCGATTCAAACCTGTCCCCTTTTGGTGGTATGCGTCTGCTATCCTAGTTATGATGGGTATGTCGCTCGCGGTAGTCCTGGGCTATGAGACTCACTTGACCTGGTGGGCCTTCCTCCTGGCGATCTTCATATCAGTCGTGGCGTTATTGCCAATTGGTATAATCAGCGCGACCACCAATTCAACGCCTGGATTAAACGTGATAACTGAGTTTATCATCGGCTATATGCAGCCTGGAAGACCAATGGCAATGATGATGTTCAAGGCGTATGGCTACATTACCATGAACCAGGCCTTGTCTTTCGTGACGGACCTTAAGCTCGGTATGATTACCGCTTCATGGCGTTTTCCACCTACATTACTAACCCGCTTCAATTAGGACACTACATGAAAATCCCTCCACGTGTCACCTTCCAGGCTCAGATTGTCGCAACTTTCTGGACCTCTATCGTCCAAATTTGCGTCCTCAACTGGGCTCTAGCAAACATAGAAGATGTGTGTACTCCGCACCAGGTGAATCATTTCACTTGCCCGAATGGCCGCGTCTACTTCACAGCCTCGATCGTCTGGGGAACCATTGGACCATCACGCATCTTCTCTATTGGCCAAATGTACTCGCCAATGATGTTTTTCTGGATTGTAGGATTGCTTTTCCCAATCGCAGTCTTCATAGGCGCCCGGATGTTTCCGCAAAGCCCAATCCGCCATATAGTGGCGCCTTTGTTCCTCAACGGTGCAGCCACGATACCACCTGCTACACCACTGAACTACCTTTCATGGGGTATCATCGGATTCATATTCAATAAGTACATCCGTGGTCGCTACACTGGTTGGTGGATGACCTACAAGTATGTCCTTTCTGGATACCTTTCTTCCTTCAACTGAATTTCTCTAATCTGATTCTACCTAGTGCCGTTATCTCAGCTGGCTTGGACATTGGACTTGCCCTTGCAACTATTCTCATCTTCTTCACCCTCACCATGACCAAGACCGACTTTCCAAATTGGTGGGGTACTAAGATCGGAACAGACACAATGGACTCCACTGGTACTGCCATTCAAACTGTGCTACCGAAGGGGGCGAAGTTTGGCCCTCCTTCGTGGTAGGTCTTGCATTATGTCTCTCTCATTTTTCATTGTCGGGAAGTCACCTCAATAGCCATTTATGCTTTAATTCGTCCCAACATTCTTCAGAGAGCAGTGAGTTGACATCTGATCCATTGCTTTTATCATTCACTACTTCCTGGATGTTTTGGGGGTATTGAGGCGTTAATTTGATTTTGGTTTTAGGTTTTTTTTCTATTACCTGATACAATGAATTACTTCTGAAGACGGTATGTGGATTTGAACTAGGGATTCTACTTTTTATGGGTTGGTGCATGGTTCTTGAGAGTGCAAGCATCGTCAGTCGAGGTTTGGGCCTTCATATTCAGTTTCAATGGTCTAGCACACATTTAGCAGAATTCAATTGTCTCGGATATGAAAATGTTTACCTACTTTCTACTTTTATAAGCCGAAACTACAGGCTATAAGCCTTCAGCTGAAGAAGAACAGTTGAATGACAAAGTTTTGGAGAAATTGAGGTAAAATCAAAGGGATAATATACACAGTCCGTTTTCTCCAAGGCCCTAGACCAAGTTATGCACATTCATCTTGAAATGGAAATCACATAAAGTCATCAGCGGCGACAGGTTTACCGTACACCGTCTCATCATATAAACACAGATCCAGTCCAATGCTCCACCCAAATCACCCTCACGACAGAAGGTTGATCAACCCTGAACCCGTCTCCGGCGCATGCCAACCTGCAGGCCCAAAGGCTTCCGCAAGAATCCCTCACGGGTCTCCATGGGGTGATCCTGCTCAAGCTGGAACTCAAATTGCCTGAACACAGTAGCGCCCATAACAAGCAGCTCCATCTCCGCAATGTTACGTCCAACACAAGCACGAGGACCGTGGCTGAAGGGGATGAAAGCAGCCTTCTGTCTCGAGGTCAGGCGCTCGGGGTTCCAGCGCTCAGGCACGAACTCTTCGGCATCAGGACCCCAGATGGCCTTCGAGCGGTGGATAGTGTAAGTGGGAACGGAGAGGACATCGCCAGGTCCGAAAACGTGGCCCGAGATCGTGACGTGGGGAGCACCGGCGGGGATCTCGCGGGGGAGACCCATGGCGGAGGTGCTGTGGATACGCATGGTCTCCCAGATGACCCACTGGAGATAGGGAATGTCCTTGACCATAGCGAAAGTGGGGACATCGATATCCTTGGGGATGGCTTCGTCAAGGGCCTTCTGCAACTTGGGGATGACACCGGGAGTACGGAGACACCAGTAGAGAATGGCACAGGCAGTGTTAGAAGTGGTATCCGAACCAGCGATCAGCTGGGTAAGTGCCTCGGCAGTAAGTTCTTCCTTTCCAAGCTTGTTGCCAGTCTCATCCTTGCCCTCCATCAGACGAGCGAGCAAATCGACACGAGTGTTGTTGGCCATAGCCTCAGGCTTCAACCGCTCAGACACACGGGCAATGGCAATACCAGCCAGGTTCTCAACAGCAGCCAGACCCTCACTGAAGAACTTGTCGGGAATGTACTTGGCGAACGGGATAATAGAAGGCATGCAGCCCAGGGTAGCGGAGACTTCACCACGACGGTTCAGAACCTCGATAGCAGCGACGTACTTGGCAGGCTCGTTGGGGTTCTTGCGCATTTCGGCGAAATCCTTACCCTTCTCCAGCATACCGAATGGGGCTCCGAAGGCGAGGTCACCAATGATGTCGAAGGCGAGGTAGTTGAACCAGTTCAGGGCATCGAGAGAAGCGTAGCCGGTCTTCGGGTTTGCCTGCAGATCGGAGATCTTGTTCCATTGCTTAACGAAAAGCTCGACATTGCCGTGAATATACTGCTCGAACTGGCCGATAGACTTGGCACTGAAAGTGTGCGAGACAGTCTTGCGCTTGCGGGTGTGCTCGTGACGGTCACGGGTATTGAAGAGACCGCGGCGGATAGAGACGAAAGCGTCATAGAAGTCGCTGTAGACACATGTTAGATTTGGTTTCTTGTTTCCTTTTCCTTGCCCGGCTTTAAGGTTTGGTAGGTTGACTTACGCCTTCAGGAATCCGTTTCCGTGTCCATAAACGGCAACAATAGCCTCGTCATCTGCGATGGAGACTTGATTTGGCGAGATGCGGACCAGCTTTCCGTATTTGGCGTGGGCTTGATCGACAGAAAGGTAGCGTTTACCCTGGCGAGTTTGCAGGAAGAGCCAGAGATTGGTGAATGCAGCGAAACTGGGTGAAGGGATATCACGCAGCCGCGATCGCTGTAGGTAGGGCAGAAGGAAGTAGGCGATGACCAAGCCTACAGCCAGGAATGGGGCGGTCTCAATTGAGATCAACATGGTTGTTCAGATGTAGAGGGAAGAAAAAGAAAGAAATGTATAATTAGGGCTTCGGCCCAATAAGCTGAGGTTGATCGACCGCACTGAAGGTGGGGAAGTGCAGCTCAACTATGACAACCGATATTGTATATCGTGGTAAAGTTCCGATGGCAATTGCCAGACAACGAAGCTGGATGGGGTTCTGTAAACTGGCGGAAGTTATTTTTTAGGCCGAATTGTCACTGACCAGGAAGACTATTTATGTTAGAACCATCATTTGGAGTGGTGACCGCATCCCCGAGGTTAAGGCTGACGGGAATGGAATTCGGTATCTGGGGATCGAATAAAGTGAGTGGAGACGTGGAGTGACCAGTCAGCGTTTGAGTGAAGAAGTGCCGTTGTTGGCGGCCGAAGTCGGTTATGCGGTGAACAAATCACGAGACGCAGATTTGTCGATGATCGACATGCTTACATACGAGATTTGCGAGACGTGATTGGCCAGGCTTAAGTGATTTACAATTATCCTTAGTGCATAGGAGCGTATTGCTCGATTAGGAGATCAATGCTGATCCGGCTTCCGGTTCACATACAATGTTTGCATTCATGAAAAATCGAGTTATAGAGAGTATGTGTGCTGAGAGTACTGATATGTGTGATAATATGTATGGGCATCACCAATCCTCTACAGGGAATAGTCCATTCCGCTTCTTCTCTCCCTCCCATCGCTCCATCCAAGCCTTCATGTTGTCCCGGCTCTTCTGACTCCCCACATTAACTGTGGGGATAACACGTCCAATCCGCAACGCACAGCAAAACATAGTAAGTTCACGAAATGAACTATGCTCGCTATACGGCACGCCGAAACAGGCACTTTCCCGCGTGCTCCCACGCTGGGGTGTTAGGTGTTCTACCGTGAATGGTGTCCGCCAGTGTTCGCCACGCAGAACCGTCGGTACGGGCGGGTTCTCCAGCATTCGCCCCGCGGGGGGCCGATAAGACCATCCGGTTGGACGAAATCCTACTACGCGAGAAAAATGCGGTTTCATGGAATCCAGGTAGTCGGCCAATGTCTCTGCTCGGATCTCAAATAATGTCTGCATGTGCACCTGGGCTTCTTTTGGGTCTGTGGTCAAAAGTGCAGAGAGTTCTGGGTCTTCTAGACAGGCGCAAATACGCTGTTTGGGAGGTGTAGCAAAGATCTTAGATCCTAGGGCTCGGGCAATGCCCATACAGATTCGCTCTTTGCCAATACTGTATGTCCCTATAACGACCAAAAGACGACCACTCGCTTGAGATGTGTCTTTCTTCTGGTCATTCCCTGTCACTGACGACAAGAACTTGTTCATCAGACTCCCGGTTGCCTTCCCCAGATCCAGTCCCACGCCAGCCTCTTCGTTCAAACGTACACAGAGTTCGGAGCATGCCGTGATGACATCTGCCTGGCTTGGGAACGCATACTTAGGACTAAGATAGGTGGTGTCCAAATAGCATTGATCGATTCGCTGCTGTCGCGGCTGGCCAGTAGCTGGATTCATCGGGTTGGGGCACAGAAGTGGGTGGCGTAAATGGTCTGGGGATGCACGGAAATCACCACAGTGGAGTATTCGTTGTCGACGAGCGTTCGGTCCATTTCCGAAGCTCTTCTCAAACAAAAACAAAGAACTGCCTGGACAGTGGTTTGCATGAATCATAGTGACCTGCACACCACCTGTATTGGGCACCTCAGTGGTGGTTTCAAATTCGAGATCGATGACCCACTTGGGATCAACTCGGAGTTGTTGCCGGACAAGATTACCCGTCGGGCGACTGCAGTAGATAGGGCCGTGACACCAGGACTTGCTCAGGCCAATGTAGTGGTCGCTATGGAAGTGGCTGAGAAAGTAGGCATTACATCCTTCGACCGCGCCGTAGCGAAAGGCATCCACGGTGATTGAAAACCCTGGCATAATCTTGTAAAAGGGACATGTCCTTTGATATGCCTGCTTTCCACGAGAAGATGCTTCTTGCGCTGCTGCATCCGCCCAGGCTGTGTCTTCAGCATTCCCTGCCATCATCTTCGAGAAAGCTGTACGGTTGCCGGCATCTTTTTTTGAAAAGGGATCGCGTTGAGCAGGTCGGGCGATAGCAGCACGTTCAATCCGCGTCAATCCTGCATTCGAGCTCGTCGGTTTCGATGTCGGCGTCGGTGATTGCTCCTTCGGTAGGATCTCAGTTGGGACCGACTCGAGTAACGTTATAGAACTGGTTTTCCCATCCAAACAATCATTTACATGTATATTTCGTTGCTGGGAACAATCAGTAAAGAACTTCATCACTCATAAAAAGAGACAACATACTCGTTCATTGAGCCCGGCTAATCGTCCCTGGCACGCCGGACAGGTAAAATCAGCGATGCCCGATATCCCCTCTGCCTCAGCGGGACTTATTGCATCGGTGACATCTTCAAGCGACGCTTTCAAACTTGCATCCTCATTCCCCCATGGTGATTCTCGAAATTCCTCCCCTACAAATTCATCTTCTTCTTCCTCGTCGTCAAAATTTTCGTCTTCATTTTCGGCATAACTCGTGTCTCTTACCAATGGCGGCTGCGCAGACTCGGCAGATGAATCCTCGGCGTGGTCGCCACTCATTGGTGCTATTGTAGGTATCGGGTTGTCTTCGGCATATTCTTGATCTTTAATTTCTCGGTATGCATCCATGTCGTCCTCGTCCTCGCTGTCTGATTCGTCGATGAAAGGGCCGCTGGTCGCTTTTCTATGTGCAGATTCTTTTGGCGGTTTCGTCTCATCGTCCACTTGCTTATTCTCGGTCAAATCAATGGCTTCATCCGTTTTGCGGCGTTTTACTGCAGAATCATTTTCATTGTATCGTGTGTCGTCATTTTCGCCCCAAAAATCGTCTGGTGTGCGTGACCGGGCCCTAGGTTTCGTCTCGATATTGGCGCTATTCTGCTGAAGTTTCGCGAGTCCTTTCTTATCTTCTAGGAACAATCCTTCATGTGTATCGCTTTTGGAGCTATCGCCATGTTGTAATGATGGTATTCCGCGGCCGGAACTTGGGGAGGATGTGAGGAAATGTGACATGCGAAGTTGGGTCGATTTCGCTCCTTGTGGGTTATCGGTCTTTTGGAAGAAGCTCAAAATGCTTGTATTGCGTTTGGTAGAAGAAGGTGTCTTGGAAGGCGTTGACACCCTGCGTGCGCTTGAACCTGCCATTTCGATATGAGAGGAGTGGTATAACAGAGGAATAGCAAACACCGAGCGGAAATTTCGTTATATCGTAAACGGTGGACTTTTAGTGTGTACAAGGCTATTCAGAGCCCTATCCACGCCGTTGAAGCAAGTCTCGGTCGAGTGGCGTGCAGAAACCAGTAACGAGAACCGCGCGGGACCGCGACACGAAGTCACATGACCTATTAGACCTACAAATTTACAGATTGACAAATTTACAGGCGAAAAGATGCAGACTCAAAATTCAATGATTGCAAGGGTATTGGACTTATGAAAGGCATGTCATGCCAAATGGGCCCATGGCTCTCCAATTTTTTCGCATGTTGCAGAAGCCGGACTAAGTGAAGTTGATGTACCTAGTTCCAGCGACACCACCTCTGAATGCGATGTCATATCGATAGATATTGAGAGCCAAGATCGCCGAAATAAATAAAAGAAACGCTCGGTCGTAGAATCTCTCCCAGTTGCGGTCATCGTTTCCAGACCTCTTGCATTCGAGGGCTCGTGGCCCCGATATTCTTCTCGATTCTCTCGGTCCAAGGGATATTACATTGGCAAGCGTCGAGAGGCATTAACAAGGATATTAAATGTGGCGTTGAAATTGTTGCGTTAAATCGTGGTCGTTTACCGAGCCTTGCCAGCCTGGTTGGCAGCCTCTGTTCATTCAACAATGGTTAGCTCGGTCTCCGGGGGTAATAGAGGGTGGGTAGCATCCGATCAGCGATCCATTGACTGTTGTAGACAGCAACAGGCCGGCTGACTGCTGCTCAAAGTAACTCACCCCGCCGTGTCGCATCCTCCAACAACCCCACGTCAACCTCCGACCGAGGCAACATCACATAGCGCACCACACTACCACGGATGAACATGTTCTTCACCGATGACAAGTGAGGGTACTTGTCCAGGTCCAAAACTTCCACATCGTCCAGCTTGATGTTCAGGTACTGGTCGACCGACTTGAGGATTCCACGAATGCGGATGTCATTTTTAAGCTCGATGGTAACGGTCTGGTTGGTAAGGGTCTTAAAGAAGCTGTTTAAGGAAAGTTAGTCCCTGCTGGGAATGTTCACGGTCGCAACGACTATTGCAACGAGCTGGGCTTGGTACCTGAAGAAAAGCATGGTGGTGGGGAATGGCGCACTAGGCGCGTGGAGGAATTGAAGATTGAGCTGTAGTCAATGAAGTGACTAATTAAAGAAAGTTGACACTGGACACGGAGGTAGTCACGGTATTGATGGTAAGCTCTTGAGTATGGAAGGCGCGGGGATCTTCTCTCGCTATGGCAGAAGGAACGATCCACGATGCGGGAGTGGTGTGTAGGTCACGTGCTATGCTCCACCGCTGGGAATACCGTGGGCATAAGAAGGGTGTAGCTCTTTGCAATACAGGATTTATGTGCGGATGAGAATATGTATAAGTCTCTCGGGTTTTGATTTTGCTTATTTGTATCTTGAGAACGTAAGGGTTCATAGTTGTTGTCCTTATCCACAACTCAAGTCAATGGTGACAAACTACATATTCTGGGTAGAACTAGTAATGTATACTAGATGGGTATCACCAACTCATCTTAGACATCATTCCTAACTCGTGTCTCGCATTAAATTACATAAACGGCCCAAAGGCACAAATAGAACTTCAGGTATCAAGATGAATGCAAACAACTTCCCCCTCAAATCCAGGTAGCTACTTCTCTCATATGCTTCGGCTTCATGGCCCAACCAGACAAACATGTCCAACCCGCACCGTTCTTCCTTCCCTCATCAAAGATCGCACCCACTCCCTCAAGCAACTGGCCCCGCTCCTGACCCATCTCCATCCGCAATTTAACAAGCCACTGCTCCCACATCCATCCACCAAGTAATCCTGTGATGCTGGCAACATCGCCCGTGCTCCCAATGGGACCTTGCACAACCTCGTACTCTTCAATCTGGCTTGGGACGCGAGGGGCTGGTGTCTCCCGAGGCGGCTGGGGCTCGGCGGGTTCCATGCCCATTGGCAAGAACATCCAAGCGCGCTTGATTCCTACGAAGCCATTGTTGCGGAGACGGCTAAGGAATGTCTTTGAGGCCGCGGGGTCGTAGGCATGTGAGCGCAACTTTGACGCGAACTCAACCGATGAGGTAGTCGATTGACTCCCTGCACGAGAAATCTCGGCGTCAAGGAGCATGAACTCAAAGAAACCACCTGGCTTTAGACAGCGGAGACATTCCTTCAGGACAAGGTCATATTCATTGCGATCAAAGCCGGCTGGACGGTCGACCTTGAGAAGGGAGTGCAGGGAGCGCGTGGTTATGACGTCGAATTTATTGGCACCGAATGGGAGTTCCCATAAGTCGGCGACAGAGATCACGCGGTGGTTTGATGGGCCCTTGATGCCACTGTTGACGATCTGGGTCTTGTTGTTGACAGAGTAAACCTTGACGTTCGGATACTCCTGGGCGACATGCCATGCCCATTCGCATGATGAATGTCCTCCGAGGTCAAGAATGCGAATGGAGCGCTTGGGTCCATCCTGGGTCTTGGCCATCTTGTTTGTCCGTGCGATGCGTTTCTCGGCGGGGCTGGTTAGTAGCTTGCCACCGTTGAGAGCGCGGAGTGAATCCATTGCCCACATGGGCTCGCAAATCTGGGCAAGGACGAGTTGCTCCTTCTCGACCTTGGAGAATTGAGCTTTCTCGGCCAGAACGGAAGCAATGGTCGAGTTGCGCGGTGCTTTTGAGAACGGTCCCCGGTAGGCAGGCCGCTCAGGGCGAACGAGCTCGTACTTTCCTGTCAGGCAGTTGATGTGATTGTCGACCAGCCCGAGACGGAATGATTGAACAGCATCGTAACGCATGCTCCTGTGGAGAAAGCCATCGGGCTTTTCGGCTCGGTCGATGATTGACTGGAACCCACGCCAGTAAATTGAATCTTTGCCTGCACTTGTGGAGGGCAGGGGAGGTAAAGGGCTCATAGGTGCCGGGGTGCCTTCGACAAACCGAACTGCTTTCTTGGCGGGGGTGTCCTGCACCTCAGGAAGTTGCTCCTCTTTCACATCGGTGGAAGTCTCAGTGTCCGTCTCATTAACAGGGTTGGTTTCACTTAAAGCAGCCATATAGGTAGCCTGAGCAGTGAGCCAGACGCTGGTTCGGTCAAGGCTATCTGCAGCGCGATCCTGCAGCTCTTGATCATAGGACTCGTCGTACTCAGGAACGCCCCCAGAACGGGGGATCTCCTGGACTGCTTCGAAAGTCACACTCATTGGGCTATCTTGACGAGTGGCAGGCTGCGTGGGGGTATCACATGGAAGTCGGACGGCTGTTGGGGGTCCTTCTTCATCCCGGACTGCAGTTACGGGGTCATCCTCCTCTGGGCGCTGAGGCCAATCAATGACCTGCTCGACGACCTCTTCATCATCACGGCGCCATGGCAGGTTGTAGAAACCCTCGGCAACGGCCGACGACGGGGGAGGTTAGAAGGCGCCATAGACCAGGTGTGTCGTGCACGCGGAGCGAGCGAAGCAAAGAACCCACCAGGGGAAGGAATGCTTAGCTCACTGAAGCTGTAGCTAGACATAGCAGACGCTGGTGTGGCGCCATCGGCACTGCGAGGGCGGCTTGGGGGTGCCTGCAGCTGCCACATCTCGTCGTTGCTCTCGGAAGATTCTGACCAAGCCTCTGGTACACCATCAAGCTGAATGTGGTGGAGCATCGCTAGAGCACCATCTGGAAGAAAGACACCCTGATCCGAAGGAGTGGGTTCCCGGGATGCCTCGTCGTAATTCTGAAGAGCAGTGGGGATTTGTGGAAAACTTCCCAATACGTTGCGCCAGTCAACATCTTCCGGGGTCTCGATCGTAATTGGAACGGCCTGGAGATCAACGTTATCGTTTTCTAGCTCATCCTCGCTTCCCTCTACATCAGGCCGGACGTGAATATCCATAGCATCCCAGTCGGGCAGAGAGTGTGTATCAGGAGTAGCGAGAGCACTGAGGTTGGATTCCTGGTCCGACGAAATACTTCCATCCAGTGAAGGCGGCGCGTAGGATGCAGGCACAGATCGAGTAAGCATTGAGAGTGCAGCGGGAGAGACAGGAATCTTGGGTGGAGGCGTCGGAGGGATCGGCGAGCTCTTGTGACCCCCAGTAATAGAGGGCCAGACACTGGATGGAGGGATCTGGAGAGTAAGAGAGCGTCTGCGACTTCCAGTCGAGGTATAGGAATCCCTTGTGACCGGTGTCACCAAACTCGATGGCCGTGTTGGCTGTGAAAAACACGATAAACTGATTTCCGTCGAGCTGTCGTCATCCATATCTTCCTCGTCTGTCGCATCATACAGGTCGTCAAATCCTTTCATCTGTTGCTGCCATTCCACATCTGAGCAACATGACGAAACAGTTGCCGCTGAAAGAGGCGACATCAGGCGGGCCAACTGTGCGTGAGTCGGTACTGATAACCCGCTGGTCTTCAATGTCAACTTTGGGCTAGTCAACGGCTTCTGTTGTGTTGGCGTGTTGATCCTCTTCTCGGCAAACTGTGATTCGCGAGTATCCTCCTCCATTATAGTATTAAGCACCGTCCCTCGGGCCTGCCGAAGGGGCGGACATCGCGCTTGGTAAGGTCGAAGTGTGTCGGCCATTTTGATGCTCGATGTTGGTTTGATTGTTCTAGTCCGAAGCGTGGCGTATCGCAGGGACAGAATTCTATGGGTATCTGGAAATAGGAAAGTGCATGGACACCGATCAACGGGTTTGCGTAATGAACAGTTAAGAAATAAACAGTACAAAAAAAAACCACCTTAGCTACCAGAGCCAGATGGTACCAAAGAAAATCAAGATGACGAAATTAAGGACGCAAATTCGAGTTAGTCCCCCGGGCCGTTGAATAGACTATATAGACGAATGGTGCGTTCGTCCCCTCTGAGGACGTGCATGAGGGAGCCGATCCTTGTTCACGGCTAGTCACCAGGTGCATGAGCTACTGCAAGTTTGGGAACCGCTAAGATGACCCCCCTGTCAACTCGACGATGATGAGGACGTTCATTGGCTCAGAGGCCAGTCGGCGCGTCGCCCGGGAACAATGACTAGGTCTTGACCGACGCATGCCCAACAAATTCGTCAAGAACGAGCATGATAAGTGGGGAGGAAAAATGCAGAGGGTGGACGAATCATGAATGCGGAGAGTGTGACGAATTGCCCACTCTGGTGATGGGGCCAATGATCGGATACTTCTAACCGCTGTGGATGCTATGTTTAGTCCCCGCCAAGGCCCGTGCGACCTCAATATCACCACTTTCGGCACATTCACAGCGCGAATGTTGGATAATTAGTCTGGCATGACATAGTTATTGATGAGTAAAGTGGAGAGAGTCGGCCAAAAGCGTCGACCAAGTCAGCATGTAAAGAGGGGTAATGACTTCAGTTTCGCTAGTCAGCAACATTGCATACTTAGTCTGAATTAATTATAGCAATTCCTGCTAATTGACTCATTCCAGGGTGATCCACAATCATTTAGACTGGTCCGACCTGAGACTTAAGACATAATGCCAGTGGGGATGCGATTCTCGAGGGCGCATACAGTACCGACGCGGATTGGTGCCCTACTGGGCATCATCAGGGCAGCATAGCCACAATGACACACTTTCAATCTCAGCTGGATCTTCTGCAATGTTATGATTGGTATTGAGAGGGCTGATATGAATTTTAATTCTCAGACGTTCTCAGGCTGTGATCGGGCGCCTTACCAGTGTGATTAAGAATCAAAGACATGGCCATGGTTACATTCTCGGTCTCTACTCTTCTCATCCCAAGCCAAATAGCCGCCCTGAGAAAAGCCAGTAGACAATCCACAATGCATTGATATCTATCTGTGACATCTAATCACCGGAGATTTGACGCAAACAAGGTTGTGGATGTAATGGCGGTCCACACCTTCGTGTCAATGGCCTTGATGGAAACATTTGCCGATATGCTGTCAGGGCCAAGTAGATGCCTCGAGACATCAGTGAGTCCCGAATCCAGAAGTACGAGCATTCGGAGGTAATAGGTAGGTATACACAATAAAAGACTTCGAGTCGAGCCTCTATGGGTTGAATGCACCAGCTTGCATCCCCACTATATTGACCCACATGCAATTCTTGCAACCTGATATCCGGTACACAGTGTGACTACCTACTTCACGCGATATGCAAGCTTTGCATTATATTGCGATCACCTACTGAAAGGAGGTGTGTAGCACCTGTCTACAAGACATCCTATACACCTCTCTGCGTTGCTTCTGTACATGAATGTCCACTTTCAACTTCAATGAAATAAAATGCCTTAATAAGGATAATGGTCACTTTGATCTCGTTGATCAATCGGCCAGTCGTCCAATCGGCAAGACAAAGCGAACAAGAGGAAGTAGCTTCCGGGACGGAATCAATACACAAGTATTCAAGCCCCATGCTGATTCGCATCGAAACTTGGAAAAAATCATAAGCTCGCTCTATCCACATCAATAAATTGTCGATTGTGAAAGCGCCCCTGTCGATATGCAAGCGAAGCAGTTGTCCATCGACGGACGTATCCAGACCCTGAAACCAATCATACCAGTAAGGCTTCAGCCTATGTTTCTTTGTTGGGTGCCTTCGACTTCCTTACCCCCCGGAGGGTTTAAGTACTATCTGAAAATCAGTTGCTGGAATCAATGGGTAAAATGAAGTGGTATCAGTATACCTCCGCACAAAACTTCGTCAGATAAATGACTAGAACAGACAGATAACAGAGCGCCGAAAGTGAGTAAGCAAGCTTTGTCACTCCTCCCAGGCCTGTATAGGAGTCCTGTATTGTGATCAATGCTCTCTCTAAAACTTCTGTGGTCGAATTTGCTCGGACTATAATATAATAAGCATTGAATCAGGAGCTTTAAGAGTGAAACAATAATACTTTTCCATAAAAATGCCCCCAAGGAGAAGCATAGACCGATAAGGTACATTGTGATGCCAATCCAGTACACAATGCTTTGTCCTCTAGTCAATCCAGAGCAGAACTTCCGGGAGGGTGGAATAAACGGTGCCCCGATAATAAGGCATAGCAAAATTATAGTCGGCATTTTCAATTGCGATTCGATGGTCAAGCGCGGTATCGCGTAAGTAGCTGTATCAGTTTTCAGCGATGAATCACGAATCTTAGTAAAGACAAATCAGTAAAGTCCATTAACGTACTGCTGAGATACTTCAAAGTTTCAAAATTTGAAGTCCTCCCAAAATCGTTATGCGAGATACAACCTTTGATAGTATACAATCCAGCAAATGTCCGACCTGTGTTTCGCTGAGGCAGAAGCACCTTATATGTGAATCTCTGGTAGAACTGGTAAGGCTGAACAAAGAGACTGAAATTCCATATTGGCAAGGCAGAATAGGCCACGCAAGCAATGCTAACGCTAAGGCGAGTGGGTCTAGCAACTAGGCCATCTCTGGTAAGGCTCAATTGCGCCTCACTTTTCGGAAGGCAGAAGAGGTAGGCCACACAGGCAATATGCTAAATGCTAATGGAGTTGATACTGTATGACTAGCTATTTGGAGCTTTTCGACTTGTAACCACTAGAAGTTCGTAATTGTAACTAGCTTTTGCTACATGAATAGATGCCGCTAACTTAGAAATCGCGAGCATCAACGCTATCTTGCATAGCACCTAGTAGCCTTGGAAAGTCAGGCGCTTGAGATTGAATATTCAAAGGTAAAAATACGAACGAACTCCCTTAATTTGCCTTCTAACCTTGGGGCTGCAAAGGGTTGTACCTTCAAGGTGCTTAATCATATAAGTACTGAATTGAATCCTAAGGAGGCAGCCTCAGGAGAGTCTATATATATATTGGGCATTATGCCTAAATTTGAAAGGCCGGGGCGGGAAAAGAACATGTAATTCAAGGCAGACCAGAAAGTCTTCGCTAATTGCTAGAGTCGTGGAGGTAAACCTTAAGGACCTAAGTGTTGAGCTTCCTTAATCCGAATGCAAAAGCGTCGTCCAGAATCTGCAGGCCCTCTTCAATCTCCTCAGCAGTAACAGTCACCGATGGTGCAAGGCGGAAGACACCGCCCATGTCCGGAAGATTGACAACATTACAGGAAAGACCGCACGCCATCGCGCGGTCCGAGACTGCCTGGCCAAGCTCCGAGCCAGGGGCTCGTGTTACAGGGTCCGAGATGATCTCAATGCCTTGCAGGAGACCGCGGCCACGAACATCACCAATACACCAGTACTTCTTCTGAAGCTTGAGCAGACCCTCGCGTAGCTGAGCACCACGCTCGGTAGCGCGCTTGCAGATATTATCGCGCTCCACAATTTCCAGCACCTTGTTTCCCACAGCTGCGGTTAAAGGATCATTAAGATGGGTGGTAAGCCATAGGAAACCAGCCTCCGTACAACCGCGCTCGATCTCAGCTGTCGTGCTTACGGAAGCGAGAGGAAGACCGCAACCAAGCGTCTTGGAGAGGGCGAGAATATCGGGGACAATGCCATCGTTTTCAAACGCAAACATTTGGCCTGTACGTCCCACACCGGTCTGTGCCTCGTCCATGATCACAAGCATACCACGTTTCTTGCACTCGGCCACCATGCGCTTCATATACCCCGAGGGCATGTCCAGAATCCCGCCGGTGGACAGGATAGGCTCCATTATAAAGGCAGCGAGTGAGCCAACACTTTGCCGGTCAATCATTGACCAGCCAAAGTCCATCTCCGTTTCCCAGTCGTAGGATCCATCGGCTTTCCGGAAAGGTGATCGATAGGCGTAAGGCGCAGGGAAAGCGAGTTGGCCTGGGGTGCAAGGACCGCCGCGTTTCCGACCGGCAGAGTATGTAGCGGATCCAGAACCTTGAGTCAGACCATGATAGCTGGCTGCGAATGCGACGATTTCGAAGTTTCCGGTATAGTACTTTGCCATCTTGATAGCGGCCTCGGTAGATTCAGAACCCGTGTTCAGGAAGAAAGATTTCTCGAGTGGGGCTGGCAAGACTTTGGCAAGACGTTCAGCAAGGTCGGCGACTGGATGGGTTATCATATTACTGAGCAGATGGTCTAGCTCTGAGACATAGTGCTTAACGACTTCCACAATCTCGGGGTGAGAGTGACCGAGAAGGGAGCTCATCTGGCCCGAAGTGAAGTCGAGGATTGACCGGCCATCAGCCTCGTAAAGACGAGTGCCCTTGGCTTTTGTGATGACGACAGGAGAAAACGGGACTCCCGTTGACATGAGGTATTTGTTTGTTTTGGCCCAAAAGGCGGCAGTGCTGTCGGAAGAACCCATGTTTATATTGAAGAGGTGGGATGTAAAGTAAGAAGCTGGAGAGTGATGACCAGAAGGAATGTGTGAGCAGCCATCTTAAATGACATAGATTATCAGCCTGAAAGGGATCAAACACTTTTTTTGAAAAATGCACTACGTTCTCCAATTGATGGCGAATCAAGCGCCCGCGGGGAAGGTGTGGGGGACTTGGCCGCGGTCACTAGGGTAATTCTGGCACCAATGAAGTAAGAAGATAAGCTAAACCTGCCGGAGTTTGAGCTGGACAAAGGGCTGTTATCTCTGACAAGTAATACACATGCGCCAAAAGATCTTGTTGGAAATAGGTCTTCCAGTTCAGCGCAAAGGGGTATCCTAGACGCTCACACCTGTGCCCCCTCTTGTATTAGTTTTCGTAGCCGAGTGCTTGGTTTGATAGCATGATCTAAGTACACGATTGTCAAAAACAAAGACCCTCCGAGAATCCGTTTACATCCCCAAAGAGGTCACTTAATGCAGATGTATCTATATCGAGGTACTCTGAAAAATGGGGAAACTCCTCAATAGGGATTTCGGTATTGATTTGCGGATTGTTCATGACAATTTTTTCGACCAAATCACTACACTGAGCAAGACAATCATCCGCTAAATCCCAATCAAAGTCTTGACGATGAGCTTGGAGAGCAGTAATCATGTCTTTTGCAGTCTCGAGCGGGTTATTATGAGCTTGGCCTCTAATTCGCAGACCACTTCGAAGAAGAAACATCGTCGCAGATTTGATAGAAAATGCATGCACGGGAATCCAGAATCCACGAAGTTGTGACTCATTCATTTCTCGCACCAGATGAGCGATATCTTCGGCCGCACGTTGAGCTTGCATATAAAAAGAGAAGCCGGTGATCTCGACTTGCACATGGCTCTTGTTGAGATCAAGTTGAATGCGTCGGAGCAGCAGCTTGACAGCTAGATAAGCAAGTCGGAGGTTGGCCGCCCCAGGCCCATCAAGATTTGTTCCTCGTAGAACAAGAAGACGGACATCACCAGTCAGCGATTCCTCCCACTCGCTGAGAAGCTGCTCCAGATCGAATGCGGAAAGTTCAGAAGTCGAGTCCTTGGAGACGCTGTACACGTGTTCTAAATAGCGAGCGAGCACATCCGTCAACCTAAGAAGAGCAATGAATATGGTAGCTGCTGCCCTATGATACGATGAGGCATCTACTGAGCATATATCGCTCACCAATGGCAATGGCACATCATATTGTGCTCTATGGACTTGTAAAGGAGTTCCATATGCCAGACTGCACCACCGATCATGCAGAACAACTAGCCACCATATTCGCATTCGTAGACTTTTCTCCAGTGGTGATATGCTCCAGCTCGATGGGTCTCGGTTTAGACCAAGTGCATTAGATAGCGCAACAGCTGTCCCTACCATTCCACCGTTGCCAAACATGGAGGTACTTGGTCTTCCGCAGACATTGAGAATAATAGACATAACTGTGGAGATGCCCGGCGACAAGAAAAGTTCCGATTGCAATGCTTCATTGGCTTGGTTCCATATGAATCGAATGTCGGGAGTGCGCCCTGCACGCAATTTGTGTGAATCTTTCCAGTAAATAAGAGAGTTGGCATATAGGTTGCAAAGCAAGGCAGACGACATTTTGCCTTTATGGGAATTATATGCACTCCTGAACAAATTCTCGTCAAATATTGGAAAGCAAGTATTAGCCTTCCGGAAGAATCTGAGAGGTCAGTGTAAGACTCAGATGAACGAATTGTTTTGACTGTATATTCGTCTGAATACTCACAACTGCAAATGCTCATCGATGTCAGGTTCAAGATATTTCTCAATGATTTCACATTTTGATGCTGCAAGTGATTGATTGGCAGTGATACCTAATGGCCGTCGGGGAACAATGTTAAATCGTACGGGTCGCAGTGGTCGATTTGACGATGGACTTGTTGGTACCAAACAACGTCGTGTAACAGGAACGGCAGATAAATAACTTTCCAAAATCTCGTTATCATCTGCAACGGCAGGACTCACTATGTGAGAGGTGTTATCCTCGGCTTCTGTGACAAGACCCGCGAGGTTAGTCAAACCCTCAGCTTTGTGCTGATCTCCCGAAAGAGGCAGCATGAGAGAAGGATCCACTGGGGCAACAGCAATGTTTCGATCTATCTCAGGCAAAGTGGTCCCAGGCGTTTCCATTTGTGAAACAGAGTGTGAATGAGGAGACTGCCCTGCATGCAGTGTATTGTCGCCAGCGATGTGTCGCTGCCTCGCATTGGCTGGAGATTTCCGGGGCGAAATAGACTGTCGACCACCATAGCTATCATCGGAGCGGGGGAAAACACACTTAGTGCCGTGGGCTTGACACATGATGCATATTTCCGAGGCATTTCGCGTCTTGCAGCGAGATTTGCGCTTCTTGCAGGAGAAGCACGCTGGGTGTAGATGTGACCGATAGGGCCGGCCTTCCCCTTTGGAATCGCTGCGTTCGCTCATGGAAGATCTTCGTTATCAATCAAATCTGTATAGCCAGATTGATCCAAAGATAGGAAAGCCTTCGAATTGAACCTTGAGGAGTTGATGCCGCCGTAATCCAGAGTAAAGACTTTATCTTTGCATAGTCCTGGTGGGGATCCCCGCGGAAAAGCCCGCGGGGAATGTGCCACGTGATGCATATTTGCTTACAGCAACAGCAATATTGAATGTTCAAGAAAAGGTCACAATGTTGGGCTCAGTCTGGTTCCATATGTTTACCTTTACTTATTGCTCATGTATGCAAAGTTTTCCCACCTGGGCAAGCTCGCGCTGCCGTCAGCCGTCAATCAATCAAAGCACGGGGCTTTAGAACCTTTACAATATCCTGCAGGATATATTCCTGCTGAATAGAGCAGAACTTCCATGAAAACAACATTGGTTACTCTGTCACCTATGCTACCATACCCCATTCCATTTTCAATTTTTCCAATTGGGACCTGATTTTCTGGGCCCTTCAACTCTCCAGGCCTTTGTTCAAGCTACAATCTTCTCGACCTTGGAATAGCTCTCATACCTACTGCGCTACCAAATTCTTCTCCAGCACAAAGTTGACGCCCATTTCACACAAGCGAAGATATCTTCCATATGACTTGTTCGCGCCGAAGCATCGAGCTGCAAAAATATAACATTAATAATTTGAGGCTGCTAGCCTAGAATGTTGTAAAGCGATCTTCCAGGATCGGTCCAAGTGCAGCCTTAGGAGTAGTTGGACAAGGCAGTGAGTAAGAAAAAGTTACCCCTTTTCAGTGGAAGGTGTATAGAACGATTTCAGAGTGACAAATACCATGGGATTATTTACACTGGGGACAAATTAGATCTCCTAAGACTGGAATGGCGTCCTTTTGACGAATCTGGAACCCCTACATCTTTGAATTTGAGTCAATGCTATGGCTATTTCTGTTTGTTCAGAGTCAAAGGTTCACCTCCCGGTAGAATCATTCTTGGAAGGATTGCGCGGTTTCGTGACTAGCGGGATCACCTTTACCCCCGGATTGAAGGAAGCTGTTACCCGGGGAAGCTCTTAAGTCCAGTTGAGGAGAAGGGGCCAGTATCCCCGCAACATCATCTGCTGTGCTTACAAGACGCATTTTCATTGGATTCAATTCTAACTTTTTCCAGTAACGGAGACTAAGAAGCTTCGGGTTACGGGCAAAGGATAAGCAAATATCCATACATACCGTGCAGGATGAGAAAGAGAGAAAGTATCTAACAGGCTAACAAGACGCCGGCGTCGTAATCCATGAAATGCAAGAGTATAATTGGACCAAGAAAAAGCCTACTCCACGCTCTAGACTATATCTGGGGAAGAAATTCGGGGGCCGAACCCCCTACCCCACTTCTCCAGATTGTTTACCGACTCGGACATTCCCCGGACTCGGCCTTTGAACCACCAAAACACCAGATTGCCTCAAAATAGAGAACCGGATATGAAATAAGCCGCCAAGCCGGGCCTAAAAAAACAAGCCGGCACAAAAGCTTAGCCCTCCCCACATCTCGGGGTGCTTCCTTCTAAGCGAAGATGGGGTTTCCCATTATTTAGCTGAGGTTTCCCCGTGGGGCTTCGGTTTTCATTCCTTGTTTTTCTCCTTTGCTCTCTGAGGTGCTGGGATTTCACCATGGCTACTGAAATTGATACTTCGCTGAGGCGCAAATTATACTATGCTATTCCTCCAGCTATTGCGGGCTTTGCCTATGGGTGGGAAAATGCTTCTATGAGTGGTATTCTCACCATGACTCAGTTTTTGGATTATTTTGGTACCCCCTCTGCCTTCCGACAGGGCGTTATGACTGCGGGTTTGCTGGCTGGTGAATTTGGCGGTTCTTTGATGATTGGTTTCTTAATTTCAGATCGTTTTGGTCGCCGCATCACCATCTTGTTTTGTGTTGTTGTCTACCTGATCGGTCAGGCCATCATTGTGGCTTCGCAGAATCAACCAATGTTTATTGCTGGACGTGTTGTCAACGGGTTGGGGGCTGGTGGTTTGTTTCAGACGATATCATTGTATGCTCTTTTGACCTCCCATTATCATCATTCTTTAGCTGACTGTTCTTCAGGTACACCGCTGAAATTACACCTCCTCAAATCCGTGGCGTGATGACTTCAATGATGAGTCTGGGTATAGCAATGGGACTTCTAGTCGCATATTGGGTTCAGTATGGAGCGGCCAATATCCAGGGCAATGCTGCCTGGCGCATGTGCTTCAGTCTTCAACTGGTACCTGGTGCGGCCGTCGGCGCCATAATGCTGTTCCGACCCGAATCCCCACGTTGGCTATTCCGACACGATAGGTCCGAAGAAGCCTTGCAAGTCTTGGCTAAGCTTCATGCCAAGGGAGACCAGAACGCACCTGTTGTCCAGTCGGAATTCGAAGAAATTCGGGTCGTCGTGGAGTATGAGCGAGGTACACCTGCGCCCTCCTACCTTTCGCTGCTGGTCAGCAAGCAATACCGTCGTCGGACTGCATTGGCCATGGGACTCCAATTCATGCAGCAGATCACCGGTGTCAACATCATTCTGTACTACGCTGCTAAGGTGTTTGCACAAACTGGTCAAACAGGAACTAAGGCCGCATTACTGTCCAACGGTATCGAGTCAGCCCTATTCCTCGTCGCATCTTTCTCGTTGACACTCCTCATGGACGTGTATGGTCGTCGCAAGCCATTGATTATCGGCCCTATCCTGATGGGAATTTGCATGATCATCGTCGCATCCATGCTTGTCGGCTTCGGCGCACCATACTTTGACTCGGCGACGCAAGAAATGAAATTCAATTTTGCAGACGGCGCGGCCGGTAACACAGCTGTTGCGTTCATGTTCCTCTACATGGTCACATTCGGTGCAAGTATGGCCTCCCTTCCATGGACTTATCAAAATGAAGTCTTTCCTATCAATGCTCGCGGTCGTGGAACCGCGCTCTCAACTTCCGTGAATTGGTTCGTCAATTTCTGGCTGGGATTGTACATGCCCACTGCACTGAATGAGGGGTCTTGGAAAGTTTACTATGTTTTCGGCGGTATCAACATTGGTATCTCGTTTGTCATTTACTTCTTCTTCCCGGAGACTTCCCGCCGGACATTGGAGGAGCTGGATCTGCTCTTTACTCCTAATCGGCGCACCCTTGTGTTCTTGGATAAAGATGCTTGTCGGAAGGGATCGCTTCTTAAGCATGGATTGGAGTCCGGTGCTGATGCTGCCAAGGATTTAGAATCTGCGTTGGTCCTTGGCGCTATCGAGGGAGGTGAAAAGGAGAAGAATATGGCTTTGCATGATGAGTATTTGCAGTGATTGGCTCATGGTATCTCCGGCTTGTGACGTGCATACTATAGCCTCTGGTTTGAGATGAACTTACCATGATAAAATAAAAGGATTGACGATATTAACATGCCATTCATTTAAATCCTCTAGAGCTGCCATCAAAGTCTCTGATATTGAGTCCATATTCATCAAAGTCTAATATGATTGGTGATCTCAGAATTTCAGATTCTTTGTCACCGCTAATGGTTTTTTTTCATACGTGTGATATCTGAGCAGAAAACACAATTTAGTGCAGCAAACTTCCGGCAATCAAATGAAATGTTCGTGGATTCTCTGATGGCAGGATCTTCGACTTGACGCCAGGTCTCGCACCTTACTCGCTCACATGATGACTGCGGTAGTGTACAACCACGAAACCACCCCGCAACAACAGCACGATATCCTCCTCTAATCCATTGTCATGCCAAAACATTTCACGTGAAAATACCAATGACGCAGATGGCTGAAGACTTGAAATGCAGATCATTCAAGCTCCTGATGGAAAACAGATCTATCAATTCTTCAACGAATCCCACGCTACTAGTACATCATGGAGTGGGGGAGGGGACCCTCGGAAGGGTCTAGCGAAAACGACCCGCTACACCTTCCTTCAACGATGAAAACGGGTTCATCCGCCTTCTATGCTCAATGGCAGACTGCATGGTAGCATGGGCCCTGGATGCAGCATAGCTTATCAGGGGCAGGGCCCGGGGGTGTTCTACCTAGAAATGCGGACTCAGGTACGTACACGTGCCTCCATGGCTGGGGGCCGGCGAGATCTGACGCAATGTTTGGGATTGATTAACAAGCATTGTGTCTGGACTTTGGCAGATCATTTCGGCTATTGCACCTTAGTCTTGTCGTCCGATGACTTCAATTTAGGTATAATTAGGTTAAATTTATACGTAGATGTATACTTGATTTTCTTAACCCCTCTGTGGCGTATCCCAACAAGATAACAGATTAGAAAACCCATGTCAAAGATGTCGAGTGCTACTTAGCGAGTTGGTCACGAGCAAACAGGAATGAACCATCTATAAAACCGTTGGGCGCCTGGGGCGGTCTATTAAGTGGAATGCATTGGGGCTTCGGACCACAGTGCGCCGGGACATTGGCAATGTGCTGGTAAATCCCCGCTTCACCCTTAAGATCCGCTTTTCACACATGTAATGCACACCCAGTTTCGGGTGACCGAAGAGCGGTTATCGTCACGGCTATTGATTGTGAACTAGAGATGCAATTCCCGCCTATGAGTGTGTTTCCTGACTAGATGACGGTGTCGGTCCAAAGCCGGTATCCGATGCGCATAAGTGTTCTTGCATGACTTTCGTGTTTATATGTAGGGTCATACAGTGAATATTGGTTATTGTTTGAATTTCTAGACTATATAAAGCTGTCCAGCATGAACTGTCATGCCCTGGGGTTAATAAGTGGTGGTATGATGAGGGGCACCTGATTGGCGGGTAGGTGGAAGTCTAAGCACCACCGAGCTTCGACGGGGATTCCAGGCTTTTCCCCCAATGAGAAACGTGGCGATCGAAGGTTCTGTCTGAGCTTCCGGTCAGCAGACTTGACGATTTTTTATTTCCACGATTTCGCGATGGTAGACCGGAATGTCCTAAACGGGTATTCCTGGATGATGACGATGATTTGTCGGGACAAAAATCCCCTGGCTCCATTGTGATCATTATACTGCTTTATGAATGGCAGCGAACACGTTGAGTGGATCTGAATTGCATGTACATGTAAGGCCCTTAATAGACTGCAGCGACGATCGTTGAAGATTAACTGCGACCGGGGTCCACGTGAGGAGCCGAGCCCTTATCAGAGTCGTTTGCATCATTTGGAGATATTTTTCTTGGATATATTTCAAGAAACAAGCAGGCAATGCATTATTTTTGAATTAAATGGTATAGAGGGAGGTATAATTAACATTCCTCCAATCGACCTAGAACGCCAAATACCTACGTAATGTACTCGGTACGTTGAACAAGGGATCCATACGGTGAACGGCGAACCCGGCATATCCACCCTTGGGTTGCCACTCAGCCTGATGTAAACACGATTACACGATAGAGTCGGAAGCTTCACCTTATTAACCCGCTTCAATTTTTTTTTTACCCTATTATTACGCCTTCTCCCCCCATTTCCCCTACTTCTCCCCCTCAATTCTTCCCCCCATTCAATCCTCCCATACTTCAAAATGGCTCCCCCGCCATCATCGCCCCGTCTATCCTCAGCGCCAACTTCGCAGATCTCGGTCATGACTGCACAAAGAAGATGGAGCAAGGCGCCGACTGGCTCCACGTTGATATCATGGATGGTCACTTCGTCCCCAACATGACCATCGGATGTCCCGTCGTTTCCCAGATTCGCGGCTGTGTCGACCGCCCGCTTGAACCTTGTGCTCGTGGCACATTCGACTGCCACATGATGATCATGGAGGTGAGTTAGCTAGCTCACCCAATTCCAGTTGCTTTTATTGCCCGGCTTTCCTCGGAGTGATTCCGCAAATCCCGAGCTTCTTTTGCTAATGTTTCTGTTTTGCGCATAGCCTCATAAATGGGTGAAGGAGTTCCAGAAAGCTGGTTGCGACCTTTACTGCTTCCATTATGAAGCTGCTGTTTCTTCCGTTGCTGCTACCGATCCTACCGATAAGGAGACTACCCAGCGCACTTCGCCGCGCCAATTGATCAAGTATATTCACGAGGAGGGTATGCAGGCTGGTATTGCGATCAAGCCTGATACCCCCGTTGATGTGCTGTGGGATATTCTGGACAGCCCCGATCAGTCTGAACGACCCGACGTGAGTTTTGCGCCACCTTCCTACTTTTTGCACTGGATTCTACAGTCTACGTCGATCTCGCGGCAAATTGTGACCTGCAACGCATGCGCTAACAAGTCCGTGATTTAGATGGTCCTCGTAATGACAGTTCACCCCGGTTTCGGAGGTCAAAAGTTCATGGCCTCCGAGCTTCCTAAGGTCTCCGCCCTGCGCGCACGGTACCCCGAGCTAAACATCGAAGTCGACGGCGGTCTCGGTCTCGGAACGATTGATCAGGCTGCTGAAGCAGGTGCCAATGTCATTGTGGCAGGCTCTGCGATCTTCGGCGCGCAGGATCCGGCTGATGTTATCGCGAAACTGAGAGACGCTGTTCAGAAGCGGAGAGGTCTCGAGGCTGGTTCTGCTTAAGCGCGAGCTTGAGCTTGAGTTTGAACTTGAGACTATATAGTGGTTCATGAGACTGTTTAGTGTGAACCACTAGGCTTGGTTTTGGATTACATATTGTCATTCGCATTGCCCCGCTATGGACGAGTGTTTTGTTCGAAGTGGGGGTTGTTTGGTGGGGTCCTTTGATGACCAAAAAGGGGTTTCGGTGTTCTCACCAGTTTTGCTTTTTGTCGGTATTCGACTCATCTTTGCTGGTTTGATTTGATTTTATTTGATGTGCAGGGATTCTGTTTCCTTTCTTTTTCATGTTGATTATGGGGTGTATTCGTTTTAATCATGAGCTATGAATCGCATTCGAAAAATTACGAGAATAAAAGAAATGTACAATTTCTTATCAATGACTGCTTGAATTGGGCTCACACTGGTATCATGCAAAAAACATCGCAATTGACGCGCATTCCTCCTGTACATATTTGTCGGAGGGTGCCCCTCACTCGATCGCTGACGTAGCCTCCGTGCTCTCCGCAGCCGCGGGGTCCGCAGGAACAAGAGCTGCAGCCTCGGTCTCGCCCTTTGCGTCCTTATCCTTGGTCTCGGCCGTGTCCTTCTCGGTCTCAGTGGTATCCTTGTCCTTAGTGTCGGTCGCAGTGTCCTTCTTGGCCTCGGTGGGCTCCTTTTCTTCCTTCTCCTTAACCTCGGCCTCAGCCTTGGGAGTCTCAATGCCTTCCTCAATATCCTCTCCAATAGGACTCTCCTCGATAGTCTCATTCGGTTGCTTCTTCAGCGCAGCTTCCTTTCGTAACGCCTCTACCGAACCCGACGGATCCTCCGCCGAGATAGACGACCGAATCTCCTTCACAACCTTATCCTGTTCCTCCTTGTCCGTCACCGAAATGATCGAGCCGCGGTGATGCCCAACAAGACCGAGCATCTCAGCGTTATCCACACGGAAGTTGGCAGAAGAGACAGCCGCGAGTTCGGGAACCTGGAGAGGAGGTCTCTTAGGTCCCGTGGGTGATTCTTCCACTGCCTCGGGCATTTCAGGCGCGACGGAGCTCTTGCGCTGCCTGGTCGTGGGGCTCGTGGACTCGGCCTCCTCAGACTCAGGCTTTGCAGTCGCGTCCTTCTTGTCGTCCGCCTTGCTCTTCGCTTTGGATGCAGCCTCAGTGCTGGCTTGGCGCAGGGCTAGAACGGCTGTCTCGTCTTTCTTCTCTTCTTCGGGCTTGGTCTTGGGGGGAGGGGACTGGATCGTGATCGTAGACGGCTTGGGAGCCTTGGGTTCGGGCTCCTTGGGCGTGGAGGGTGCTTCGGTCGCGGCGATCGGGTAGCTGGTAGCTGGCATGCCGTCTAGGTCTGGGGCGCTGTTGATCACCATGCGCAACTCGCCGAACTCGTTCCATTCTTCAACTTCTTCCAAATCCTTTCGGAAGGTTAGTGACATATTCTTCTAACAGATAGGATAAAGATAGGCGTACTCCGACAATGTTGCCGTACTTTACCAGTCCTGGCAACTTCTTGCCCTTGGAACGGCGACCCCACAGTTTGCGGGCGGCATCGTCTGTAGCGACGTCAATGGCACGGAAGGGAAGCTTGTTCGCCTTGAGAATAGTTTCTATGCGGGAGGTAGCGGTGATGATGTGCGAAGACCCCGCAGTGAGCGAGGTGTAGAGGTAGAGGGTCGAGTCGGACATGGTGTAGTGCTCAGGGGTGGGGTGGTGGGATGGTTGAGAAGGTAAGTTATCGCTGATAGAGATTGATCGTAAATCGTAAAATAAAGGGGTAAATGGGTCAGGGGCAATTCATCCAAATGGAGAACACCAAACAACTAGTGAGAAGCCAAAAAAGAATATAGTATATGGAAAACCTTTGTGCAGCGTGAAGTTGTTTCTCCTTGAAATTATGACGTGGCTGGGGAACGATCACGTGTAGGCTTTATTCTCTCGAAACGGCTTTGATTTTCTACAAATGAAACTCATCATTCTCGCCTTGATTCGCGGCTGCTCCGCCGACTGTTTTATATGCTTTCTCCACATCTTCAATGCGTTTTCCAAGATTGCCCCGGGTGTGGCGACTTGACGTCAGCCCGACCCATGCTCTGCCGTCACTGATTCCTTTTCGGGACAGTGGTTGGTTGGATAGATCAAACCTCATAGTTCACTGCCGTGGTTCAGGATCCAGGCAGTAGGTTTATGGAAATTAGGATGGGTCAACTTGTGTGCAAGTGAGCTGTGTTCGTGTTACCTAACCGTTCCTGGGACAAATTCGCCTCTGACTTGAAACCATGGGCTTGGAGTTTAAGACGATATCCTTCTGGAACATAAGGCTTCCACGGTTCTTGCTTTCCGCATTTCGCAAGTGAACCTATCAAAGCTAGTATTGGTAGACTCGTTTTTGCCTGTCGTACTGTAGTCAAATCCGCAACAGGGCAAGCGTAGGCTCACAGAGAGAACTCTGTCCAGCCGCAGTATTCGGATACACACCGCCAAACCCAACGTGTAGCCCCATCGTCTAAAAGTGCTAGTGCCAACCAAATTGAATGCACTGGATCCAGTCCGTGCAGAGTGGCAGAGTAGCGGTCTGTATGGAAAACCGTGGATGGTATTCACTGCCTTGTTGAGCCGCCAGAAGCAGCACGGGCTCCTAGCCGAAATCAGGGGTGGCAGACATGCGATCAGGATAGATAGCATCAGCCCCAAGGTCACGTATATTTGACAGTTTAAAAGCTGACTGCTTCCGCGCCAACGTCCCCTTCCATGCTAGCCTGCAGTCAAGAAAAGCAGCAATCAGTATTAGCCATCAGCCACTTCAACTCCCATGCCTCCGTTGCTGCAGGGTGCGTCTATGCCTCCAATAAGATCATCGGTGGTACACTCCTGTAATGCGCCACCTGCATTCGTGTTCAAGGGGGACTCAATACGAGGCCGCGATGTAGCGCACGCGACATGCTGCGCAGAGGTGGCATCAGTCTGCCTTGTCAACCTCGCCGGCGAGGTGACGTGTGTATGTAGAGCTAGACTTTGCTGTAGCCTAATTTCGGCATGTAGGGCCACTGAAAAGTGTGGATGAAAGCTATATGACGACCATTTAGTAGGGTGTTGGAACTTGGCGAATCCGGAAGACGTTGCAGGTTCTATCGACATGGATTCTGCTGCCCGAGCTTCAGCCCAGAGATCTTCATCTCTGCTGTCGAATCTCGATCATTTGGAAACAGAAGCTTCCTCTTAATTATTATAAACCCATTGCATAAAGCAAATTTGGCTCAGACGAATATAGCTTTCATGCGACCGAGATAATGTCGACGTCGTACATCGGTATAATGACGCCGGGTCCGATTGGACAGAACAACTCCATCACTAACCTATCAGAACCTTCGTTCAAGGTCCCTTGGGCAGAAAATGATACACCGTCTTTGCAGGTTAATGACGAAACAATTGAATATCAAGCGGTCCGAACAGTACGAATGTATCAGTTGTTCCAAGCGAAAAAAGTAACCTCCCATTGATTCGATGATTCGATTCCGAGGAAATCTAACCCGGGCTAGTGCCATGACACATCGAAACTGACCGATAACAGTTCTTCTTACTCGTCCGTGGAGCCTATCCAAGATTGGGCGGTGCTGTCTGATCGCTATTGGGTTGAAAACTGCGTCGTCGATCCTCCACTGCGGGCCGATGTCTGCTAACCGCCTATGAAGGTTTGACGAGAGGAAGAAAGTGAAACGCAGTTACCGCTGGTCTACAAGAGGAAAACTGGGTTTTTTAGTGTTACTTGTTAAACGCCCCATCCACGAGACTATTGTTCTGTACCGCGTATCGTTAGCGCCAAGATCGTCGCAAACGGCCGCCCCTGAAAAATGGGAATGAGAATTTCCCATGTCTCAATTTATAGGGGATTATTGAGATGATTTCGATGGTCTATACCAATTATAGATTGGAACCATGGTACGCTTTGCGGCTTCTCCCACGGGCCTTCATAACGGTTCACGACCGGGCGACAATTGGGCGCAGAGCCACCCCATTTTAACCTAGAGCCCACCAAGAGTCACCTGCATGGCCCGACTGATTTCCTGGCTGCAGGGTGGACGACGTGGCATCCATTCAGACGTCCAACCCGTTCTTAGTTCGAAACCAATGGATCTGGAGGGGGAATGTACTAGTAATGTGGGAATAATAGGAATGGAGGCATGAAGGCACACGAGGTCCTTATTCAGGGAAAAAGTGGGCTTCCATGTTTCCGATTCCCATCCGCTGTTGGCGCTGGAGATTGGTATCATGAACTTCTCAAACCCTCTCCTGACGCGAAACGTATCCCCCCTTGATTATTTAATCTGACTAGTATGCATTGCGGGCGTCGGGTCACCCTCGGGGCGATCCGGTTCGCTGCCTCACTTTATCCGCTGGTTTCCCATCACCGACTCTGCCCGTGTTGCGCTGGATGAACCAACCAGAGAAAATGCGTGCTGTACAAGAAATATCAGGGAAATAGTGAGCCCATGGCTGTGCCAGACCGATTTCATGTATAGGTGTATAGCCCCTTTCCTCGGTAATAATACGCATCATAATACTCGATGGTCCAGACCTTGAGCTCCACTTTCTCATCCACAGGATTGTCCGCTTTCTTGTCTATAGCAATCCGTCATTAACCCGTGGACTTCGTATCCATTCGGTGGGACTAGTTAGCTGTTTCCCTTTCCCGGACTTTTGCTCTTCTTCTCTTCCATGCTGCCCAATCTGTCCTGACTTCGAACTATTCATCTGTAAATTCTTTTTAATCTCCCATTTCCACCTTTCCCTCCATTTCTCCTTATCGACAAACTCGATCGACATCGGACCTTGATAAGACACTTTTTCTGGGGAAATACGTACGTGCGCATCCCCATTTGGGGTCCCATTCGGGATTTGCGGCTCCTAATGATCTATACAGACAGAAAGCCATCTACAACTATCAACTGCTACCAACACCTACCTATTTTAGCACTTTTCAGTGATTTTTGATCTCTTCCCCTTTCGCATACTGATACACCAGTTCGGCTGCACCTCCGGGTCAGATCAGGGTCATATCCCCCCCCACTATGACGTTCAATCAGGACGAAGATGAACTGTTCACCAGGGCCATATCTGGGTACCGCGAAGCATTTTTGGTTCGATACTCCCACCTACCGGAAGAGCAGCGAAATCAACTCTGGAGTCGTCGGATCAGTCCTTTTATCCCGGCCATCGAGCGGAACGACGCGACCCCGGGAATTACGGGCAAACGGACTCGACAGGATGCTATCCCGCGGACGGTCCCCTCTGGTTCTGGTCTTCCGCAAGCGAAACGACGAGCCACCGTATGTGTGACCTTGGTCTCTTGCTCCCGCACCCTCTGATCAAGAATATCCCATTCCGCTTTCCTTCCCTCCCCTACTCTCCAGCCAAAATCCTTGGATTGACGATTGGCAGACCCCGGATCTTCCGGTGACCGTCGAGCTCAGGCGCGCGCTCTCCCAAACATCCACGACAGATGGACCCCGAAAGGGTACCTCCTTCTCAACTTATCGGCATACGGCGCCCATGGTCCGCTCCCAGAGTCAACAGATCCCTATCTCCCACTGGCACCCGCCCGCCGGGGTCATGGGCAAGAGACCATCTCTCGAATCCCGGAGGACGCAACCGCCGCTTGAGCAAGTCATCGATGAGTACTCGCCTTCCGAATACACGGAGCATCTGCAATTGGACGACACCGACAACCAGTCATATCCCTCGGGCTCTGGCTCTGGCTCTGGTCCTGGTTCCGCCTTGTCGCTCGGTCTCGCTCATGGATCGACTGGACCACCTCTGCAAATCCATGACGGACAGATTTCCCCCGTGGCCGACATGTCTCCTCCGAGAGCCGTCGACATGACTCGCAGCGGAACCGCCGATTCCATCATCAACCACTTCGACAGCTTTCAATTTGAGCAAGCGGCTCCAAACGCGGATCTGGACTTGGCTTCCTATTCCATTCCCCCAGATTGGGTGCCAACATCCACATCTAACCTCCCTTTCCCTTCCCCCATCTATCCTGACCTAGATTCCACCTCTTTCCCAATCCCCTACGCTGCATCCTTTTCCACCTCTGCACCTTGCACAACCTCCTTCCCACACCCATTTCGACAGACAACCCTCCCTTTATCCGGTATCGAACCCGCGTCTTCAGTGGACGTAAAACCCATTATCTCAACAGAAGAAAGTCAATCCTCCCGTGCCGTGCGCCGCACTCAAGAACAGCTCGCCCACGCAACCCGCCCTATCGCTCCAAAGCGCGAATCCCACGACAGCAACACAGGCACAATCCTCCTCCAAGACAGCAAGATGCCACATAAAATGGTCCGCATCTCGCCCACGGACGGTACAGCCAAAGAAGTAGCAGCCATACCCAAAGCCTCGATCCACCGGCCACCCCGCCAAAAGACATATTGCACGCTCTGCACAGATCAACCAGAGGGATTTCACGGTGAACACGAACTCCGCCGCCATATGGACCGCGTACACGCCACCGTCCGCAAAGTCTGGGTCTGCGTCGACATCTCGCCCGATAAGAGCTTTTTAGCCAACTGCAAGGCATGCCGAAACGGGAAAAAGTACGGCGCGAACTATAATGCTGCGGCGCATTTGCGACGTACGCATTTCAATCCTTGTCAGCGGGGTCGTGGGGGAAGAGGGAAGGATAGTGAGAAACGCGGTGGGAAGGGTGGGGGTAATCATCCGCCTATGGAAGTTCTGAAGCATTGGATGAGGCAAACTGTTGAAAGGGCTGGTGAGAACGGCAATGGACGTGAGAGTGCTGAGTTAGAAGCCGAGCTGGAGCTTGAATATGAGCAGCAGCAGTGTGGGAGTTTCGGATCTGATTCTGTCCTGGATGAGTGTGTTGGTGGTAAGGAGCGTAATCAGGATCATGGACTTGATGATGTCGATCCGGATCACGAGGAGCCGAATGTTCGTTTGAATCCGCATGTGAATCCGCATTCACAGCCCCGCTCCATGGCCCCCCACGTCTCCTCATACGGGATGGAATCAACCCTGATGCATGGGTTCGATTCGTACCCTGTCCCGGGCTATGAGATTGATCCCTCGCTCGATGTCCCATTCTACATGGACTCTCAGCCTCCATTTCCCCCGGAGATGGAGTCGTATGTGATGTGAGCGGTCGTAGTTGCTGTTTGTGCTGTTCTTGGCGAGTTAGTCATTTTTTCTTTCTTCCCCTGCCCAATTTATGTTGGTTATTGGATCACTTGGGTGCATTTTATGTGTGATATGGTTTTCTTCACGGTATTGGCGGTATATGGTATATGGCATATGAATGCGAATTGTGGGTATATAAGGGTCGGATCTAGGTGGGATATCGTTTGGAGAGGGCATGACTCCGAATTCGAGTGAACAGAACATTGGAAATGAAAGGGGGTTTGGTTTTGGTTATGGACATGCATTTTGGGCATGAATTTCGGATGGAAGGCTTCAGTGAGGTTTGGCGACTTGGCGCAGCGTGACATCATTTTCCCTTTGCTCCACATTGCATTATTTTCTGCAATCCGGGGTTCGTCGTTCTTTACTCATTCTTCAAGTTCTTGACAGCCCGACTGTTCTACTGACACGAGCGACGAAAGCAACTAATGATTATTATTTCTATCATGGCAATAGGCAATGGAATTTTCTGGGATCTTTCCACGTATAGAAACCATGATCAGTCTACGGAGTATACGGAGTATATGGCACAACATTGTAGTGGTTGGGGCAGTAAATATAATAAAAGTACGGATACCAGTACCGATGTTGGGGCCGAATATCCCGTACGGGCTATTACGGCTCCGAGTTGCTGGATCGGGAGTATCGGCGCCTTGGCATTACATGTATCTTACGACGTAATTCTGGGGCTGGCGATGAACTCCAAAACAAAGGTACGATGTTTGATGCAGATCGTTATATCCGGTGGCCAATTTCATGTTCGAGGATATGGGCCACATTTCATCTCCTGCTTTAGTACTCGGCTGCCATCTACAGTTCTTGTACAGGCATCTACATCCAGTGATGTATTCCACACAGGCAGCAACAATACCAGCGGTCAATCCAGCCGAAAGAAGACCGATGAAGCCGGGGTGGGCGGTTCGCCCGCTCCCGGTTTCTGAGTGGGTGAGATCCCGCTCGTAGTGGAGACTTTAATGCTTCTAGTGACACGGTGGCTGGGTTCCAGGCCAATGAGTATGAACAGAGTGGAGGTGCATGTGTGGCTGACCACGCCGGTCCGGTGATAGGGCTGGGTCTTGGTTGTGGCTAAGTGGGCCACGTTACAGTTCATAACGGTAATAATACAGCCCCGACCTGATTTGGGGTCAAAAAATGGTATTAAATTCTTTACCCGATCAATGGTGTACGTTAGTGGCGAGCAAGTGTGGCAGTCCAGTTTCATAGTGGATCGATTCACGGTCTTCACAGCCGCAATCTGGGAATAAATAGAAATTGACGAATAATTCCAGCAACTCTAGGTAACTGAATATCGGTGTATAAAGTATTGTACCTTTGTCTTGGCTTGGGAAATTCTATTCTCATCCAGCCTTACGTTGCCAAGGCCGTACCATACATTTAGTAAACAACGGGAAAGGAAAAAGGGAAAAAAAGGAGTCGCGAGTAATTATTCGTCCTGCAGATTCAGCTCCATCGGCGGTTTCGGTAAACCTTGTCTCCTCTTTTTCCCTTTCTTTACACTCTTCTAACTTCCCTTCAGACTTCAAATCTCGTTGATTTCAACCGCTCTTTTCATTCTAGCGGTCGCTTCACTCGCTAGTCAAGCCCCTTGTTTCTGGCCGTCAGCCCCGTTCTCCTCTCCGCCAACCTCCGCCTTCCCGCCCGACTAGGTACGTCGCATCCCTAATCGCTTTAGTCGCCGTGGCGGGCTATCATGCTCTCAACGCAGCGGCTCTGCGACAGTATATTTGGATGTGATCTTGTTACTGATTCGTTCTCCAATTCAGCTTCAATATGGCCGACTACTATCACCAGGGTCCCCCTCACGGCGGCCCCCCTCCTCCTCCCCAGGCGTAAGTCTTACCGAGTCATGAACAATATCCCTCAAATATCAACCCACGGAATCCCACTCGTGCGCACGCCGATCGACCATATTCAACGGTCCCATATGGATGGATTATTGCCAGTCTGAGGCAGTGCGCATGGGGACGCTAGAGCTAGACGTGCTGACAAGCTGTTTGGATACAGTTACGGTGGTTACCCCCAGCAAGGATACGGCCCCCCTCCTGGGCAATACGGTCCCCCTCCCGGACAATATGGTCCCCCTCAGGGCTACCAGCAACAGCAGCAGGTATGTCTAACCCAGAAGCGGGCTGCGCGAAATAAACTAATGTGCCGTTCAGATGCCATACCAGCAACCCCCGCCGCAGCAGCAACAGAAGTCTAGTGGTGGTGGCGGCTGCCTCAGCGGTTGGTAAGTTTTGCGCTACTTTTCCTGCGACAATGATTTCCCCCATACTGATCTTTATCTATAGCTTGGCTGCTCTGTGCTGCTGCTTCGTCTGTGAGGAGGGCTGCGAGTGCTGCGCCGATTGTATCGAGTGCTGTGAGATGTGCTAATCGCTGCGATCAACGACTTCGATGATATCTTGCTTCCTTTCGGCGTTTGATTTCCTTGCGTCTTCCCGGCAGGGCCTGGGCTGCATCCAATTCACTCTTTGAGCTTTAATTTCTCTTATCAAGTTCAATGAGGCTTCAGTCTCATGACAATGTGAATCTAGCCAAAATTATTATTTTTGAATTTGAAGATTTGGCACCTACGGCAATGAAACCATTAGGTCAACTCGGCCTAATTAGAAGTTATTATGCGATTCGGCACATGTACCTGGGTCTTCAAGTATGTTCTTGTAGCACATGTTGCTCGTGGCGCTTGCTGTCCATCCGTAGCTTGCAATGTTTCTTGTGGATATGAGAGACTGCGGCAAGAAAAAAGGTAATAACGTCTATCATCCCGCAACTGGATATCCTTGCAAGATTCTATTTTTATTTTGACGGGTTTTCCATATTGATAACAAGGCGGCGCATCGCCAGATCAGAGCATCCCGCCTGTGATTGGCAAGGAATGGGGTTTCCACTGCACCTAAGCGCCTTGCTCCACATGCATTGCCCTGTTGTCACCCAAACCCAGTAACGAGCGGCTCCTGGAGGCTTGTGCCTTTTGCAATACTGTAAATCTTTGGCCATAAGAACTGTCCTTAAACCTGAGCACCCCGTGCATTTTTACTTGCGCCTCTTTTAGATCAAAATAATACTATATCTTATGCGCAATGACCGTGGAAAATGTTGGATCAAATCCCCGCGATGCCAACGGGCTATGCCTGCTGTCACTTGATGGGGGTGGGGTTCGGGGATTCTCCACCTTGTTGATTCTAAGGGATGTCATGGCCCAACTGAATCGTGAACGAGGAGATGGTCAGCATCTCAAACCATGCGATGTTTTCGATTTGATTGGAGGAACCAGTACAGGAGGGTATGTTACGCCGCGGTAGGAAGTCCTTGATTCCTAATTTAGCTGATTTCACCCTTTGCAGGCTCATTGCCATTATGCTAGGTCGATTGGAGCTAGATGTCGATGAGTGCATCGATGCATATAGCGAGTTGATGGAATCCGTCTTTGGCGAGAGGATTAGCCATATCCCTGTGGATTGGTCATTTAACATCAGAGCGAAATTCGACAGCAATAGACTTAAAGCAGCGATTGAGCATGTGATTACCAAGGCTGGTGCATCGCCTACTGATCTTATGAATGATGGAGTGGCTCGCCGCACCAGAACGTTTGTGTGCACTACATCCAGAGACACTCTTCAGGTCACAAGACTTAGGAGCTACAGTGTCCCCAATGAGGACACCCTTTCCGCTACAATCTGCGAGGCAGCTCTAGCAACTTCTGCAGCTACAAAGTTTTTTGAACCGGCCACCATTGGAAATCGCCAGTTTGTTGATGGCGCATTTGGGGCAAATAATCCCGTTGAGGAGGTCGAAGAGGAGGCAGCAGATATATGGTGCACCACTAGTCGAGAGATAAAGCCCTTGATCAAATGCTTCTTGACAGTCGGCACCGGCTGTCCGGCCCTCCCACCAATGACTGACAACATGTACAAATTCATTAAGGAGACGTTGGTCAATTTGGCCACCAAACCGGAAAGCACAGAAAGACGCTTCATGGCGCGATGGAGCAAGGAATCCAAGGAGAGGCGAGTGTTCCGCTTCAATGTTGAGCAAGGGCTGCAGAGCGTTCGTATGGATGACTGTTCGCAGCGGAGTTTGATTGAAAACGCGACACAAGACTACCTTCACCATTTTTCCCAGAAGTCTCGAATCCGCGACTGTATTTTGAACTTGACTGAAAAAGAAGGTACTTCTACATCGTTAAAGATTCCCTATCCTATCAGAATTTTACATACTAATAATCATAGGGAAAACGGATCTCGACTTTGATCTGACCATGCGGGTTAGCTGCTTCATTCGCAAATAATTAATGTACCTTTCGCTGAGCATTTTATGCAGGATTACGGAGCTCAGGCTTTCCGGAACCGTGTTTTCAAGAGCATCCAATCATCCATTCACTCGTCTTCGCACGGCGATGCGCCTTGTTGGGTTGTTCCCTTTGAAAGAAATCCAAAGTTTGTCAATCGTGAGCATGTCAGAGCAATCAAGCGGAAGCTCTTCAATTATATTCAACCAGAACGAATCGCTATCGTTGGGCTGGGTGGCGTGGGCAAGACTCAGATTTTACTAGAGCTAGCATACCAAACTCGCGAGATGTACCCCGACTGTGCTGTATTTTGGATTCCTGCTGTTGATATGGAATCTCTGGAGCAGGCCTACCGAGACATCGCGAACAATCTCGGACTCGATCACTTTGATCCAAAGAAAGAAGACATCAAGTCTGTGGTCCAAAGACATCTCAGTCAGCGCTACAGCGGCCGATGGCTGCTTATCTTTGATAATGCGGATGAGCTGGCCATGTGGACAGAGCCGACAGCGAAGTCCAAAGGCGGGGGAGCTTTGCGCGGCTTTCTCCCCAAGAGTGACCAAGGCGCTATCATATTCACCACAAGAAGCAACCGGGTGGCCCAATACCTGGCTGCAACTGATGTAGTTCAAATTGGTGAATTGGACGAGCAAAAGGCTACGAAAGTGCTTAAGAACTGTCTTATCAACAAAAGCCTTCTCAACGACGCTGATAGTACCAAGACGCTTTTGGAGAATCTCACCTTTCTCCCGTTAGCGATTGTCCAGGCCGCCTCGTTTATCAATCAGAATTCAATGGACATTGCGAGCTATGTTCATATTCTAGAGGGCCAAGGTCAAGACACGATCGATCTTCTTAGTGAGGATTTCGAGGATGAAGGTCGATACAGGAGTATACGAAATCCAATTGCGACGACGTGGCTCACATCCTTTATACAAATTCAACGAGACAACCATTTGGCTTCTGAGTACCTCTCCTTCATGGCCTGTATCAATGCGAAGGATATCCCAGCTGCGCTTCTTCCACCAGCACCGCAAATTGAGAAAGAAAAGGCAATTGGTCTCCTTAGCTCTTACTCTTTTGTTCGTGTACAGAATGGCGGTACGCGTCTTGACATGCATCGTTTGGTGCAACTTGCAATGCAGAATTGGCTGAAATCGACCAACACGCTACATGGTTGCCAGCATAATGCCATGTGCCAGGTCAGAAACCAATATCCACGATATGATATGTTCGGTCGCGCTGGGTGGCGATTAGTCCTGCCGCATGCCCTTCAAGTTCTCCAGCTAACGTCCGATGAACATCCGACTAAAGAAAGGGCATGGCTGCTAATGATGGTTGGCACGTGCCAGTATCACGAAGAGCGACACAAAGAAGCCGAAAGGCTTCTTAAGCAGGCAATAGATTGTTTGGGGGTAGTCTATGGCCCTGACAGTGCTCTCACTCTCGGTAATCGTTATCAACTGATAACATGCCAACGATGGGCTCTCGGGGGGAAATGACCATCAAGTCTCTTGAACAGCTTTTGGATGATTGCACCAGAGCTTTAGGTGCCGAGCACCCTCAATCAATGCATATCTTAGGCGAGTTGTCTGCCTCGTATCGATCGGTTCTAAACCTTCCAAAGGCTGAGGAGCTATGCATGAAGGTTATCAGGTACAATTTGAAGGCATTGACAAGTTCAGACGGAATGATTACACCTGATACCCACAGCCAACAGACATATTATATTGAAATTGCATTTTTCTTAGCTGTCAACAACATGGTCTCCATATATCATCACCAGGGTAGGCTCCATGATGCCGTTGAACTAGCGGAGCTTGGGATTTTCCTTGCACGACACAAACGTGGATCAGACGACCTATGGACACAGGCCTGTGCCACTGTTCTAGCTGATATATACCTGGAGCAGTGGCATCTTGAAAAAGCTGAGATCCTGTATCTGGAGGTTATAGATAGTATGCGGAAGGTTTTCGGACCAGTACATTCAGACACATGCGTGGTCATGAGCAAGCTGGCCACAGTTTACAAATACCAGAACCGGACTTCTGAAGCTGTGAACTTGATGACCGAGACCATTCGCGTGAATGAATCGATCTTTGGGAAGGGACACGTCTCTTCTTTGGCTTATTATACTTCTTTGGAAATTTGGACTTCACCACAGTGAGTACTTCGAGCTCCAGGGCTTTTCTTATTCCATTCACCACAGGACGATCTGATCACTTACCTATACATCCCATAAGTAGGTCCACACGTGATCATATAAGGAATCGTTTCCTTCCCTTTGAACGATCTTACAGGATGGTGATGAGACATAGGACGTACCCTCGAGTGAAGGCCTATGGCGGTCTATGCATGGTGAGGAGGGAGCCTAGAGACAATTCCCTTGTTTGTGAGATTAAGTTGGCAATGAGCAATATCCCTCCACCAAGTCATGTTTCCACTGGAGCAATGACTCTGGTAGGGAGCTTGGACGAGCAGAAGAGAAAAGACACGAGCATCACTGCGTCCCTAGCGGCATAAGAATTAGGAGGGAAACAGACCGAATCCTTTACTCATAGATTGACGGTCTATATTTTCGACCGCAAAACAACGGCACAGAGCTAGGAAAGCTATCGCAACATCGAAACTTCATATGAAACGCAGTGACTGGGCTTGTATCGGGAAGTGGAGGCTCTGTGGAGATGCGGAGAAGGCCCTATTTACCCGTCAATCATGTTCCCCGCTTGAAAGCCTTGTTTATTATGTATTCTCCGGCGGCGCTGAAGAATATCATCCTCGGCATTGATTTGGAATTGAGACTGCCGAAAAAAACCATCGAATATATATTTGTATTGACTACTGCAAGTCTCCTAGATTCCCACATTCCTTATCGGTTGAACCGATGAGACAACAATCCAGCCACCATTCCATGTTAGGAAAACATAGTAGTGCTGCAGCAAATCTGCCGAGGTTTTCCCACTGCACCCCTGGCGGGGACTGATCCCTGCATGCTGCACTCCCCAGGGATTTTGCCTAAATGGGACATACGATACCTGTCGTTGCCTGACTAAGTGAGCTAACAGCTAGTTTTATCTCCCAACGGGAAATGATCTACCCGACACGGTCTCCCTATAGATCTCCTTTCACAATTTTGAGGGGTATGTACGTTATAGGAGGGGTTCTCAGCCGGCAAGATGGCTTTGCTCGTGGGTCGGCCGGGATTTTCCCATGCAGAACAGGAATTCCAGATGCATAAATACCTACTGCGATCTCCTCGTGAAATGTTTTTTTAAATCCATTCGGGATAAGATCTGCGAATTGCATCTCTTCAGTTGAAGACCGCAACCATGTTGCGTGAATATCTGCTGCTGCCGTTGCTGGCCTCTTTTACCGCAGCTTATACGATCTCAGTTGCAAAATCTGGTGGCAATGTCACTACAAGCACCCAGTATGGTGTCATGGAAGAGGTATTTCTTCTTGTGTTTTATATAATTGACTTGTTGCTAACATGATGTGTAGGAAATTAACCACGGTGGTGAAGGAGGCCTATATGCAGAGCTGATTCGCAACCGCGCCTTCCAAGGGAGTTCGCTCTACCCGTCAAACCTAGATGCCTGGTCCACTGTTGGTGAATCGACAATGGCCCTCCAGAATCTAAGCAAGCCACTTTCTTCCGCTCTTCCTACCTCTGTCAAAGTATCAGGAAAGGGCACAATTGGTCTAAAGAATGAGGGGTGGTGGGGAATTGACGTGCGGTCTCAGAAGTATTCCGGATCGTTTTATGTCAAGGGTTCCTACAAGGGCTCTTTCACCGCATCACTTGAGTCCAATATTACCGGAAAGACACTGGCTAGTGTTGAGGTGACTTCTAAGAGTGTTGCCAACGAATGGGTGCAGCACGAGTTTACACTTACCCCGAAGTCCAAAGCTGCCAATGTCAATAACACATTCTCGCTGACGTTTGACGCCTCGGTATGCTAAATCCTCCACTCTTCCACTTCAATAACTAATACATGTTCAGAAAGCCACTGGTGGCTCCCTGGATTTCAACTTGATCAGCCTGTTCCCACCAACATGGAATAACCGTCCCAATGGCTTGCGAACTGATCTAATGCAGGCCATGAGTGATATGGGACCGGTAAGCGACCTTTGCATTTGGCATCATGTATAAGTGTTGATAATTTGGCAGACATTCCTTCGGTTCCCAGGTGGAAACAATCTCGAAGGCGAGACGATTGACACCCGCTGGAAGTGGAACGAGACCCTTGGCCCACTCAAAGACCGCCCTGGCCGTCCTACTACCTGGGGCTACGAAGAGACAGGCGGAATGGGACTTATTGAGTACATGCAGTGGTGTGATGATCTCGGCATGGAGCCTAGTAAGTTTTCATCTCATCAAAGAATCTTAGAGTCTACAGCTAACACATCCAGTTCTGGCTGTTTGGAGTGGCCTCGCCCTGAATGAGGACATTGTCTCCGAGGAAGACATTGGAATCTACGTCGAAGATGCCCTTAATGAGATTGAGTTCCTCACCGGCTCTGTCGATACCGAGTATGGTGCTCTTCGAGCGAAATACGGATACCCTGACCCGTGGACCATCAATTTTGTCGAGGTCGGTAATGAAGACAACCTCAATAACGGCCTGGATTCCTACATTGCATACCGATTCGCTGCTTTCTACGATGCCATCACAGAGAAATACCCCAGCATCCAGGTTCTTGCATCGACCATTGATATGACACTTCCTGGCTCTGCCGGTGGTGATTTCCATCTGTATGACGTTCCGGATAACTTTGTTGCAGCCTTCAACCAGTTTGATCAGTATACCGACGCGCATCGCATCCTCCTAGGTAATATTAACAATCCTCTTAGTCTTGCACTGTGAAATCGCTAACAGTTGCTTTGACAGGTGAGATTGCCGCTACTGAGTACAACAATGGCGTTGGTATTGACTGGTCTGATTACCATTTCTCACTTTACCCCTGGTGGATTGGCTCGGTTGCCGAAGCTGTTTTCTTCTTGGGCGCAGAGCGGAACGCAGACAAAATCATCGGAACGACATATGTAAGTTTAATCCGTTTTCATACTGGAACTAAGCTAATAGCTTCAGGCACCTTACTTCATGAACATTAACTCCTATGAGTGGAGTCCGACCATGTACTCTTTCGATGCTGATCCAGATAGCACCGCTCGTTCTACGAGCTGGCATGTGTATAGTGTAAGTCGTCACACCTTATGCTTGAAATATCCACTGACATCAAGTAGTTGTTCAACCACAACCATATAACCAACACTCTGCCCACAACATCCGCCGATGCCTACGGTCCGCTCTACTGGGTTGCTGGCTTGAACAACAAGACCAACTCGCATATCTGGAAGGGAGCTGTATACAACAGTACCGAGACTGTCCCGGTTTCATTGACCTTCGAGGGTGTTGCAAAGGGAACAAAGGCTGACCTGACTATCTTGACCGCTCCTGATGCTTTCTCAATGAATGGTGTCGGAGAGGCTAACCTTGTGAACTCCAAGACCACAACCATCAAGGCAGGCAAGAGCGGAGTTTTCAGCTTCAGTCTGCCTAACCTTAGTGTTGCGGTGCTTACTACCAACTGATTGTACGTCCGTGGGTAATTAAGAGGTTGCCAATGCAAGCACATGTTCAGTCTCAAAGTTCTCTCATTGTCGATAATTCGAAATTTCAAATCTCGGAGTAGCCTAGCCTTGTGATTCAAGTTTATTTCTGACTCTAAATGTATTTAGCTAAAATGCCTCCCGCCAAATTTGAGTCTCGCTCTCCAAAATCCATCCAACTGATGTAAATCCACGTCCAACATCCCGACTCCATCCTCATCTCGCTAACAGCCCGTTTTGGCTGGCGACCCACGCTGATCAGGGGCTGTGCACGCACCAACTTACCGCATCGCACATCCTTCAACACTGAATCCGCTCTAAATGCAAAGCAGAGCCGCGCTTGGTCCCATACATATTTCGGATCCTTACCTAAACTTCCCCGGGTAGAATATCCAACCTATCGGATATACGTGAAGTATCAATCCTAAGCTCCACTACCTCGTTCCAACCCCTTTCCGCGGGTAAAGCAAGCGGCGACTGTAGCGATGAATCCAAATGCGGCTGATGCCCCGAAGGACAACCGGATTCCCCGATAGTAGACTAGTCGGACGGCCATCTGGATGTCGGGTGGTAGGTCGTGGATCGCGGAGATTGAATGGCGGATTTCGTTGATTAACTAGATTGTAAAAGAAGGAAAGGTCAGCTACCTCCATTCCAGGCGATTGATTTGTCGTCTAGTTTTGGGGAGATTGGATAGTACTTTCCATTTGTCTGGTACTCCACTCAAGGCCTCTGCGAGGCCTGAGCTCAGTGTATTTTGGATTATTGCGGACGTTATGGCGACGCCCCACACCGTTCCGAGGGAACGGATTAGGTAGACTGTTGAGGCTGAGACGGCGTGGTCTGGTTGTAATAAATGGTAAGCGAGGTTGTTTTGTTCGTGTAGAATAGGAAGGGGATGTACCGTCGTGGTCGAATGCAGAGAGGAAGGTGAATAGAATTCCTGGGTACACGATGCCTTGTCCTAGATTGGCAGGTATGATGTATGCGAAGTACTTCCAGTTTGAGTCGTTGAAGTGGAGGAAAGTCACGAGGAGGTTACCGATAAACATCAAGCCGGCTCCGATGCGCACTAAAAGGGCTAATTTTCCCCAGCGTGACATGACTATGCCTGCGATTACCCCGCCTACCGGTGTCATTAGAGATGGGATGACCAAACGAGCACCGGCTTTGGTAGGACTATCCAACAGGATGACCTGGAAGAGGAGCGGCAGGGTGAAGAGGAACTTAATAAATCAGCTTATGTCCTAGTGCTTTCTCTCGACAAAACTTACAGCGTAGGCAGACATCCCCACGCAGACATTGGCGATCTGAGTAGAGACCGGATGAAGTCCACGGAGCATTTTCAGCGGGATAAGCGGGACAGCTTTAGTCTTCGCCTCAACAGCAACGAACGCAGCGAGGAAGGCAACACTAGCTACCAAAGGTAGAATCACCCAGGCACTTGTCCAAGGAAGCTCATTTCCGCCAAAGCTTAGTCCAGCAAGTTGAGTTGAAAGGGCCAGGACAAGAAGCAAAGATCCAAGAAAATCGATCTGGTGCCAGAGGCCCGGCTGACCGGGTACCGGAATGTTACTCTTAGCAGGAAATTTGAGAACAAAGTGTCCCAAGACGAGCACGGTCAGAGAAACAGGGACTTGGACCAGAAAGCACCAACGCCAACCGATTGTGTCGACAATGGCACCTCCGAAGGAAGCACCGCAGATAGCTCCAAACCCGTATGCAGCATTTTGAACAGCTTGGTACATTCCACGATTGCGGAAAGGGATAATGTCGGAGTTGATAATCGTAGCTTTATGAGGTTAGTTGAATGCACTATCGGTGTTTCATTTTCACTCACCCATTGTCATCAACCCACCGCCTCCCATGCCGGTCAGGGCACGCATGGTGTTTAGAAAGACTACATCTCTTGCCAATGCACATCCCAAACAACCAGTGAAGAATGTGATTGTCGCAGTGAAAAAGCAGCTGCGACGGCCCAGTAGATCTGAGAAGCGACCATAGAGAGGTTGGAAGGCGGTGCTCGTAATGAGGTAAGAAGTGGTTAACCACGACGCAGTGTTTGCAGCGTTGAATTCAGAGCTTATGACTGCGTATGTCGATGCAGTGATTGTTCCATCAAATCCGGACAGAAACACATTGGACATTATAGCTGTAACACATTAGCCTCTCATTCTTACGGTCTGTCGCGTAGGCAAAGATAGGTATATACACACCCAGTTGAATCCAGAAGAACCCCCTCGGTGGACTCCAAGCAGGAGAAGTCGCTTCCAAAAGAGGTTCATCCTCACCTCCAGTCATTGAAGATTCTTGCTGTGGTTCCATAGTCTGGTGAAAGTGTGCAGAAGTTCGTTCGTCAGTACTGGAGTGCAACGCCAATGCGGGTATTTGCGATGTCTAAGATCGAAAACTATAATTTTTTTATTACAACTTCCCGACGCTAGTCTAGCCGAAGAATCGGCAATGACAGAAAATTCTTCCAAGATGTTCTTAGTAACGGCATTCATGAGAGGGGAAAGGCAGTGTAGCGGGCACCCGATTGGGAAATGCGGGACATTGAAGCCCCGCTGAACCAAGCACGACATTTCAATGCTCCATTTGCATTATCACATCGTCCATTGCATAAGAAATGCAGAAATGACGTTGAATTAATGAGTACCATGGAATAATATAAAGCCCGCTTCAGACCTTGAACTCCTGGAAACCATTCACGAGTCTGTCTCAGTACAGTAAAAACCCAGAATATACAAGTGCAGAGTACCAACCTAAGGTTAATGTACCCTATCTCACAAATCATGCCGAGCATCATGGAAACTGATCGCTGGACCAGTCCCTCTCACCGTTACGATGAAGGTTCTTGAAACCCTCGCCTGCGCTACTGCGCTCCTGCCCCTTGCAGCCGCAGACTGGCAATTCAAGACCCGCACGGACCTTGCACCTCCCCGTCTGAACATCACCATCCCAGCCACCATCGACGTGGAAAAGGGCTATCTTTTCGTAGCTCCATTTCCCGGTCAGTTCGTCGATCCAGAGCACCATGGTCCGCGCCAGGAAGGCCCTTACATCTTCCGGGATGATGGTGAACTCGTCTGGTCTGGATACACGTACTACTCTATATGGGCGGCGAATTTCCACAAGGGACAGTGGAAGGGCCAGGATGTTCTGTATAGTTTCGAGGGTGATCATAACCCGGCTTATGGTCATGGCCATGGCCATGCTACGATTCTGAATAATCGCTATGAGACAATTCGCGAGTTGCGGGCTGGAAATCATAAATTCATGGATAAGCATGAGCTACAGGTTATTGATGGAAGGACTGCATTGATTCAGGTTTATCAGCCTGTTCCAACGGATCTGAGTAAATGGGGTGGGAGTGCAGAGCAGCAATGGATTGTTGATGCTATTTTTCAGGGTGAGGACCGGCCAGGATACCTGCCTGTGCATGTTGAACCCTTGCTAACGTTACATAGAGTTGGACATTGAGACTGGTGAGCTGCTTTTTGAGTGGTCAAGTCTAGAGCATGTCAGCCCGGATGGTACGTTCCTAATTCAATGAATATTCAGGTTTCTTAGCTAAAGATGATCAGAGGCGGTCCTCCCCTTGAACCCAGGTCAGGCTGGTGCCGGATGGAACTCGTCTGATGCATGGGACTACTTCCACATCAACTCTGTCGACAAAGATGCAGCCGGCGATTATCTGATATCCGCTCGCGATGCCTGTGCCGTTCACAAGATTAATGGTGCCACCGGAGAGATTATTTGGCGGCTAGGTGGTTTCAAGTCCGACTTTGAACTTGGTGCCAATGTCGCATTTTGCTTCCAACATCATGCGCGCTTTGTCTCACGCGATGGTGATGAAGAGGTCATCTCACTGTTTGATAATTCTGCTCATGGAACAGAGAACCACCGTGGTCATGAAGTCCACACACATCCCATCTCGCAGGGAAAGATCATCACTGTTAACACTGCTACTTGGACCGCGGAAGTTATCCAAGCATTCCAGCCTCCCGATGACCTTCTCGCCAAGTCGCAAGGAAGTACTCAGCTCCTGCCTAATGGCAATGCGTTAGTCAATTGGGGCTCTGAAGGCGCAATGACCGAGTTCACATCGGACGGTACCCCCATATTCCACGCCTATATGGATTCGGATTTGCTCGGTGAAGGTGTACAGAACTATCGCGCGTTCCGGTTCAACTGGACCGGTCTTCCCACTGAAGAGCCCGCCATTGTGGCGCATAAGACACCCTCTGGTATGGCCGTGTATGTCTCCTGGAATGGTGACACCGAGACCGTCGCTTGGCGCATCTATGCTGTGACGGACGATTATGGGTCGCGATTGTTCCTAGGTGAAGCTGAGCGCAGTGGATTCGAGACCTCGCTGCTGCTAGCTGTTCGTGGCTATACGCATGTAGCCGCTGAGGCGATTTCCGGTCAAGATCGCGTCTTGAGAACCACGCAGGTAACTCGTGTTCAGGATCAAGTTCTGCCCCTTGGTGCTCCCAGTGCTGGGACTGTTGTCTTAGCTTCGGCCGGCCGGTGGCAAATGAAGCCAATTGTGTTCCAGGCTTAATGCCAAGCCTAGGCACGTTGACTAATCTACGCTCAGGCTGTTCACACGAGGAGAAGTGTTAGGATAGAAAATAGTTTGACAATTCACTCTTTGAGTTCTTTGTCACTCTTGTCTTGAAGCTCATCGTATGGTTTTAGAAGGATTGATGAGGAGTAGTCTTTAGTAGAAAATTGGTCGCGTACTGTTGGAGCGGATGTTAGATCCATCTCTGCATTCTAGGCCTTAGCAGCACACTTTGTATCTGCTTACCGGGGTGTTTTCCGTGCGAACAATTGGGTTTGATAGGTTTGATAAGTTTGATGATCCTCTGACAGTATTTACACGTGATGCCACATGGTCCACGTGCATGATTCGTCAGCTCGTATCCAAGTGATGAGCTATCCTAAAAGGGTCAATGCAGATGGATCCGTGGATGACTCCGCCGAATCCACTTCTAGATGCGGGGAATACGACACGAATACGTGGCCAATCATCATCTGCATTGGATGTAGGGAAACGGTTGAGTTTGAGATGTTTCCTGATCGCTTCGATATGACCCAGCATGACTCTTATTATATGCTTCCGGATCGTTTGATACCGATTTACGGCAACTTGGACTTCCGGGTAGAAAGTAGTCGATACTTGGTTCAACGTAGAACAGATGGCTGATCAACAAGTAGATCTACATTGATCGGGATCTCGTTCAGGCGCCCGATAATCATGCACACACACGGTTCAGCAGACCCTTCAGTAAAGCATTGGCAACTCGGGTCTTACTCCATCCGAGATCCGGGACATCATCGCCTTCCCAAAAGCGTAATCGCTCCCCGGCCTTATTTCGAGATGATTTATTCGCCTAGTCTTCTCCCCTTTCTTTCTCTAGATTCGACTCGGTGCCCCACCTATCATGCGATAAACTCATGGCGACTCCTCAGCCCCCGGCACCGTTTGGTGGAAGCGCCGTTGTTGCTCGCGCGGTCCAGCAGACCAAGGAGATGAACACCGCAGAAACCACGTCCTCTCTGAGCGAACACGAAGAGAAGACGGCATCCGTCACACCAGCTGAATCGGAGGAATTGCGACACCAAGAAATCACGAAGCTCGCGCGCACGTTTTCGCAACTATCACAGCAACAAAGCTCCGGCTCATCGTCCGATGCCATTAATACCTTCCTCGATACTTCCAAGAACCCCGAGTTAGACCCTAGTTCGTCCGATTTTAATTCCCGGAAATGGGTTCGCAATACCCTGCAGATGACCCGCGACCCTGACCGCTTCCCGCGTCGTACGGCAGGCGTATCCTTCCAAAACTTGAATGTCTTTGGGTATGGCACGGCGGCTGATTACCAGTTGAACTTCGCCAATGTGTGGCTGAAGATGATAGATGGGGCCAAACATGCGCTGGGCCTAGGTAAGAAGGTGCGCATTGATATCCTGCGCGACTTTGAGGGAATTTTAGAGCATGGGGAGATGTTGGTTGCCTTGGGTCGACCGGGCAGGTAAGCTCTGGAACTGTCTTTCTAATTTTAGCTGTTCCGAGCCGTCACACTGACATGTGCTTAGTGGATGTTCCACGTTTCTTAAGACCATTGCTGGTGAGACGCACGGTCTCTTCCTGGGTGACGGAGTGGATGTACAGTATGAAGGTATCTCGTGGGATGAAATGCATAGTCGTTTCCGCGGTGAGGTCATCTATCAAGCCGAGACTGAGATCCATTTCCCTCAGTTGACCGCCGGCGAAACTTTGCTTTTTGCGGCTCAAGCACGCACTCCGAGTAATCGACTTCCTGGCGTGACACGTGATCAGTATGCCCTGCACATGCGAGATGTGACAATGGCCATGCTTGGGCTTTCCCACACTATTAATACCAAGGTGGGAAATGACTTCATTCGTGGTGTCTCTGGAGGTGAACGAAAGCGTGTCAGTATTGCCGAGACGACACTGTGTGGCAGTCCCCTGCAGTGCTGGGATAACAGCACGCGTGGTCTCGATAGTTCTACTGCATTGGAATTTGTGAAGAACATTCGTCTGTCCACCGATTACAGTGGTACCACGGCTGTCGTCGCAATTTACCAGGCCAGCCAGTCCATCTATGACCTCTTCGACAAGGCAATTGTTCTTTACGAGGGACGACAGATCTACTTCGGCAAAGCACAGGATGCGCGTCGCTTCTTTATTGATATGGGCTTTGATTGTCCCGATCGACAAACCACTGCAGACTTCCTCACTTCTCTCACAAGTCCTTCGGAGCGCATGGCTCGTCCAGGTTTTGAAAGCCAGGTTCCTCGCACCCCGGATGAATTTGCAGCTCGCTGGAAGGCGAGTCCCGAGCGGAAGACGCTTCTTCAGGAAATCGCCGATAAAAATGCTCAGAACCCAGTTGGAGGTCGCCAGCTAGACGTATTCAACCAATCCCGTGCAGCCCAGAAATCTAAGGGTTCACGCGCTGCCTCTCCGTACACCATTTCATATTATATGCAGGTCAAGCTCTGTCTGTGGCGTGGATTCCTTCGGTTGAAAGGAGACATGAGCATGACAATCGCATCTGTGATTGGTAACGCGGTCATGGGCATCATCGTCTCTACGGTCTTCTTAAATTTGGAAGATAACACGGGGAGCTTCTTCCAGCGTGGAGCGCTACTGTTTTTCGCGGTCCTGCTGAACGCCTTCGCTAGCGCTTTGGAAATTATGATCTTGTGGCAACAACGGCCAATTGTGGAGAAACACTACAAATACGCCCTTTATCATCCGTCCGCTGAAGCTATTAGCTCTTACATCGTAGAGCTACCGTCGAAGATATTGATTGCAATATTTTTCAACCTCATCATCTACTTCATTCCACATCTTCGTCGGACGGCTGGTCACTTCTTTATCTTCTTTCTGTTCTCGTTCACCACGACCTTGGTCATGTCGAATATTTTTAGATGGATTGGAGCTGTCTCACGATCTATGGCCCAAGCTATGGTCCCGTCTTCAATCTTCATGATGATTCTAGTTATCTACACTGGTTTTGCTATTCCAACTCGTGATATGCACCCTTGGTTCAGGTGGTTAAATTGGCTTAATCCCATTGCGGTAAGAGTCTCGTCTGTTTGCTGCTGACTTCATGCTAACGCCTATTAGTACGCATTCGAATCCTTAATGGTCAATGAATTCAGTGATCGGGATTTCCCATGTTCTTCCTATGTTCCCCAGGGTCCACATTATGCAGATGCCCCACTCAGCGCGACAATCTGCAATGATAAGGGCGCGGTTGCGGGTCAAAACTTTGTTAATGGAGATGCGTATATCAACACCACATTTGAATATTACAAGGATCACATGTGGCGCAATTACGGTATCTTGATTGCGTTCTACATTTTCTTCTTGATCTTGTACATTGTCACCAGCGAGTTTATTCGAGCCAAGCCATCCAAAGGCGAGATCTTGGTCTTCCCTCGTGGCAAAATCCCTGCCTTTGTGAACAAGGTTCGCAGCGGTGATTCGGAAATTGGACTAGCAGAGAAGGAGAACATCGGTCAATCTCAGGGTCAGACTGCAAATCTTGCTAAACAGACCGCCATCTTCCATTGGGAGAATGTTTGTTACGATATAAAGATCAAAGGCAAGCCCCGTCGCATCCTTGACGGCGTGGATGGCTGGGTGAAGCCTGGCACGTTGACTGCCCTGATGGGTGTGACAGGTGCTGGAAAAACCTCCTTGCTGGATGTCCTCGCTGACCGAGTGACCATGGGAGTTATTACCGGTGACATGCTCGTGGATGGTAGGCAGCGCGATCACTCGTTCCAGCGCAAAACGGGCTATGTTCAACAACAGGATCTCCATCTCGAGACTAGCACTGTGCGCGAAGCACTCACTTTTAGTGCACTTCTCCGTCAGCCTCACAAGACCCCTTACAGCGAGAAGATTGCCTATGTTGAAGAGGTAATCAAGATGCTTGACATGGAAGAATACGCAGAAGCCATTGTTGGCATCCTAGGTGAAGGACTGAACGTTGAACAACGCAAGCGATTGACAATTGGTGTTGAGATTGCGGCTAAGCCAGATCTTCTATTGTTCTTCGATGAACCAACCTCTGGCCTTGATAGTCAGACCGCCTGGTCTATTTGTTCGTTGATGCGCAAGCTTGCCAACCACGGCCAGGCCGTTCTCTGCACCATTCACCAGCCGTCAGCAATCTTGATGCAGGAATTCGACCGACTTCTGTTCCTTGCCAAGGGCGGCCGCACGGTGTACTTTGGTGAGCTGGGCTCCAATATGGAGACTCTGATCAAGTACTTTGAGGACAAGGGGTCGATTAGTTGTCCCAAGGATGCAAATCCTGCCGAATGGATGCTCGAGGTTATTGGCGCCGCTCCTGGCTCCCACTCGGATCGTGACTGGGCAGATGAATGGGTCAATAGCCCTGAACGAGTTGTCGTTCGCGAGGAACTCACCAAGATGAAACAAGAGCTCTCCCAGAAGCCGGTGGCGTCTGCAACCGCTGGGTATGGAGAATTTGCAACCCCAATCTGGTACCAATTCCTCATCTGTATTCGTCGGATGTATCAACAGTACTTCCGCAGTCCTGGATACCTCTATTCCAAGACTGCTATGTGTATCTTTCCGGTCAGTGACCTTGAATAGTTGATTTATTTCTTGGCTAACCTTCAACAGCCCCTGTTTATCGGATTCAGTTTCTGGCGTGAGCCTAACACTCAGCAAGGCCTGCAAAACCAATTGTTTGCCATTTTCATGCTTCTCATTATTTTCCCCAATTTGGTTCAACAGATGATGCCCAGTTTCTGCACGCAGCGTTCGTTGTACGAAGTTCGTGAGCGGCCTTCAAAAGCCTACTCCTGGAAAGCATTCATGCTTGCCAGTATCTTCACCGAGCTACCATGGAATATCATCATGGCCGTCCCTGTATATTTCTGTTGGTACTACCCGATCGGACTGTACCGCAATGCACCAGAGGGCACAACGATGGAGCGGGGTGGGACCATGTTCTTGATCATCCTGGTCTTCCTCATGTTCTCCTCGACATTCAGTTCGATGATTATCGCCGGAATTGAGCAGCCAGAGACGGGAAGTAATATCGCGCAATTACTTTTCTCTCTTTGCTTGGTTTTTAATGGGTTAGTCTGCCCCATATCCCTAAACTCTCTCCAGCTTGGCACTTTTTTTTTTCTCCCTCGATGATCTACGCCCACTTACTTATTTTGGTTGTTCTAGTGTCCTCGCAAGTCCCACCCAATTGCCCCGGTTCTGGATCTTCATGTACCGCGTCTCGCCATTCACGTACCTGGTCTCTGCCGTCTTGTCCACTGGGTTGTCCGGTAGTAGTGCTCATTGTTCGGATATCGAGCTCCTGACCATCCCGCCACCTGCTGGACAGAACTGTTCCCAGTACCTGGATTTCTACGCGACACAATACCGTGCGACCTTGCTGAACCCGGAAGCGACGGAAAACTGCCAACTCTGTTCGATCTCCACCACGGACGAGTTTCTGGCTGCTGTCAACATCTACTTTAGCGATCACTGGCGGAACATCGGGTTGATCTTTGTTTACATTATATTCAATGTTTTCATGGCTGTGTTCCTCTATTGGTTGGTTCGGGTACCAAAGAATTGGTCCCGCAAGGTGAGGCAGAAGCAGGAGTGAGCGGGCGCAAAAAGTTTCCACTCCACTCTATTCTCCACTCTCCGTGGGGGCGGATTTAGGTCAGGCCCGTGGCCTCGATCCCTGTAAATCTGTTTGCTCCATAGGTACATAATACTAATCTGTATTTCAATCAATTTTTTCAATTTTGACAATTGATTCAAAGTCAACCGTAAAGAATAAAAGACACTGTCCAAGAGAATACTGCTTTTCAACAGGTCACATATTAGTAGGAATACCCAAACCGTTCAGTCTAGCCTAAGCCTCAGTACTACCCAAACTCGCATCCTCTAATGTACAATAATCTTGTCATTAACATTATTAGGCTTTTACCCAGCATAGGAATCGTGAAGCGGCTCATTGGAGGGTTCGGATAAACGGACCAGTTACAGTCCATGAGGACAAGCGAGAGATGAGGGTGGGGGCCATTTCACCCGTGTGTATTGTGTCATTACATCACATTAGACTGGCTGGTTTATGTGATCAAGTTGCTGAATTGTTTGTCCCATGTGGATTTTTAGATCGAGCAGGGATTAGGACGTGATGTGATGGGATGAGATGAGGTTATTTTTAGCAGTATGCTCAGGCGTGTCGATCGCTATACTATCTTCCGGGCCTGAGAATAGGGGCTGTTAACACACAATTGTCAATAAAACCCAAGTAAACGTCGTTATGCGCCATGGCGACTACATAACCAATGTTGATGAAGGTTCGGGTGTTCTCCGCCTCTGCTATTTCTGTCTCAGATTAACATCTGTTCCGTGCCATGGTGATCGTCGGGGGCCGGGATGAAACGAGCGGTCTCTGTGGGTAGATGTTTATGCGGGGAACTAGGCTGAGTTGGGCCTGAGCCCTGAGTAGGTCTGTGAGTCAGGGTCAAGGAGTAGGGTCAAGGAGAGCAAAAACAAAATAAAATAAAAAAACAGAAATAAAATCCTTGGGTAAAGTAGGTGAACAGGGAGAGATTTGGGGTCCAAATCCAGGCATCCACATGAAGTTAGGCTTGCGATCTCCTACATAATCCACTTTGGGTTAGGGCGCTTTCAAGGTTGGTCATTATGCTCGTGAGAAGCCGATATGAAGCATGGACTCTGCACTAGGTGTTAATGTGCTATGACTCAAGCCCTAAATTCAATAATTATGGGTCTTTTCGTCCCTTCGCAGTTCTTGGCTCTCGCAACTAGTCCAAGTCCAGTCTCCGCCATTGGCCGGGATTTGAGGCTCATTTACGCCCCACTGGACTGATCCACTGCATCTTTTCTCTGGGCCGTTATGGCTTTGGAAGCATCTATTGATGCAACGCACCAGTCCCACCAGTACGGGTCTCGATGGAGCTCGTCACTTACGTGCAGCCCATTATTTATACCCAAGGGTCCTTCGTCACGGCTCCATTTTCCTTTTAACTTTTTTTTTTCATTCTTCCATCCTATCTTTCTTCTATTTACCCTAAAAAATAAAATAGATGATGGATTCTTATCCTCCTTTTACCGATATGTCTCATATTGAGTCTATGTCTGACCCCCAGACATACGATGCTTATGATGCCTCTCTACCGGCCGACCACCCATTCGTAACTCGTGCTTACCAGTTCCAATACCACCTTTCGCCTCTGGAACAGGCCAAATCCGACGAAATAATGAACCCGCAACCATGGTGTGAGGCTGAAATCGCTTCACTCAATATGGGCTACTTCCCCCTGAGTTCTCCGCCTGGAACAGCGGCCTCTCAACGATCTCAGACCCCCAAAGTCCTCGCAGCAGTAATAACGGCAGCATCCTAGGCATGAACTGTATGGCTTCGCCAGCATTTCGTCAAGAGGACATTTCTATTCCCGCCATTGATGAATATCCCGCGCCCGACGGACTTGTCGATATCGACCACTCAATCGCCTTCTCCCAGTCCCCCTTCGATAGGCCTCTCGATCACACTTCGCCTTTTGATACAGAATTTGATGCCTGGTCAGGCAGTCAATCAGACCGAAATGCTACGCCTGATCAACAATGGTCCTCTCCTCTGCCTACAGAACTAGCCCTCCCGCAACCGATTCGTCGAAACAAGAGCCGCCCAGGTAGGGCTATATCTTCAGCATCCTCTTCCAGAGAGATTCACAAATCAGCTGAGCGCAGACCGACTTCCACCCCTGGTCGCAGCAAGCGTCGACGCGGGACTCGCAATGTTATTGACGGCACAGCCCGGACATTCGTCTGCAGTTTCGCTTCCTACGGTTGCGAAAGTACGTTTGTCTCAAAAAATGAGTGGAAGCGCCATGTTACGTCTCAGCATTTACAACTTGGATTCTATCGCTGTGATGTTGGAAAATGTGGCGCCTACCACCGTCACGCATCTACAACCCTCCCTACATCTACGTCTACACCAACGCCACAATCTACGGTTTCTGGACGAGGCTGTACACCACTCCCAGGCCAACCGAACGATTTCAACCGCAAAGACCTCTTCACCCAGCATCACCGCCGCATGCACGCGCCCTGGCTTCAATCTGGGGGCCGACGAGCCCCCACCGAAGAGGAACATAGCGCTTTCGAAGCAAGTCTGGAGGAGATCCGTCAGCGCTGCTGGCAGGGTCTACGGACACCGCCCCTGCAGAGCCACTGCGGGTTCTGCAAAGAAGTATTTTCCGGCGAGGGAAGTTGGGACGTGCGCATGGAGCATATCGGACGCCACTTTGAGAGAGAAGATCGACGGGTCCTGGGGGCTGAGGAGGAGGATCTTGCGCTGAGGGAGTGGGGGATCGAACAGGGCATTTTGGTTGCTATTGATGGGGGTTGGAGATTGGCTAATTTGGTGGGGTTGTAGCTCTGTGTTGTGTTATGACATGTCTTGGCTACATTATGAATTGGTTATTATGGGGCGGTGTTTGGGCATGCTTATGTTTCTTGTTTGGCGTTGGGGCTTACTGTTCCGATAAACTCGGACAGATTTCTACTTTTGTATCATATGGAATATTTGCATTTGCATGCTTCGATATTAGATCTTGGCAGCGTCATGATTATGAATGATACTCCGCTATAGAATTACCGCTATGCATAATGAATTCGCCACTATATCTACTATCCACTCCTAGCAAATGAGTAAGCGGTAACCCGAGCATCTCCGAGCTACAGATCGGATCACCGCAGGGTCCACCCAATCTTGGAACGGGACGGTATGAACCAAACTTTCGTCATGACACCGTATCTCCGCATACACCCGGCTATTCTTGAAAGCTCGTAGAGTCAGGTCTCGGACATCAAATCTTATTACTAAAACAAGGCAGAATCCAGGCAGAATTATAAAACACAATTATCATCTAAACAGAATCCTCTGGCCTCCATGGACCTTTCAGTACTCGAAAAAGACCGCATAGAGACAATGATTGAAATTGGACTGCGTCCTTGCCTATGGGTTTAGCGCCGAGGCGGTGCACACTAGGTTGAGCAGCTATAGGCTCGATGGCATGAAACTCATTAAACAGAATCCTTTGTTCCACGCTAAAATATACGAAAGTTCCGATTGCCAGTGGTTGGGCCATGTTTTCATTGGGACTTGAGCACTAGTTTAGACTACTAATGCCACGTTTGACCACGTTTTCCGGGATTTTGTGGAGATATCAAGGAGGCTGTGTTGATCTTGGTGGAATCAGACTAGCGCCGTACTCTGCACTTTGTATCAACTTACAGGTAGACTTCTATTTCTAGGCTTTTTCTCATGTTTCATGCACCATTGAAAAACTTTAGCATACGGTGTACGGGTGTCCTGATCCGGTAACCTACTCGCAAGCGTTGTTTCGCGGTAGGACCATTTGTTCAGGGATTCGTACGCTAATTCTCTTTTAATTGGTCTGCTCGGAAAGGTCCAGGCAACGCTCCAGGACTCGAATCCGATTCGTCAATATAGATCCACTATTTCCCTTTGATTGTTTTCCTTTTCGGGTTTGGTTTGAGTTCCATTTTTTAGTTTCTAACTAGTAGTATTTGATTTTTTTCTGTTCATGGTTAAAGAGGTCAGAAGGGCGGTGTCCCGTATATTACTTTTGATGAATGGCGTGGTTGTGGATCGTAATTAAAAATGTAATTCTCGTCTTGTCCCGTGTTTCATTGGTGGTCGTCTGGTCTCTATGGGCCGATCTTGTCGATCAGGGTGATGCTTTGTCCCGAGGCATTTGTTCCATGTCCTCTTGGTAGTCACTGCATGTTGTTTGGGGCGAATTGTTTCATGATGAGGTAGCTATGCATATGGCCACGGGCATAGTGACAGCAGATATGCATTGACCGGTAAGATGGTAACCCGGGTGCATTTGCCCTGTGGAGACGCCACGTAGTTCCATTCATGTGGCATTTTGCCCGACAGGATGCCAAGCTACCAGTCTAATTCGGATTGTAATCACCCTAAATTTGTCCCCATTTATCTGGTCTGTTGTTAGCATAGTTTTGGTTTAGAGAAGGTCAGGACTTGAGTACCATGCAAACAGAAAGAAACCCCCGCTCTTAGAGGTTAGCATGTGACTTACTATTTAGACAAGCAGACATAGTAGTTATATTGAGCTCACAATACTGCTATTACTCATATGGGTACAATCTGAATGCACCTGGAACCCGCGCACGGCTAATCAGTCGATAAAATCAGCGGCCAGTATCTGCAAACGATCCCTCTCGCTGATCCTAAAAGCCGTAGTATAAATAAGCTCATCTGGTCCGTGATGACTCCACTGCCAATATCGATAATACGTAGCAATTGACGACAAGGCTGTGCGACATTGGGGCTCCGGCGGGATGGACCGCCGGATTGACTTAAGGTTGTCCCCGAGGGTTCCCAAGATTGCTTTCTGCTGTGGACCCTATTAATGACATACCATTTCTGATTAGACCAGGCACGACATGAGCTTCCATTCAAGTGAGTAGAGGCTTCCGAGACTGGATTTGGCTGTTCAGGTTATTTGGACCTATACATCTGAATCTGCACCAGCCACTTCAAGGCTCCGACCGTTGTAGCCATGGGTAAGATCGCATGAATGCTAATTTGGATCTTCTTCGTACGGGCTAAATGGAGAATTCTGGGTCAATTGACCGTGTAGTGTGGGCTGACTTGAGATCTCTAAGTACCTATTAGTCTGTAATTCTTGCTTGTTATAAAGTGGCCCAACGACATATAAGTATATTTTATTTGAACCACACATTCACTCTATACTCACCGTACTCTGGTTTACATGGCTTGTGATTTCGATGAATTCTTGAGATTTGGGTGATCGAGTGAGGGATTGACTAGTAAATATATGCAGCCTGATATATCAGGCATAAAGTTTCAGACCTGCGTGGGTCAACGAGACAAGCCGCAGCACGCGTTGTAACAACTTATTGATAAAACGTGTGATAGCACCCATTAACAACAGAGCACAATCCATTCAATAATTTGATACCGAGGTCATGTCAATCCCGAGGTCTTTGTTTAATTCATGCATACGACAACTCTACTCGGCTAATCCCGCCATATACTTCGCTTAGATCTTCCATGCATAAAGGCAGTACAAACAACGAAGGTTACCACGCTTATTCTGCGCCACAATATCAAGCCTTCTCCACTGTTAGATTCTATTCGCCGCCTCTTGGCGCTGCGTTGCTGCACCTCGGCTTGTAACCCCGGATTAGGTATAATAACCCGAGAGTCCGGATATAATCCGTTCCAAATCGGCACATCGGCATCGGGGACAACGATTTATATCACAGGCTTAGCAAATGCAACATCAGGTCCAGGGTCCAGAGTGTCTGTGACTGGCTGTGACTATTCTCTGACCCTTATTACCCGGTCTCAACATCCAGCTACGGAATTTGCCGAGTCGGACGACCCTTTCAGCAATTCCTATCTGTACCATGCTCGGAGAAGATCGTATCCACCGACCCACAGGCATTGGTGTTCTGTAGCCTGTAGGGCTATTAGCACCGATGACGACGAAAAAAGTATTCTTACGAGACCGATGTGTAATTGCGCCCCTCACAGTCTTTAAAAGGAACCGTCCATACCCACATTATGTTCCCTTTGCGACCCCGTTACCTCCTCATTTTCTCCAGCCTTGCTCTTATTCCTCTAGGAGTCTATATTCGATCTTCTGATCCATTCCAACGTCTCAGAACAAAACTCTTCAGCATGGCGCCCGACAACCTACAAGAGATCTTCGCTCAGCGCGCCGTCGAGCTGCGCGAGTACATATTCTCCCAGCCTGCCAGTAACTTTGAGAACAACCCCTGGGCCTTAGCTGATGCTATCGAAACCTTCTCCAATGAAAAGGGCCACATGATGATTTTCCGCTCAAAGAAGCTTGATGTCGCCAAGGCCGCTCTCGTCGCTCAGCAGCCTGCTCCCCGTACAATCCTAGAATTCGGCACCTTTGTCGGCAAGTCGGCTCTCGCTTGGGGTGCTATCCTCCGTGATATCCACGGTGAGAACGTCCCCGAGGATGTCAATGTATACACTTTCGACCCGAACCCCCTTATGGTTGCTCTCACACGGGACCTGGTTAAGCTTGCCGGTGTGGAGGATGTCGTACATGTGCTTGAGGGCCCCGGCTCGGAGTGCCTACAGAAGCTTGTCGACGAGGGCAAGGTTACTAGTGTTGATATGGCGTTCTTCGATCACTGGGAGAAGTTTTATCTTTCTGACCTCCAGCTTATTGAGGAGCTGAAGCTTTGGCGCGAGGGATCGCTGGCGATCGCTGATAACACCGATATGCCTGGTGCGCCGGATTACCTGGCTTATGTTAAGGCCGGTGGCAGCGGGGCTGCTGGTGCTGTTAAGTATGAGAGCAAGTCTTACGAGACTGAAGGTGGACGTGGCCCGGTAGATGCTTCTTTTTCCTACTCACATTCCTTGGATTGTCACTAACATGTTCTGCAGAGTGTTGTTGAGATTAGCACGGTGCTGGCCACCAACTGAACTGCCTAAGGATTTTATCGTGCTATCGAACTTGATTTGTGACAGCGAGACATTTATAGAATTGAAATACTTAGCATAATCATCAATGCCCAAGTTTGATATGTCAGTTGACCTGGGTATCTTAAAAGAAAACAAATCACAGTTCATTATATTGTATACGAGATATATATCCTGGCGTTGGCCTCTTAATTTGGTGGGCCCTCTATAACCAAGACATACCCCCAGATTACGGATACTTGATTGGCCCTCATCAGGATAGCCCCACTTGTCTCCGTTAGCGCCACACAAAATAAACATGTGCTCGACCTCGAATCCACGCGACTCCAACCAGCTCTTGCATGACATTACCATGGGGATTCATATTCTCCAATTCCACTGAACAACCTTTATTCTGCCTCCATTATTCTCTGTATACTATTCCGACCTTACCAGGCATGTTACAAGCGCAATAACTCCACTCATATCCGACCACGTCTTCACCAGCACTCATCATCAGCATCATGTGCGTTCCCCTCCCCCGGAGCTACCACGAGCGCGCAACTGACCAACCCTAGGACCGTCTTCTCCCTCATCATCATTAACAAGGCCGGTGGTCTAATCTACCAACGCGAGTTTCAAGCCGGCCTACACAAGCTCTCCACGAACGACTACCTAGTCCTCGCCGGTACCTTTCATGGGTAAATAAATATCTCCAGCTGCCACGATCGCATCTTGTCCAGCACTCCACAAATCTACCCCTGACCAGCACTTACCAAAGCTTCACAGTGTCCACGCAATCACCCGCTCCATTACCCCTAAGATTCCGCTTCAAACCACCGCTTCCCCCGTTCCCTCCTCCCCGGGCACAAATGCCCCCTCCACGTCTGGATACAGCTACCCGGTCCCCGGTATCCCTGTCTCGGGTCTCGAACAGCTTGAGACGGACAAATTTCGATTGACTTGTTTCCAGACCCTGACGGGAACTAAGTTCTTACTTTTTACGGATCCGGTTTCGGGGAGTGTGGAATCAATTATCAATAAGATTTATGAGCTGTATGCGGATTATGTTATGAAGAATCCGTTCTATCAGCTTGAGATGCCGGTGCGATGCGAGGCTTTCGATCGGCATCTTGGGGCTTGGTTGAGGGGGAGGACATAGTGTCTTGCCCGCTAAGTGGGATCACGACTTTATGACTAGACATTTACTTCTCCTGTTGATTTTGTTATGTTTACTGGCTGTACGGACTGGGTTTACTCCGGCTTTGTGCTTAATACCAATTGCATCGATATTTCCCTCGTCCCCTATTTAGAACAGCGCCTAGCATAGGAGTTGTAAGAGTATACAGGATACAGAAACACAACCAGAAAAGAGTCAAACGCCGGGTATGCATCACAAATCGTTTCCACAAGAAAGCTCAGGCAATCTACGCAGTGTCCATCTTGTCGTCATCCTTCTTGTCACTAGATTCGCCCTGGCCTTCCTCGGGAATGCCACCCAGTTCCGTCTTGCCCTCCTGCTCCTCGCGATCACGCTTTTCCTTGTCCTGTCGGTTCTTCTCCTCCTCGAGCGATAACCGCAAGGCGAATGCAAGCTCCGGGTCATCCTCTGCCGCGTCCTCGAAGTTGAAACCACCGGCCTCACCACCCTCACCGCCGGATGGGGCAGCGGCTCCGGCTCCCTCACCTGCCAGGATCTGGGTCTGCTGCAGCTCTTCACTGAGCAGGTGCGGGCCCGGAGGAATGATAGCCAGGCAAGAGCCTTCACCACTGGTAACGTTATCCACAAAGGCCTCTAGCTTCTTGGTTTGATCGGATTCCAGGTCACCGAATGCCACCACGTCGATCGAGACGTTGTTCTTCTTCATTTTTTTGGCGAGCTTGACGAGCGTCTTTTCATCTTCATGGATAGGCGAGCAGGAGAATACGATAATTCGTTGCCGTTGCGACTTCTCGGATCGGTGCTTAAGGGCCAGCTGTATTGTAGTATCAGAATTGTCTGCCTTGCCATTGTCCTTTCTGTTGATGAATACTTACGCCTGCAACCTGGATACTCGAGCTGAGATGCGAAGTGCCGTGAATCTTGGTCCGATGCAGACCGGCTAGGATGCTGCCAAAGTCGGATGTAAAGGTCGAGAGCACCTCGGGACCGTTGCCGCCCATGCTCATCAGGCCGACGGCCGACTGGGGGTGTACGCGCATCTTCACACTGTGGATAATGCTGACGGCATCGACTTGAGCTTGCCACCGGGTTGATCTGAAACGGTTAGACGGTCTAACCAAAGTGAGGGGAGGGCGGACAAGCTCACGTATAGTCTCCATTGCGACTGCTTTCGCTATTGTCGACACTGTAGAAGAGGTCAGTGCTGCTATTAGCTAGCGAGTGCGGGGCACAATGACGAACATGATCATGGTAGCTTCGAGAGACATGATGGCGGTGTGTTCAACGGAGCTGAGAGATAATGGAAGTGGGGATGAGCGATAGAAGAGATGGTCGTTAACGGGGTCCCAAGTCGCTGATGACGATGGAAGGTAGAGCTCGGTTCTGCCGGATTCCTCCGCCCGCACACGCTTGTTTGTTGTGACTCCGCGCTCCACTCTCGACTCTACACTTGCAACCGTTGAATCGTTACTTTATTTCGTCGCAATTCACACCACAATAATGGCTACTTTAAAGCGCAAATCTCCCGAGTTCCTGTCGGCGCCTGATGCTACCCCTACAGGTCGACCGGTCAAGAAGTTGCGCCTGACCCAGAGCCAGAAGCAGGCGTTAATCGACAATCTTCAACTTGAAAGTGCGTGGAATAGTCGACTTTTCTGGTAGATCATATACTGACAGTGCAATGAAGTTACTGAGCGAGCTCGCAAGCTTCGATCTCAATATGCCTTGCAGGCGCACGACCTTCGGTCGCGCATTGAACGACGCGTCAACCGCATTCCAATCTCTCTGCGCAAAGCCAACATGGGCGAGCTTCTCGATAAGCATAACGCGGCCCTGGCTCAAGCTCAATCTGCTTCTCCCCCGCGCAGGGCCTCTCCCACAAAGGCTCAACGACCCATTCCCACCATCGGTTCTATTGACCAAGCTCTCTCCCCAGCCGGCACACGGACCCGCCGCCCAAGGCAAGATCGCCCCACCTGTCCAATTGAAGGCCCTCCCAAACTAACAACCTTACAGTCATGATGGCCACTATTCTGACAAAGAGAATGGCGGCCCAGAAGGCCTACAGAACCCCAAGCGCCGAGGCAAAGCTCCTGCCGTTGGTGGTACCTCCCGTGTCGTCTCGCAGGAAGTCCGAGGCAATGACCACCGCATTCTCTCCCCTAAATCTCTCAACTCCCGCACATACCCACAGTCGCCCTTCCGTGCTTCACCAGAAAAGGGCCAACCATCTTACCTGTCCCGTCCTACTTCCCCACTCAAACCATCTAGTCCGCTTCGCGTTGCTCCCGGCAGCACCACTCGCCCTCGTGGCGCAACTGTCTCTACTGTCAAGGATTCCTGGAACCAGCCTTCCCAAGCACGAAAGACTGCTCGCGCTGCGACGGGTCCTAAGACAACTGCGCGCTCTCCCCTTCCGAGGCCCGCAACAAGACAGGGTGAGCGGAAGAACAGCTTTTCTTCAAACGCTTCATCCGGGACTACTGTGACTAAACCTACTCGCACGGGCACTGGTGCTCGTAAGACGACAGCTGGCACTGCCTCCACTGCTGCAAAGAAACCGACCGCTCCTCGTGTGCAGACTGCCTCTTTGGCTGTGAAGAAGACTGCTGCTAGTGCGGCTTCTGTCCGCAAAACTACTGCGCCTGCTTCTACAACTGAGGCTTCAGCGCGGGGGACCCGTGCTCTGCGAAAGCGCGTATAAAATCATTCCAAAGAAATATTGGCTTTGCGAACTTGAGCGTTTAGCTTGGTGCTTTTCATTTCATGAGCTGGATGGAGTTGGTAATTCTTGAGCGTGTAGTATTTTAATAATAAGAATGGATCCGAGGGTTCTTCTCCTTTGGAATGTTGTGCTCCGCCATTATTTGGGGTTTAATAGGTTCTTATGGGTTTTACTTGGATATCGATTGCCCAGGTGTTTTTTGTGGTTCTCCTTGCGCGGGCTAAGACCCTCAATGCACATTTCTTCTCCAAAGATTAGCTTTCTCTTGCGTATTTCTAAGCCCAATTAGGAATCCACCTACAGCCCTAGCCTCTGAGCCCTGAACCAAAAGCTTTTGAAACAGGTCGTGGATTGATCCTAGCCAGTGAGGTGAGGCGCGTGAACAACATGATAAGCCTCAAGTGACTGTTAAGACTGAAGAGGTCTTATTACGGTTTCATCGCCACCTTCTCAGCCATCGAGCGATGTACCCTATAATGATCTACAACAAGCACCTTGATGCCTGTACGTTTAAGAGTATCTTGGAAATTGCTACATCGAAGGTGATTTTGACGGATCTAGTGTTCTTGTTCGTCAAGTCTGATAACCCTAAACCCAGGGGTTGAAATAGTCATGCGCTGCATGAAACCACGATGCAATTGTTTTCACAGCCTTCATTTGAGAAGAATCGTATAGAGACTAGATTGACTACGGAACAGGTAGGAAGACCCAGAGCCACGGCTCTAATCCAATAGCCATTTGAAGCCCAAGAGGCAATATCGAAGAATGGAAAATGTCAACATGGTAGAGTAACAGCTACATTTAGACTCAGCAATGGTATCATAGCAATCATGCTGGTTGACAAGCAACAATAGTCAAGAGGGGGTGAAAGAAGAGAAATAAAGAAAAGGGAGAAAAGGCCTTGATCGTATAATGCCAAATCGAAGGCGGAAAGGGAAAGCGGGCGTGAAGGACGAGAGGGAAGACCAAGGTAGCTCGAAGCCCTGGTCAATGACACGAAATAGGCTGGAAACTGCTCGGAATTAGATGAAAGAGGGACATAGAAAAGCCCCACGGGAGCGAAGTAGGAATGTGATGTTATGGGTATGACTGATCCCCAGAATCAGATGCAAGCAAGAAGTAAGAAAAGAAGAAGAAAAGAAAAAGAAAATATAACAGAAGAAAATATTCTGTTAGTCAAAGATGGAATGAGAAAGGAACAGACACGAATCCATCGGACCAATCAGCTCGCTGATCACTTTTGAAAGAATTTTGATGTATGTAGGTAGTAGAGAAAGGAAAGGGAATGAAGAACTCCGTCAACCAAGCCTGTCAGTCGAGATGAAAAGACAACACAGAACAACGCTAAAACAAGCCCCCAGAAGCTAGACAGGAAATAGAGTGGGTAAAGGAAGAAGAAAAAGTACACCACGGACAGGGAGGTATGGCGCCAGGTTGGTTGATGCAAATCAGGTCATCGATGAATGGTGTATTAACTGTGCATGAAGAAAGGAAGAAGAACCAAGTCTACCCTGTGACGCCCATAGCACCTGGACTAGGACGAGGTCGATAGGGAACATTCTGTGACTGGCCATCGGCATTTTGTTGACTGCCATTGCTGGTACTGCGGTCACGACGGTAGCTAGGCTCTGGTGGTACAAAATCCAGCCCGGCTTGGGGGGCAGCACTCGTTGAATGAGAGTGGCCGCTCGGCCCAGGCACATGGCGAACGGAGCTTTGCATTTGCCAGGCTGCGTCTTGAGAAGGATCGGATTCGATACGAGCCGAGGTTGGAGTGTTGTGTCGGTTGGAATTGGTGATCGTGAAAGTCTCGCCACCATTGTCGGGTCGTGTTGAGAAGCTTCCACGGGCAATATCACCATAGCGTTTAAGAATCTCCTTTGTGGTGACTTCGGCGTTCTCTCTGAACAGCGTAGGATCGCTGAGGATGGATTGCAGGTCCTCGGGAATCTAAATGACAATTAGACTGATGTCATCAAGACTTGAAGATGGGGGGCTACTTACCTCGCACATATTGTCGTTATACGTAATTAAAGCATTAACTGCCTCGATAGCCAAAAAGCTCTCATCCACGGTGCTGGTCTTGGCATTGGGATAGAGAATGTTGGGGGTAATGACTGTTGCAAGGTTGTGGATATCCATCTTGCTTCCCGAATCCTCATCCACATGCGAGAAGGATGATGTCCAGTTGAGGAAGGAGAATAATACTTCCATTGTATCACGGTGAGCCTTGGGGAGAAGACAGCACGTAAGGTGCAGGAGTCGCTTTTGCTTCTCCGGATCAGGCAATTCTATTACATAGGTTAGCTTGAATTCGGCAAGGTATATGGTACCAATACTGACTTTGTGCGGCCACCCAAAGACGGTGTAATTTGAAGGTCAACAATGGATCCGGCATCTCACGAAGGAATTTTTTCAACAGAGCTGCGATCTGCACAGGATTCTCTTTGGTCATATCGACAGATTCATACTTCTTGTCGATAAGCTCTGCAAGATCCTTCAGTCGTCGAATGTTACCGTTCTTTCGGAAGACACCCTCAACGGACATGTCCATTTGTCGCATGGCAGAGACGGCATCGTCCACAACCGCGGGAATGCGCAAAGCCCCCGGTCCAACACCATGGCTAGATTCGGTTCCCCCTTCCTTCTCAACCAGGTAGTCCAGGGATACACCGAAGATACCCTTCCTCTTGCCCGCCTTCTTGTTATCCTTGAAGGCACGGCCAAAGATGTTCCAGACAGTTGGCTTACGAGACTCGATGAGAGAGAGTAACTCTTCCATGTTGAATTGGCCTTCTAGCAGTGGCTCCATTGACAGCACAGCAACGTGGCGCACGATGAAATATTCCAAAGCTGTGAGCTCGGAGAAGTATCGCTTGGTGCGCGTTGCAGGTTCCAACATCATATCCAATCTGCCTGTCGACATCTCTCGTTGATGACCGGCCTTGTAGACAGGCATCGGCTCCTGGGGCGCCACAAGTTTTGATCCGGCGTGTCTGTATGCATTGGGCCGCTGTTCCTTGGCCTGCTCGGCGGCCACAATCCGCGGGATGTCGTCCAACGTAAGTGCATCTTGGGCGCCAAATGTCAAATCCTTGACAGTATCGCCATTGGCATCTCTCTCCTCGACGATCTGGAATCCGGGACCTCTAGGATCGCTACCGTCATTGCCAGATGATCCTGGTCGTGCACTTCTGCCCTCGGGACCGTCAATAATTCGGGATGCCCGAGCTTTCTTGTACGTCGTGGATAAGGTGCGTTCGTTGCGGATCGAGCGTAGTCTGCGCATCTCACCGACAGTCTGCTCGAGTGACGATTCTGCCATTCCCTCACGACCACCAGCGCTATACGACATTGAACGTGTGTTGGCTCGGCGAGGCTCGCCAGGCTGTGCTCGGTGGCCTTCCTTGTTTTGATACTCGTTAAGATTGGGATCATCCGAGGTGTGAGGTAATGTGCCACCCGCGCGAAGCACAGCAAGCAATCTGGCCAGGGCAACTCTCAGTAGGAACACAAACTGCTGCAACTTTGTCACTTGGATGAACCCGGTTTGGGCGGTAGATGCCACATTATGCTGATCAGCACATGCCGAGCAATAGATGCATTTCTCAGTCTCACTCCAGAGGGCGTCAGGCAGCTCAGCACTCAAATCTTTCTCACAAGAGGAGCATGATAGATGGGGAGGCTTAAGATGCCAACGCTTGTCTTCCAAAAGAAGACACTCATCATCGATGGGTTCCTTACATTGAATGCAACAGTCTGAAAGTTGGTCTGCCAGACCTTCCACCCCAGCATTGAGGTCAATTGGTCTACCGTCATCCTCTGGCTGGGCGAGAGATTCTGTGTTTGCAAGATGGCCCAGGAACTCATGCAGACCATCAGGTGCTGATTTCTCCCGTTCGAGCTTCAAAGCACCCTGGAGGCCGATGCGAATAAGTAGCTTGAGATAGTGGGCAAGACCCGTCACCAGTGACAGAAGCTCTTGTGTTACGCCAAGTTTCCGAACTCCAGTCTCCTGGGTTTTCGACAACAGAGCAAAGAAAGCCACGATCTTTTTGCAAAGCAATTTTGCTTCCCGACCATATGACAGTTCTTTCGCTCCTTGAGACTTGATAAAGGTAGCCAGTTCATCTACAGCAGTGAAGAGAATCTCCACATGAGCGATGAACCTTTTGGCCACGAGAACTCCATCAATATAGACGCCATTACTGACGTGTAACAGCATGTCGGATATGCAAGCGGCTGATGATTCTTCGAAGGTCGAAAGTGTGCTCCAAATGTTGTAAACCTTCTCTTCCATCGTATCCTCTTCCCGGCGAATGCGCTCTCGTTCCTCGGGAGTGGCATCTTCATCAAGCGGTGGTGTCTCCCACGCTTGACCAGCAGGAGACAGCCGCACGTTCCAGAACTTGTGAATCATGTAGCACTCCGGGTGCCAATGTTGATTTTGACCGTTGCGGAAGATCTCGACAAATTGCTTGAGAATCGCAGTGTGGCAGCCATGACACCGCTGTGCGAAATGCGTCGAATAATGGAAGTGACAATAAACCTTGCCCTCGTGCTCATAGTACGAATCCTGGGCTCCAAACACGGTGGGACATACTGAGCAGGTAAAATGTTCAATATGGTACTTGCGATCTAATGCGGTGATATAGGAACCGCGCAAGGCACCACCACAATCATGGCACAACAGGTTCAATCGTCGAAAGTAGTCGGTCTCGCACAAGGGAAACTGGACGCTATGGTCCTCCGAATCGACTGGGAAGAATTTGGAAGCAACAATCTCACCACAATCCTATGATAAGAGGGTCAGCATTGAGATCAACGCATTCTCATGGGTCAATCACGTACCTCGCACTTGAAACACTCAAGATGGAATGTACCACCCAGCGCTCGAACAAATTGACCAGTCAGTGGCTCATTGCACTTTTGGCAGATGCGTGAGGAGCCAGGTGACTTGTTGTGTGATCGTCCATTGGTACGCGATCGATCTCTCGCATTGGATCGATCCCGATAGCCTGAATGTTCAGGTTCTAATCCACGACCGGGGCGATCATCCTGACTGAGCGGGCTATGGTTTCCTGCCGTGCGCGTGGTGGGTGAGTCAAATGGAATTAAACTGTCTTCAGGTGAGGTAGGTGTGTTTTTCGAGTAGCTGCCCCCGTAGCCCGAGGTATTTAAAGTCGGTGTGGGTTTGCCTGCGACCAAGCTGGCCGGGAGTTCACCGGGGGGCATGATGGTCCCCCGTCAGGAATCAACAGAATCGAATCGCGGGCACAGTCACACGGTGAACACTGCATGCAAGGGAACTAAAGGAGTGACGGTGGGGGTTGAGTTTATTGTTGTGTCTGGTAAACACAACAGTGCAATGCGCGCGGGGAGAAGTTCGTAAACAAGATTGACTAAGTCCTATTGCAAGTCCAAATTGGTTTGGTTAGGACTCGTTCGGGGTGGTTTTGGGGTCGAGTCTTCAGGGTGGATTCATCACTCACTCCTCACGCCATGTAGTTCCACCACGCGGGGATGATATTAGCGGGGGGGTAACTTGAAGCCGGTACGCGAAAAGCAGGGTCCTGCAGGGAGTGATATCGGTATAGGTCGGATTGGTGTACAGGAAGTCAGGTGCTTAACGCGCAGACGGGGCAAGACGCGGGGGTTCAAGGCTGAGGAGCTCGGGGAGCGGCGCACGAAAGACCAAGGGTAAAGAGGCCAAAGAGTAATCCGACCCCAAAGAGAAAAGCAAGAAAGGATCACAACAGTGATAGTGTTAGGGGGGGTGGGTGGGAAAAGAAGTGGGGGGGCTGAGGAATGGAGATGGAGAAGGTTTGGGTGCTAATTGGACTTGTGGTGCTGCCCCCCCTAATTTGGACTCTATAATGCCAAAGTATTATTAGGCGCGGTCCCTGAGTCACGTGGTACACCGCCCCGACGATCTTTTTATTTGTTTAGAATACGGAGTTGTCTAGTAATACTTATAAATGATGATAAAAATGAATTTGATATGTGCTTTAGAGATCTCGAATCATCTACTGCCCTAGTCTGTTGGCGGTTCCCCGACCCAGGCATGCTCATCCATGGTTTCCCGTCTTTTATTATAGCACGCGCTCTGTTTCACCATGTTAGGTTTCAGTTCTCCACTTAGCAGGTTTCTTTATTTGTCTTTCAGGACTGAAATATCTTGCCAACATCAAGCATTTCTAATTGCTTGACAATAAATCAAATCCATTTTGGAAATATCATACTTATTCGAAGTTGATGTGGTAAGCTGTGGGTAGACCCCCAAACTATAAATATCTCTGTACCCAAGGATGCCCCTTGTGGAAAGTTATATTTGCGTGATATGTAGGTTCCCGGGACGAAATGGTTGACAGAACCACGACGTCAACGCTTGACAAAGCCGTCCCTCTTCATGTTCGTTGCTGCTAGAGACAAAGCTTAAAAAAGGGCCTAGCGGGAAAGTGATGTTGAATTGTACCTGGATGACCTTTCACGACTCGCGCCCACCTTCAATAGATCATGATCATTGCAACGCTTTCCCTGCACCCTTCCCACGACTCCACACTTGACCAATCTTCTACTTCACTTCTTTACTGCTTGGTTCTTCTCCCGAAAAATACCACTTCCAATTTGAACCCTTGACACGGCCGATATCGCCGACATGGCAGACCAGAGCCTCATCCGTATCCTTCGGGTATGCAAGACCTGTTCACAGCCAAGGCAAATACTGACTCAGGAGCCTACATTAGGAGATTCGGCTGTTCGAAAAGGATGACCAACTGGGTAGGGAGTGGCATGCGGTGATTTGATGCTATACTCGCGCTGATATATTGCAGCCATGACCATCCACTATTCCGAGAAGAATGTCCGCCAGATCACCGCTCTGCTCATTGGGCCTCCAGACACTCCTTATGCCTTTGGATTCTATCAGGTGGGTTGGAATAGCTTCAACAACGGTGCTTGAGGCATATAATGCGCTAATAAATGTCAAACTCAAACAGTTGGCCATCACAGTTCCCCTTGGTACGTTGGATATCGCCCTTTTTTAGGAGAGATCGCTAATCCTGGACCACTAAGACTACCCTGCTCGGCCTCCCACTATTACCCTGCGAACTACCAATCATGGCAAAACTCGCTTTGGCCCTAACCTCTACGCGTCCGGCAAGATCTGTCTGTAAGTGCATTCGAGCAAGTCCCTTTCCCAGCTAGAACTAACCCTTCGACTAGGTCAATCATCGGGTAACCCTTATCACCGCGCCACGTTCATCTCGGGCCACTTGCTTACGATTCGCAGGACATGGCCGGGGCCGCCAAACGAGGACTGGTCCCCTGCTCAGGGACTGGAGTCCGTTTTGCTCTCAATCCAGAGCCTACTCTCCGCAAACCCATACACTTTGGAGCCTGGCTTCGAAACTCCCCGTGCTCCTAGTGACAAACTGTCCAGCAAGAAGTATAGTGCAAAGGTAAGCAATGGGCTCACAGATAGAAAGTCCCCCAGCTTATTGATCACAGATTGCCCATGAGAATTTGCGACTCACGGTGATTGCGCCTCTCGAACTGGCCATGGGCATAATCACGGGTTCATCTTCAAGCAAAAGGCAGAAGGCCAAGGGAGCAAAAGAACCCGACTCGACGCTGGGCCCGTTTGTTGATTTCTGTAAACAACGCTTCCTATGGTATCGAGAGCAATACAGAAAGGCGATTCAAGATGGCATTGACGACCGAGAAATTTGCCCTGGCCAGCCTTTTCCTCTGACGCTTTTTGAATCCCATGATAATAGCATGTCAGGCCAATGGAACTACCAACAGCTGATGTCCCGCTTTGACGCACTGGAGAAGGCCATCATGGAAGAATGCAACGGATGGCCCAGCGCCGGACTGAAACTCGAAAAGAAGGAGTCCGGTCTCGCAGTTAGCTTGCGCGCTCAACGGGCGCAGATTGTCTCGGAGATGGCCCACCGCTCGAACGCCATCTTTGACCTGGCTCTGGTTGATGACAACCCTTTTCTCTGGCGAATGACCTATTTCGGTCGCTCGGGTACCCCAGTCGATGATGGCGTTTTCAAGATTAGAATTCACGTCAGCCCAAATCACCCAGAAGTTCAGCCTCGTGTCTATATGGAAACCCCACTGTTTCACGTCCGTGTGGCGACTGATCAGATGCTGATCTATCTTCCTGTGCGAGCTGACGAGATGATCCGTCATATCGAGGGTATCCTGTTCGCCTTGGAGGAAAAGTGGCCGATCTGCAACCCACTCATGGTCGTCAATCAAGAGAGGGCTCGGCTTTGCTGGGGGAGTGCCGAGGACAAGAAGGAGTACACTCGTCGGCTTCGTCGATCCGTCGCTGACAGTCTCGAGTATGTTGCATTCTTCATGGAACGTTCACACCGAGAAATGCTAATTTTTCCAGTAACCTTTGAACCGAGACATCAATTATGTCATTCAGCTTCTCATCAAGTTGCTTGATGTTCTCTCCCCTTTGCATGCGATCCAGATAATACCCCAGTTTCGAAGGTGTTCAGGATTACAGCGAGTGTGCTCTTTATCATTCCTGCCGATCACCATAGCTGCTACGGCCAGTCATTTATGATAGTAAGAGCCATAGAAATTTATCAAATTTCCCAGAATTCTGTATCTTCAGGCCGTAGGACAAATCCAAGGTTAAGTTAGCGGAGTCGAGCTGTGCAAGCAAAAGACCACGATAACACTTATCAGCACGATCAGCTGATCCCGCCCCAACTTCTCCCCTTTTCACTCCACACTTGAGCCACCAGATACATAACCTCAATCAATTACAATGTCTGCAAAGCGACGCAATTTGGAACTGGGCAATGTCCTTGTCGTTGGTGGCTGCGGCTTCCTGGGGTGGCACATCGTGGATCACCTACTGAACTTCCCCTCTGAGACAGACCCCAGTGTCGCACTGCCCAAGATCACCGGTGATGCGCGCTTCGAAGTCCCGACACTCGGCTCCCGATTCCCAGATTACAAAGCCAATGTCTCGGTCGTGGATCTGCGCACTACGCACAACCGTCTGCCCGGTGCGACCTACTACGATGGCGATATTACCTCTGTTGACTCCATGCTCGAGGTTTTCCGCGCCGCGAAGCCCGACGTTGTGATTCACACTGCTACTCCCTCGGTATTAGACGGAAACAAGCCTCTGCTGCGCAAGGTTAATGTGGATGGAACCCGCACTCTGGTTGAGGTTGCTGGTGGTGAGCACGGTGATTGGGGTGGCAAGTGTAAGGCTTTCGTGTACACGAGCTCTAGCTCCGTGGTGCACGATACCCAGAGCGACTTGATCAATGTCAACGAGGAGTGGCCTCTTATCCGTGGCAAAATGCAGAAGGAGTACTACTCCGAGACCAAGGTGAGTTCTCATGGTCTCCAGCTTTACTGCGTTCTCGATTGCAAGCCCCCCAATTGCAAACAATGAAGCTAATTTCTCTTTTCTATAGGCCGATGCCGAAGAACTCGTTCTCAAGTACAACCGCCAATCCCCCACCGGAATGGTCACAGCCGCTATCCGCCCTGCTGGTATCCTCGGCGAGAAGGACACAACCGTCACCCACAAGATCCTTGAGCACGGCTCCAAGGCCTCCTCTACCGTGCTGAAGATGCAGCTCGGTGACAATGACAACCTTTTCGACTTCACCTACGTCGGCAACATTGCCTACGCACACATGCTGGCTGCACACCGCCTGCTGGCCTCCTACACCCGCTACGAGTCCGGTCAGGGCGGGCCCCTGGACCACGAGCGTGTTGATGGTGAGGCGTTCAACATTACCAACGATTCCCCCATTTACTTCTGGGATGCGACCCGCGCTATGTGGGCGCTGATCGACCGGATTGTTGAGCCCAATGAGGTTTGGGCTCTGCCCGAGGGTCTGTTGGGTGTCATTGGTGGCATTGCGGAGACTGTTATGGGAGTTTTTGGAAAGACTCCTCGTTTGACGCAGCGCATGGTCCGGTACTCATGCATGACACGGTACTACTCTATCGAGAAGGCCAAGTACCGTCTTGCTTATCTGCCCGTTGTCCCCGTTGATGAGGGTATTACTCGTGCTGTTGGGTATGTGGTTCAGAAGCAGCGTGAGGATGACGGAAAGAAGGCTTTGTAAATTTCATGTTCAAGTGAGGGACCTTCATGGATATCTGATAGAAAATTATTGTTGATACTGTAATAATATGGCGACTCGCCTTGAAGAATGACCAACACATGTGCAAGCTATGGAATCTAGTAGGAGCATAGTACTTCTCCGTGGATATTGTATATCCAAAGACCTTAGAATGTAAGAAATGTCTCTCCGGGGCTGGAGTTGGAAGCCCTCTAGTCCTTTCTACAAGTTCAATATAGAATCCATGGATGGGTGGGAACACGCCGTTGAGAAATTGTTCATTGTATATCATCGAGCCAATCCTGCAGTCTCAATATACTAAAACCGATGTTCACCAATAGACAAAACTTATAAACAAAAGATATCGCCAATTATAAATCATAAATCATTAATCCGAAGAGTCATGACTCTTCTTAGTGTCTGGACTCTTCAAGTTCTCATGCACCTCAAGGGCACTAAAGTTCTCGTCCTGAATCGCCAGGCCCTCATGCCGAGCAGTTTCCACATCAAAGGCAGCAGCACTGTGAAAGATGCTCTCCATCTCCTCAAGTGACTTACCTCGAGTCTCCTTGACGAAAAGGAAGACCGAGATAGCCATGATCACATCCAAGCCAGCATAGAAGAGGAAAGTGTATGTGCCCCATGCACTGATCATGTAAGGCGTTGTAAGTGAGAAGAGAAAGTTGAAGAGCCACTGTGAAGAAACAGCGACCGAGGATCCGATCTCACGGATGCGAGAGGGGAAAATTTCGGTTGTGTACGGCCAGGGGATAGGACCCCAGCTAAATTGGTAAATCGAGTTGCTAAGAAAGATCATAAAGACCGTAGCGATTCCTGCGCTGGATGGGTTTCCTGCTGCGTCGAGGGAGTCGGTTGATTTGTTCACGGCTACCACGGTGATGAAGCAGCATGCCATGAGCAGGTTACCGATCCAGAGGGTAGGCTTGCGTCCCCACATCTCCGAGAAGAAGAGAATGTACGTTCCGACTGTAACGAACTTCTCAGCGCCGAAGAGGCCTGTTACGAGGAGTGAGCGGCTGCTGTCGTTGCCGACAATGATCTTGAAGAATTGTGGGCCATAGTAGGCTAGGGCTGTCATTCCGGTGCATTGTTGGCCGCAGAACATCAGGGCTGCGAGGGCTAGTCGGTAGCGGTTGGCGGGTTGCATTAGTTCCTTTGTCTTGAGGCCTTCTGTTGCTTTGGCCTCTTCTTGAAGACCGATTTTGATTTCGTTGAATTCGGCTTTGACAGCGGGGCCTGGTTGGGAATATCATTAGCATTGTTGATCAGTAGGTGCTATAAAGAAATGAATTACTGACCATCGTCAGCACGCATCCAGGTCAAGCTCTGCCACGCCTCCTCCATACGTCCCTTCTTTGCCAACCAGCGGCAACTCTCTGGCTGGGTGAAGAGGCCCAAAGCCAGAATAGAAGAAGGCACCAATTGCAAGCCAACGGGAATCTGCCACTCCTTGGATTGCCCCGACAGAGTCTGTTCAACACCATAATCAATCCAGTAACTCGTCATGACACCCAAAGCGAAAAGCCACTGCACACCCGAACCGAGCATACCACGGATCTCCTTGGGCGCCATCTCAGCACTGTATGTTGGTACGACAGCGGTCGCACCACCAAGACCAACACCCGAGACCACGCGGCCGATATAGAAACAGACCAATGAGTGGGACGGTACCACTTGCAAGATGACGCCGACACAAAAGATGGCCATGGAGGTCTGGATAGTCTTTTTGCGGCCGAAACGCTCAGAAATGGGGAAGATGGACAATGCAGCAAGGAACGCGCCCACGTTCTGCAGACTGACCATCACTGCATCGACGGTTGTTTCATCGGTATAGCCAAAATCGTCCATGTAGGACTGGAACTCGAGGATTCCACCTAGAGCGCGATAACATGTTAGCTCCCGTTGGAGACAGAAAGAGAGCTATGGGCTATGGTTTCAACTTACCTACGATTCCGGTGTCATAACCAAATAGGAAACCAGCGAGACAGATAAAGAAACCGAGGAAATAAGCTCGGAAAGCACCTAGCTTGGTACCATTTAACCGCCCCATGATGACTGTGTATGTACTTAATAAAAGAGACGCTCAAGAGCAAAAACAAAAAGAAAAGACAGGGAAACAAGGTTCCAATATATAACTTGGAGCTCAATTGTAACCTCGTGGCTTTAACCTAAACGACGTCTTTGGCTGAGTGCGGATCTACAGCACGCAACCGTCGCCCGTCTATTTCGCCATAGCACGCCATGGAGCTAGAACGCGTCTTGCTCCGATCTTCGATAATCTTACTGGATCTAAGCTTTACGGCCTGTCAAAGCTTACGACTTCACCGGTTGTATCTATATAATAAAAAATCTGCTTTTACAAAAATTCACTAGAATGCCCCCTATGAGGGCAGTTGAGTCTAGGGGTAATGACATCCAGATCCAGATCGTCTCTAACCCGCTTTCTCCGCATTTTGAAAAACGCCCCACAAAGCTGACGGCATGAGATCATTCGGCTGGTCGGGTCGATCGCTTCGCTCGCTTCTATATACTTAACTGCTCATCCATGGCTTTTTGTTCGTGCTTATTTATATTTTAAAGTATCGATGAGCTTGGATGTGATTCATATGATCCTGTCCAGGCTGCGTTGGGCCCCTTGCAATGCAGATTCCTGACCAATGGTAGAGCCTCATTACGGATCGGCTGTCGGCTAACGCTAAATCTGGGCTCACATTTGTTTTTCGTATTCAAGCCACTCTCAATCTATTGAATCCTACGCACTTGAGTCAAGCAAGGCGGTTATGTGTAGCGAGCTGCTTGCTTGTGACACTCGCTAGCACCAATCGTGCCTTTGTACCGATCAGTGTTAAGATTTGTTCTTTGTCCATATTTGCGTGGAAGCAGGTCCACTTGGATTACCTGCGCAACTGGCCGTGTTGGGTATGGCATATAATTAGGATCCGCTTGGAAGTGGATCGCTGCATCACGCCAGGAGTACGTCGCACAACTTATTGCATACTGCATACCCGCTCCGAATCTCGTGCCGCCAAGGAGCTCAAACTTGGAAGTGGAAATCAAAGGAAGCACCGAACACAGGGAATATACGGAGTCGAGCAGACTGATTGAGCCAATAAGAGGTTAGGTAACGGAAAGGTGCCCCTTGCAATAATCAGCTGTGGGTACATAGTACGCACATGTTGCGCTTTGTACGTGCCTTTGTCAAGTCCCACTAGGTCCGTCTGTCGCAGAAGTGGAGGGTCATCGGAGCCGACTTGCTTTGTGTAGTGGGACTGCTGCTTGTTGGGATCGGAGCGCTAGTCAAACCGAGTGTCTTGCTCTGAGTCTTAATTGTGAGGCTTGCGGCAATGATAGTACCCTTTCAAATGGTTTAATTCTTAGGTTAAACTCGGCAACAGCTGAAGCAAGACCATAATCTATATGTAGGGGAGTCACGGTGCCGTAACTAAGGCTGAAATTCATAACTCATCATCATCTATCAGAGTCACATGACTGTCTGTAGGTGTAACCAGCGCTTTCCCCTCTTGTACTCTTCTTCTCCTTGGCATACCACCACAGTATCGACTCAATTTGTCTATCTTGTTCCTCTTTAGCACTTAAGTACATGAGCTACTACTAGTGGTACTTTATTCTTCCTTTTTCTTGTTGTCTCCTCTGACCCTCGACCAACGTGAGCGCTGAAACTATCAAGTTATCGTTCTGTCAGCTCACTTGTGCATGAAACATCAACCAACTTCCACCTCGTAGCAACCAAATCATTGACCAAAAGCGTTACAAAAGATTGGATGCAAAAGCTTTCATATCCAAATTTAGTGTAGCATTCGATGCTGAAGACAGTGCCTGCGGCACCAGAATCGGCATAGACGTGGTCTTTTACTTACTGAAATATCTATATGATCCATCTTCGACTACAAAAACCTGTGCCCTCTTCAGTCTACGCTCGATTCGTAACGCAAAAGAAAACCAGTTGGTCGAGACTTACAGTAAAATAATATCACCTGGTAACCTGAACATATTCCAGTAAACAAGAAAAACCCGAAGAATATCGTATGGTGTGCATTTATTATCGAAGATATTTCTACACTATTGATATTGTCTCCAATCGTCCATATATCTATCTGTACCTCGCACCTTCATCTTGTCTTTCACATATTATATCCACTTCCACTCCCTGGCATGGAAATCTTATCATTCTCAACTCATGTCAAACAGCTTTACCCAGATCCCTCTAATAAGGCGGCTTATGTCATCCCTATTGGATAGGGCTATTAACGCCCTTAACGAGACTTCCCACTCACCTATTTCCAGTGCAGGCCTTTGATCGAAAATGCAATTCGTATTTGGGCGCATAGAATCAATTGGGAGACCCCAGGAGGTAGACTATGAAGTGTAAGTGTGCCCAGGTGAAGATATATATATTTGCCCAGGTGGAAGTGAGTGGTGGAACTTTTATAAGGTCTAACCTCGGAACTCTCGTCCATGTTTCTAACGTCACATGTTCCAATACCTAGGTATATATATCCCCGTTAACGGGCCTATGTGTCACTGAGACATGCTTTATTGGTCACTTGACTTCAGCATGTCAATCCCCACACACGCCTTTTACCGCTCTTCCCCATCGCGGAATGGATGTGAGTACAGTTTGCTACAGTATTAGCCTTGGGAAATCCAAGTCCATGGATATGATATTCTTGGATAGAATTATCGGTCCTTGCTAATCAAAGCTGTATTCTGAACTCTGACTGGAAGACTTGAAGCGCAGTATTATGTTTCTAATAAGCATGGGATAGAAGGTTGGGACTATACTGCCTCTCTCGAGGGTGTTATTGATATGAAAGTGGCGGAATGTGGATGCGAATGGGGCTTTTGCTTTTTGAGCAGCGGCACTTCTAAGTCAGGAGATTTTGCCGCACAGCGGACATAGGGAGGGACTTTGTCCTTGTATTGGGGCAAATTGGCGGATCACTTCTGAGATCTCATTTAGGATCGCATCGGGTGGTGAAAGCGGAAGATTGCCAAGGCAAAGTCGAGGCAGGCGCAGCTTTAAGGCTCGGATTTGGAATATTCATTGGGAACCGCAGACTCGATACAGCTAGATCGTGGGTCTGGAAATATCAATTCGGTGATGTCGGTTTGGGAAAATTGATCCCCAGGATTACATGGGGCTGATAAGCCTGCCAAGGATGATTGGGTGGGTATCGTACAATGGCGTTGTTAATCTGGCCATCATACTGTAGTTGTCGCATGGGTGGTAGGTGCGTAGTGGGCCTCGTGGGTCATCCCCGTCTCGGCGAGATATCGGTGGATAGTCTCGAATGGGTCGATCGGATTTTGAATCCACTTTTCCTTATCATAACAGTTCCAGTGTATGCGGCGACCCCATCAGCGGCTGCAAGAGCCTAGTCTCAGTTCGAAAGAAAAAAAAAGGTTGGTACAAGCATATCTGGAATAGTCAATTATGTACAGTCCTAGCGAATACTTCCACTATATCTATCCAGTCAACGTTTCAATCATTCCGATATTTTTGTCGCATTGGTCAAATTTGTCGCAAGGGTGAGCAAGTCCGTTGGGGGTGATGCGAACGGTATTGGGGCAATGGAGGTTATACAGTTCAGAGGGTCGCATGGCAATTGGCAAATCCTTGGAAGAGGCGTTTCAAATGGGATATCGCAGCATGGGTTAAGATCGGGATTGAGAACGAGGGCAAGGGCATGGTTGGGTAGTGTCGCACAGGTGAACCGTGGTGATGGCCTTGTCGCGAAGGCCAGGGCTGTTATTTTGGGAGCCGGGTATATGGGGCGTATTAAGTTGCTGGGGTTTTGGGGTTTCCGGGTGGCGAGAGGTGGCCGGGTATGTCGCACAGGGAATCGCTTGTGAGCTTTCAGAGATTAGACGGATGGACCATGGTCCTTCTTCTTGTCGTTGATGACAACTTCCTCTTCGGACATATCGTCAGCAATAGCCTCGGTGATTGGACCGGTGTAAACAGCCTTTCCACGGATGAACCAGTACACCAGAGAGAAGAGCAGAACGGCGGCCAAGTAAACACAGGCGTAGTTCATCTGTAGTCTTGTTAGCGAATAGGATAACGAGAGGGATCTTATGTTACATACGTTGTCCGGTAGGACGGGCATAGCGGTAGGTAGGACGAAAATGATGCTAACAAAGAGCGTCCACAAACAGGCCCAGGCGTTCACCCAAGGGCTCAGAGCTCCCATGTGCCATGGTCCGGGCTCGAAGTTGCCAAACATCAGCTTGCAGAGAATCGGAATGCAGTAACTCCAGTCCAGAGCAATGGCACAGAGGGTGAAAATACCACTAATGGCAATGTAAGATCCCAATGCAATCAGGTTGATCGCAATACAGAAGAACACGGAGATCCAGACGGCATACAAAGGAGTACCGGTCCAGGGAGTGACCTTGATCCAAATGTTGGAGAAAGGCAACATGCGGTCACGGGAGAAGGCGAAGACAGTACGCCCGAGAGACTGCATAGCAGTGAAGGTAACGAACTTGATGATAAGAAGAGCCGCAATGGTAAAGAACATACCACCACCCTTACCAAGACTGTTGTAAAAGATTTGGGCCACGGGTTGCTGCATTGGGGAGCTAAGAATGGCAGTTGCGTCGCCCATGCAGAAGCAAAGGACGATGTTGAAGAGGAAACCAGCAATGTAAGTGAAGAGCATCGCCAAAGAAATAGCCCAGGGCGCCTTCTTCTCGGGCTCGCTCATCTCCTCCGTGATGTGGGCAGTTGCATCGTAATCGGTCATAGTCCAGCTGACAGACAAGAAACCAAAGAGCCAGCTGAAACCGATGGGGGTCCAACCAGTTGTTGATTCAACATGAGTGAACACATAGCTTGCGTCATGCTTGTCTTTTGTGAGAACCAACAGAGCGATGGCACATGCCACCAGCACCGCAATGTGGAAGATCACGTACCACTTGGTCATTTTCTCCATCCAGTAGGTCGACAAGGAGTTGACCACACCAGTAGAGACCGTCAAAGCAGCCATGACACCAACGGTTGTGTCAGTGGTAATGGTGTAATTGAAGTTCCGGCTCATCGAAACCGCGGCGAGAAGCATCTGAGCAGCACCGTATTCAGATGAAGCCACACCGGCGACTTGGCCAATAAGATTGAGCCAGCCGGTGACCCAACTGATCGAGGGAACCCATTTACTGGGCGCCATGCGAGAGATAGTGAAGTATAAACCACCAGCAGTCGGGTAAGCAGAAACCAATTCAGCCACAGAGCACTAGACTTTCTGGTCAGTTCACAAACTTATAGATAAGCGATACTCTATCACATTTTCAGTCGACTTACCGCGATACACATGCAGCCAAAACCAGAAATGGCCCAACACCACACCACCGCACTGCTGCCACCCGCCTCCAACGGGTATGACAGGGTGGTCATGATGGTCGCGAACACACCACTGATACTAACTGCAAAGGAGAAGGTTGCCAAGTATCCAAACTCACGTTTGAACACAGGGTTGTAACCAAACCTGACTGCGAGGTCATTGTCGGCTTCAGTAAGATCAGCGACATCGATTTTCCTGTGTTGTCCATCCGGCCCCACAATCTCAACCTGTCGGCCATGACGATTCCGTAGTTCATGAAGCCCATCTGGGCTGGCGGTAGTGATATCCGCCATGTTGTATATGATTGTAAGTAATCTAGTCAATGGTGGGGGGGGTGAAGGTAGAGTAAAAGGAAGAAGACAGAGCAAAAGCAAAAAAAGGAAAAAAAGAAAAAAAAAAGTAAAGAGAAGATCACGGGCCGAAGCTTCGGTGGAGCCGAAAGAAACCGGTTGCAATGTGGTACAGTGCGTGGCATTTCGTGGCTTTCTCTATTGCCCGACCCGCTCAGGACTCGCCATCAAGGTTCAGAGGCGGTTCTCATAATTGGATGTCCTGTCATTGGCTTGGCAGCGTGTACCGAGGACCACTCACCTTTTCCACGGTATCATTAACCAGAACCACATGGCCCCACGGAGGAGACTGAAAGCTTGAGATCTCGTATTGTCCTATCAGATCTTGAGATTGAAGTGGGACCACTTTAAAATGCGGGCTGTCTATTGGTGAATGTCGTATCGGCCTTCACGCTAACGGGCGAAGACCTTCCTACTGTGTAAAGTGCATAGGGGGCATCCCTGTCTTGGTTCTTACGCCCCTTCAGCCCCAAGGAAACCGAATGTAGGAAATCATCGCCTGATCTGGATAAGCAAGAGATAGAGATATCAGCACACAAAGATAAGATGCGGGATTGCACCGAGCCCAATACAAAAGTCCCCAGATAAACGCCCCCTAAACCATAAATCGTCAGAAGAAAACGCCAACAAGCGGCACAGGGCGGATCAGAGTTTTAGCACATGAAGAAATCCTTGGAAACAGGGTGAGTACAAGCGACCTCAATTTATTCTCTTCAGCAAGGTCCGCACCGCCTTGTCTTGCTTAGCAATCTGCCGACCGAAGAATTTGTTCTGGCATTTAGTGTAATTCGATAATTGCTTGGCGCTTTTGAAGAGCGTGGGTGATCGCTCATCCTCCCAGCATTCCAGCAGATCCACGAGGTTCACATAGACATGCGACAGCGCCTAAATGTATATGCAAAGCATACCATTAGCTTGATTGGCCATCATGACAGGCATAATGTGGACCCACCTTACGACATTTGTTGATAGATGGAAAGTCGCCCGGAATATCGAGCTTCCGACACATTTGGTGCCAGGATGCAAGGTCATTAACCCGGCTTCCGATCAGTAAATCATATTGCTCGCCCATGCAGCGATTCCAGTTCTTTCTCCAATTTTTTGATCCTTCTTTCCAGCCTCTCCATTGGGCCAGGCGTGTGAACTCCTGGCTCACGGGGCTGTCGGGGTGGTGATCAAAGCCGGGGAAGCTTGCGAAGAAGGTGGAGATTTGCCGTATGTTTGGAATGAACTCGAGAGAAGGGCGGCATTTGATAGTCATCTTGGGATAATCAGCAGAAGATTCAAAGGCCATAACATATGGGACTTGGTAGATGAAGAGGAAGATGGTTTCATCATATCGCAGTGGTTTTTATAGCGAAGTGAGCAAACGATTTTGACCAAAGATGCATACAAGCAAACCACAACTCAACTCTCACCATCAATCATGGCAAACTTCAGAAGGTGCTTATACTGAGTAATATCGGAGGAGAATATATGAAAGTAGTGGAAATCGCGATGGGCAATACTCCGCTCGACAAAGGAAACCACGAGATGTCAAGACATGGGACTTTTTAATTTTCATTTCTGAGCTTCCCGATGGTTCTTGACCTGAAGCGTCCAACCAAATGTTCCTCTCTATCTTCCATCTGGCAGAAGCTATCCTTGCGGTCCTCTTCAGTATTGTCGTCTTCAACACATGGGGCTCTCGAGATGCAACGTTCGACTATGTGGTTGTTGGTGGAGGCGCAGCGGGTATCACCGTTGCTGCACGGCTGGTCGAACACGGTTCTCGAGTTGCACTCGTGGAAGCAGGTGGCTATTACGAGATTAAGCACCCCATTTCTCGAATACCGGGGGCTGCTATTCTAGGTATCGGCGCCGATCCAAAGATGTCATCATCTGTCGACTGGGGCTTCGTGGTCCATGGGGGTACAGGTGTAGGCTATCGCGATATTCACTACCCCAGGGGAAAGTGTATGGGTGGATCGTGAGTGAACAACAGTGTCAGTACCTGGGCAGATTTGCAGAGGCTAATCGTGTCCTGGAAAGGTCCGCTGTAAACTTCATGATATACCAACGGTCAGAACCTTCCAATTCACAGCCCGCCCAACACTAACGCTCAATTAGGCCGTCGAAGGATGCCATGAGCAGATGGGCTGAGCTTACTGATGACTCCAGCTACCTGTTTGAACATATATTTCCATTCTACCGGCGAACAACCAACTTCACACGTCCTCAAAATAGAGCAGGACTATACAACGAATCTGCCTTCAGCTCTTTGGGCGGTCCTTTGCACGTATCGTATCCGGAATCTCCCATGCCATTTTCTGAATGGGCACAGGCGGCTTTCACAGAGGCTGGAATACCTGAAGTAGAGGATTTCAATAGCGGCTCAATTCTTGGTCACCAGTTCTGCACGATGACAATACGAGCAACCGATCAAACAAGAAGCAGCTCCGAGTCTGCATTTATAGGAGCGTCACATTACAGTGATTTGACGATATATCAGAAGACCCTGGCAGACAAGATTTTGTTCAATAATCAAAGTCGAGCGATCGGGGTAAGAGTCAAGCAATTTAAGGCGCACACTTTGAAAGCACGAAAAGAGGTTATTATCTCCGCAGGCGCAATTCAATCCCCGCAACTCCTGATGGTTTCCGGCATCGGCCCCGCGGATATACTTCAAAAGTATGGGATCCAAATCATTGCCGACCGTCCTGGCGTGGGTCAAAATATGTGGGATCATGTTTTCTTTGGACCATCGTACCCAGTCGCTGTGAAAACCTTCACCGGGATGACGCAGAGCAAAGATGAGCTTTTAACCCAGGTTCTGTATTGGATTTTTTGGCATAGAGGATTCTTGACGAATCCATCAACGGACTACATTGCATTTGAAAAGCTTCCACTGGCATACCGATCGATTCTCTCCTCTCAAGATGAGGAAGCTCTTTCCTGGTTTCCTGCAGATTGGCCCGAGGTAGAGGTGAGATACATCAAATTCGATCTTCAGTTGGAAGATAAACACAGACTAACTTCCGTAGTATTTGGCGGCCGCTGCTTATGTGGGCAACTACTCGAACCCCTTTGGGCAGCAACCTGTGAAGGGTCAATATGGAAGCATTGTTGCCACTCTCGTCGCACCCACCTCACGCGGGAATGTCACTATACGATCGCCAGATATGACTGAACCACCGATCATCAATCCAAATTGGCTGGAGACTGAGACCGACCAAAGGATTGCAATTGCCTCCTACAGGCGAATCCGGGAGATATTCAAAACCGCCGTCATGAAGTGCGTTCTTACTGGAACAGAGCTTTTTCCGGGGCCCCAGGTTGAAACGGACGAGGAGATACTCGAAGTGGTCAAGCAGTCGGTGATGACCATTTACCATGCTGCCTGTACTTGCAAAATGGGGGTCCAAAATGACACTATGGCAGTCGTTGATAATCGTGCAAGAGTTTTCGGGGTGTCCGGACTGAGAGTAGTTGATGCCAGTGCTTTCCCGTTTTTACCTCCGGGTCATCCTCAATCCACTGTTTGTGAGTGACTCTTCTTTCAAAAACTTGGGACTATACTGACAATCTTGAAGATATGCTGGCCGAAAAGATTGCAGCTGACATTGCAGCCTCGTGAGTGTTTAATGCTCGTGTTTGACAGTGATTATCCCAAAGCTGTCGTTCCTGTTACCGGGATCGGCGCCTTTAATAGCATCACACATGATAATATTATTATTTTACTTTTATCCCGTTACCAATTCTCTTCTAGATACATTTGATTCAAAGTGTCGAACATATTGTAATCACTCGGTAGGGAATCCAGGGAGAATGCATATCCAAATGCCTCGTCTTGGTTCGGAAAGTTCTGGATATCACCGGGTGAATGCAGTGCCATGGCAGGTATGCCAGGTCGACTGAAATTAGGTGGTTGATCAAACGTAACAGGCATTTCGAGACCAGCTTGTGTAGAATCCTCGGCGAGGAATGGCCTGGCATTGAGAATATCATCAAACATTTCAAGGTTGTGGATTGTGGATTTTCCCGCGGAAGTAGACTTAGGTTCTGGAACTAGAACCTGGCCATTTCCTTCACCGTCCTTTGGCATGAAGGCAAGATGTTCCGAACCATATCGCTGAATATAGACTCTTTCCAGATTTCTCCCAATACGCTTGGCGATGTTCCAGGACGTAGACAGTTCTCGTAAAACCTGGAAGCACAGAGCTACCGCAGCATGTGGAGGTAATCGGTGTGGCTGTGGCCCGTCATCTGTCGGGGAATTTTTAGCGACGGGTTTAGCAGCGCAACATAGCTCAATAAGCATCAGCGCTGTGGATAACGTGCAATGTGTAGCGGTGATGGGACTAAGCTTGAAACTGCCGAATGTTTGTCGGTATCTTTGTGCGATGCAGCACATTACTCGGATCGAGTTGCTACAGCTTGAGAGACCCTTGGCATATCGCGAATTTGGCTGTTGTTTATCGTTTGACTGTGGTGAATGTTGCACGGTTTCACCTTTTTGGAGGGATGGGGATTGGGCGTTAACGGTAACGAACGGGCAGCAGAGTAAAATTACTGCTTGGTGGTACACCATTGATAAGGTGTAGGCGTGCGGGAATCGGGAGGGTCCTGATGGCCGATCAACTTTCAGCTCGGATGGGAGGTCGTAGTACCATGTTTTAAGTTCGAGGAGGGTGGTGTCGAAGAATGCAGCTCGTTGATGGCAATGAAGGAGTGGCTTAGGGGACCATCTAAGTTAAATTAGTAAGAGCCAGCCATTAGTACTTATATATGAATCATACAGAGAACGAAGGATCTTTTCGATGATGCGGCATAGATCAATCATTGATCTCTGCAGCTGAGTGACAGTCTTTTGATTAGCTGCTCGCAGCTGTCCATTGGCAGAGGGCAATTGAACGTCCGAGACACAATCAAGATCGGGTTTATTCACAGCGCCTTGGGAATCCTGATCTGAGAATTAATTTTGCTCTAGGGGAAGAATGATCGGATGCAACATACCAATAGTGTGCAAACCCTCCCTGTATAGCAGGCCGACAACTTGTCGTGGCAGTATAACGCCCAATAGATTTGTCTTCGTAACTCGATCTCAATTGCCGGAAGGGATACAGTCCCTGTGAGAACCGCAGGATCCATGTTGAACCCCATGTCAATGGCCAAGCGGTTGGCCATTCCTTGTTGAAGCCAGCCTGCCGCATCAGATCCTGTTGCCTGCAATTATCAGAACTAGCTCAGGGCCTAAATAAGGTCTGACGCGTGACATACAATATAATACATCCCCATTATTGTCAATGACTGAATTGTTGTGATCTTTGGCCAGCGAAGGTCGTTGTGAATCAACCTCTCCGCTGTGCAAATGAACATTTTGCCTGCTGTGTTGGAGTCATTAGGGTCTGTCCGGACCTCCATTCTATCGCAATAACGAGACCCAACAGCAAGAATGCAATTCAAAAGAAGAGGACTACAATATCGGCCTCCACAGGCTAGGCTTTCGCGAAACAGCTGCTCGTTCACAACCTGCAGCCATGGTTGGTCCCAGTCAAAGTACAAATTGATCAAATGTGATTGGAGCTCTTCAGATATCTTGGGCTCATCCGGCTCGAAGGGACATTCGTGATACTTTGTAGCACAGTGCGGAGACACTATGTCAAGATTGTCTGGTGTGACTCCAGAGCCTCCTGTATAGGAAGGATCTGTTTGGGGAGTATCTTCCCCAGGTGAGGCTATCTATAGTCAGCATTTGTGTATGAAGGAAAAACCATAAAAGAGACTATCCACTCACTAGTCGCCGAAGACTGAAAAAATAGGCGTCCACTAGTTGGCCCAAAGTAACGGACTTCACCATCCTGGTCAAAATTCAAGGATTCATCTATAGTCAGTGCGCCATCGAAAGTCACACATAAATCATCCACGGCATGGTTGAAATCCGCCGTTTGGTTTGGAAGCTCAGCCTCAGCCATCAATTCTGCAACGGAAGCCTCCGCATCAATGCCATGGTTTCGCAGAACACGCTCCAGGAGCTCGATTCTGTTTCGTAGCATCACTACATAAGACTTCGGGGCCGGTTGCCTTCCGTCTTCGGCCGTCGAGTATTGGCAGCGAGAACCTCGGTCAAGACACCGAGAACATGACGGCCGCGTGCCATCGCACTTGAAGATATTCGTTAATTTTCCAACTAAAGTTAGACTATGAAGACACAGAAATCACCTTGGCTCTTCGTCGGCGGCATTCCTCACACGCTCGAGATGTATACTTTCTACCCACACGTTTGCGCTTGGCCGATGGATCATCCTGTGGTGGCGCAGGATTGAACTGTGGATCCATCTTTCAGCTTCAGGTGCCTGAACAAGAGACCTTGTAGATAAAAGAATGGAGTGGCGAGGAAAGGATAAGCGGTGTTTGATATTACAAAGCAAAGCGGACACCTTGCATCTCAGGCTCTAAACTCTATATTTGCCGATTCCGATTTCGCGCTTAGAACCAACGCTTCTTCACGCTATTTCTCGCTTGTGGCGCTCTACTCAATTACTTGCCATGTAGAAATTGTGTATTCCAGACTTACTTCAACACTTGAGCTTTCCACGGGAGTTTTTTCAGACATGTTGCAAATGAGAAACTGCCATCTCGCAAAGGCTACCGCCAAAATGCGAGTCAGGCTTCGACCATGAAAATGAATAGAGACAATGTCCTGTGACTGTACCCTCAATTGAGTGTACTAATATTGGTTTCTGTAATTCAGTAAATGACAAGGCCACGGGTCCTTCACGTGTTTGTGGGGACGTCGTGGGGGCCAGAAATGATCTCATTGAATTTCACTAGTGTCTATATCCCACCCAGCTTGCAAGGTTCCCCGCTCTTTATTACTCTATTGATTGTGAGAGCCATTTGCTCTCTCATTGTTCAGTTAGTTGTCATCATCAAATTCACCTCATTGTCCGCCACAACCACGCCACGAACGCTTGGCTACTTATCTAAAGCTTTCTAAATGGCGTCTACTAGCTTCCCGTTGCCAGGAATTGAACATGGCAAACGCATTCTTACCTCGGTGATTGAACATCGCGCCAAAGGTGGTGCCTCTGAATCCTGGCTATCTGTCCCGGTAGACGAGATGAATCTATCCCTTGGTTATAGGGATCTTACCTTTTGGCAACTGAACAATGCGGCCAATCACGCCGCGCACTGGTTGAGCGAGAATCTTCCCACTGGCGAGCCATTCCAATGCTTTGCCTATATCGGCCCAAAGGATCTCCGCTATCCAATTCTGGCTGTCGCGGCAGCCAAGGCACAGAAGGTGGTAAGTGTTCACGACTTGCAATCTTAAAAATGTATTTAAAATGACTAACTAACATAGATGGTACTACCATCGCCATTGGTCACTCCGCAAGCCCAATTGCAAATATTTGAAAAGAAGGGTTGTACGCTTTATCTTAGTCCTGAGGAAATGGCTGGGTCTGTAGCAGAAATTCTCAAGGACATCTCGCATATCCAGCCTATCACCTTACCACCCCTGGAGCATTTTTGGACTGAAACAGAAGCTATTCCTGTAAACTACCCAAAGTCATGGGCAGAAGGGAAAGATGACCCTTGGTTGGTCTTTCACACTTCCGGGACAACTGGTATGATTCCGTCGCCGCTCCCAGAGAATTTGACTCCTGAATTAACATAAAACGGTGAAACAGGGAACCCCAAGCCTATCACCTACTCGCACAAGATGATGGCTGGAGCAGACGTAGCGGCTTCTATTCCTGATATTGAGGAGACTCATATACATCAATACGCCCAAAGGAGGTGGTATACGCCTTTGCCGTCACTGCATGTAAGTCATGCTTTCCCCAACACGATGTGTTACATCCACACTGACTAGGATAGTTTGTTGGAATGCTTATGACTCTGTCTATGACAACGTTTGTTCATATGACAGCCGTGATTGGCCTTACCGGACCCCCATCTCCAGATGGTATCACAGAAGTCCTACGCTACGGGCGCGTAGAGGGAGCCCTGCTTCCTCCGGTCCTCATTGACGCCCTTTGTCTATCACCTAACGGCCTTCAAGCCTTAAGGGATCTAAAGTACATCCACTACGCTGGCGCCCCGTTGTCTGCCAAATCTGCTGAGCTTATCATTCCCCATGCACAGGTGGTACCCTGTGTTGGTAGCACAGAAGCCGGCGGTTACTTCACAACTATACACGGTAAACCTGATACATGGGATTACCTTGCCTTCCAGAAACACGCGGGAGCCATCTTTGAGCAACAAGTAGGTGACCTCCATGAGCTTGTATTCATCCGCAATCCGAATTGTGCGATGCAGCAGATCTTCACGGTATATCCAGACCGAGACCGGTTCGAGACCAATGATTTATGGGTCGAGCACCCAACTGAAAAGGGTCTATGGAAGATCATTGGGCGGACTGACGATTATGTGTGTTTCTCGCATGGAGATGGATTGCATGCATCTCTTCTAGAGCCCGAAATTACGGCTCATCCCGATGTCAATAACGCACTCATCGGAGGGCATGGAAGACAATCACCTGTGCTCCTGGTGGAGCTTGCCATGGGCGCAAATGACGAGTCTCGTGAGGGGCTACTGGAGACTCTGTGGCCCTATATTGAGAAACTCAATGCACGATGCCATGCCTCTGTGCAGATTCCACCAGAAAAGGTGGTCATTACTTCGAAGGAGAAGCCTTTCATTATGACTATCAAGGGTAGTGTGGCGAGAATGCAGACGTTGCGCTTGTATGAGGATGAGATTGCTGCGCTGTTCACTTAGACGCCTGACGAAGTGACTTGTACACCATACCAAGTTAGGTTGCATATGGAGCTAACTTGCAACACATATCCTGATGGAGTGCGTTCATGACCGTCTGAGGTCTCTTGCACAACGACCGCCAACAGATCTCATAGTCAGCAAAGCTGATACCCAGGTAGAGGTGGGCCGTTCAAGCCAGTAACTTTACGGGTTTTAGACAGACTACTGCCCACCTTGAGTCGCTTTTCCTCGAATTCTCCCATTGTTATTCTTCTTTTGAGACGTTGTATGCAATATGCAAGGCAAGTGTAGGAGTACAGAAGCAATGCTACATATTAGAAAGTCATTGGCCGAGCCTTAGACCACTTCTATTGGTGGTAGAAGCCTTTTTTGCTGCACTAGTCATGCAATCTGAAGATCCCCCTCTTTACTGGTGAACCAAAGTGTCCGAACTCCACAATCTCTGTAACTCAACCCGATCGGAAAACTAGGAATAAGACACCAATACCACGGCCGAAGTATTTGTAGCGGTGAAAATCTACTCAAAATCATGCCATCCTGATCATTAAGTTTTTGTCTCTCAAGATGGATAATCAGCCAGTAGTATGCATGTCCACGTAGAAATGAGACTCAATTGCACCTGTGGTTCCGAGGTTGTGTGCTCGGTCCAGAGCTTATAGAATCTATATGTACTGAGAACTATTCTTCATTCCTTGGCTCAAATTGAAGCCAAATCAATCTCTGCTAGTTATTTATTGCCGCCTCTTCCAAGGTTTGAGTCCATGTCCCCTTATTCTAGGCCTTGGCAAAGCATCATGCGTGGGCGCTAGCCTACATTGAGGTCGATGTCAGGCTACTATTCCAGGGTCCAGGGCTGATCATTGGCCTCTAAAGGTGGGTGCAAGGTATGTGTTGAATGAGCATGCACAAGGTAGTCTCTTACCTAAAAGTAAATGGTAATTATGAAGAATCCCCGTCGTAGTCCACGTGAGCATTGAATTCCTCCCGTCGATCATGCGACATCGACCCCTCAGTGGCAGAATTACCTTTCAGAAACATTGGAACTAGCTTCAAGCCCCGGTAGATTATTAATACATATTCCCATGCATCTATTCGCTTGATAACCTGCTTCCTTCAAAATAATTCTCTGACAAATGTGAAACAAGTGTGTCGTCACTTGGGGTTATCACGGGATATATAAGTGATCCAGGGTTAGACAAGTGCGGAGCAAAACCTTCGAAGTATGATACGCTCTCAGTACCTACGTAATAGACATCCATCATTTCCTGAATTAATTAGGAGAACACGCATCAATATTCCTACCCCTACTGATTCACCAATCATTCCCATGAACGAACAGCGGGTTCATGCAGACAGGAATGGTCACGATGATTGGGCCACTCCACTCAAGAGTTGTGGGGAAGGCAGAGAAAGCATACCGTAAACTTTCTTCGGGGAGTATCATCGTCCCAGGTTTGTCACTCGGAGGTACAGCCAGTCATAAGGTAAGTGAGGGACTGTTCGAAGTCGTGCTGCGCCGGAGTCTCGTGGATCAACCTGGAACATCATGTCTAAATTTCCGAGCTAGGGGTTTAAACCAAGTTCATTCCTTTTTCAAAGACTAGTCTAATGTAAACCCCAGAGTCAGATCCTAATATAGCATCAGCTGACTCTTACCCCGCAGACCCAAGAATCTGAAGAAAACGGTGGAGTCGAAGATCGCCGGTCCACCCAAACTTTGCATTCCAGGCAGATCGGCTCCCTTCTCCTTCCGACTAATGACACAAGACCTAAAAAAGGGTGAAAGGAGTGCCGGATGTGGCTTCCACCAGTCTGGATCGGGGCATCTTAGTCCGATATGGATCACGACGGCGGTAAGGGACCGCATCAAACCATTCTTTGTGGGACAAGCCGATGCAACTGCTGTAGTCCTATCAATGAGCGTCGTAATCGTTCTCACTATGCCGAGAGGAACTCGAATGGCACGATAAGCAAAAGTTTCCATAAGTGCAGGTGTGGCTAAGTACTCTAGACAGCTGCACGTTCCAATTGTCTCAGCGACAAGCGAGGTTCTGGTTACTAAGGATGGAGCAGATGGTGGCGCTCACTTAGGCCGTTTTTAGTGGTGAGCTCTATGCAACTAGTCCGTTATTTGTTCCAACGTGTCGGAATGACCAACACGGCATGAAGGGGATTGGGCTTCCCATCACAGCCGGGGGCGGGAGCACCTGTACCCTCGTTACGAAAGCCCAATAGCAAATGACGATTATTATGGGTTTCTTGCATCTTTGTGCGCGGGATTAATCTAATTTTCTTCTTCTTTCTAAAAGAATAGGTAAGAACGGTTTCTTTTGGGGAAGTCATCAGTGGTCTTGACAAAAGTACCATAAGGGAAAAACAGACCGAACAAAAGAAAAGAAATCGTCCGGATCCAGGCTTGATGCTATCGAAGACTGCAGCTGCATAGACTTCTTAGTGCTTTGATAGGTTAGATATAGGTAGGCTAGGGTATATTAAGCAACGTCATGAGCAAGGGTGTCAGCACAGGGTCTAAAAGTATTCCCTTCTCCTTAGGAGATTTAATAGAATATTAGATCTGAAACTGTGAATGACTTGAAGAGCTGTCAAATCCAGACAAAATCATGCAGTGTCAAATTCCTACAAACCCTTGACTTTTGTGTATGGTGATATGGGACCGCGTAAGGTGGTGCAGAAGGGAAAAGAGACGCACGACCCAGTTTTATTCGTCCGGCACCAATCAACGTTCGTCCTGCTTTCCACCTCCCCTCTCCCAAATTCCCCCCATTCCTCTCCCTCTTTTTTTCTAAGGGTGAACACGATAAACACCGACCCAAATTAACTCTTCTAGGACCCTTCAAACTGGTCCTTGATCTTTCTTCCCCTGGGCCTCCGTCGGCGTTGACGTCGATGATCCTGCGCGTTGAATCGGTCGCGCCGTTCCCCGCATAAACCACATCGGTTTCCGTTATCCTCCGTTTCAAGCTGAAGGCGATCCTGTGTCTGCTCAAACGAACACTCAGCTCTTTTGGGGGACTGTTCAAACATCATTGCCTCTTCTCTCTGTTGACACGTTATGGCCCGTTGATGTTACGGATGAATTCATAGCCTACAAAGCCCAAGAGCACCCGCTCTGCCTCTTAGCAGACGGTTCTGCTTGGCTCTACATTAACAAGTGGACAAGCTCTTTCTCGTGACTCAGCGCGCTCGACACGCCTACTCTCTTCTCTCTACCGCAAATTCCTGGTGAACCACTTCACTATGGCGGACAATGGCCCTCCCAACCCACAATTCCTCGCGCCTCCCGCCGTGACCGCGTTGCGACAGGAGGCTCGGAACATCCACCCGAAAATGATAAGAACCTTGAGTGAAAATATACGGGAAGAGCGGGAAGATCTCAAGGAAGCAGCAGAGCAGACCTTGAATATAATCGTGGACTTGGATCTTGAAGGACGAATCAAATGGGTCAGCCCATCATGGCGGCAAGTCGTGGGCTCGGCTCCCGAGACTGTCGAAGGCCAAATGATATCGGACTTGCTGCTCGGAAACAAGAATGTCTTTCGAGATGCGATTGAGGCGATGAAAGAGGATGACTCGCGTAGTCGGTTCATCCGTTTTACAGTGCAGATGGGGCCGGACTCCGTTCTGAAGTACGCCCCAGAGCCGCGACCAACTGAACCGGAAGAAGGCACGCACGAATATACCACCGAAGAAACGATAGAACCCTCGCAGGCCGAAGGCGAACAATGCGACGATGTGCTCACAATGGAGGGGCAAGGTATTATGGTTTATGAACGCGATGAAGATGGACATGTGAGTGCCGCCTTACAATGGGATTTGAAATACACCATTGAAGGAGCAAAAGCTGACCTTATTCGGAAATGCAGTCGATGTGGATGTTGCGACCCTTTACAAAACCGAGAGAAGTGACCATCGATCTGCCACCTCTCCTGGTGGAGTCGTTGGGCGTGGGTGCTGAGGTACTCGCAAACTACTTGACTACACTGGCCGAGGCCGCCGCAAACGAACCCGATCCTTCGAAACACCCAGCCCCTACGCCCGTACTATGTCGTATTTGCGAACGTCAGATCACACCCTGGTGGTTTGAAAAACACTCAGATCTTTGCCTCCAGGAACATCGAGCCGAAATGGACGTCCAGATCGCCCAGGAGAACCTCAATGAGCATCGACACACTATTGTGAAAGTGCTGGATGCCTTGGAGGCTCGACAAGGAAGACCGTTTATCACCCCCGAGGGTAATGTGGTGCCGCTTCCTCAGCCAGAATATAAAGGATTGCCCATTGGTCCGTCTCCTGCCAGCTCATCTCCATCCTCAGCCCCCGTGTCTAGTGGAAACTCTGCACCAGGCACCCCGCCTCGTTCTAGAGACCACTCGGCCTCGGGTCTCCCTATGACGGGCCGTGCCCGCTCCTTCACTGTACGGCGACCACTAGCCCGCATCGTGGAACTGGTGCTCGACCTTTGTGACACCTCCCTAGAAATTAGCATGCCAATGGTCAAAGAGGCATCTCGTGCAGAACACCCTGAAGAATTTCGGACACTTTCACCGCAGTCTGAATCTCGAATCTCGCAGGTTATCCAGTGGCAATCACCAAGCTCCAATACTCTCGAACAGGAACAGGGTCTCGCTGCCCTGGCAGGTGACACGGAGCAACTTGCAAGAAATAAAGTCGATGCTGTCGTACGTCATCGAAAAATCGTTGAGTACGCGGAGAGAATCCGCATTGAATATACTGTTCTTGTGGAAGAGTGCATTACAGCTGCGCTCAGCAAGGCAGAACGTATAGCCGCCGGCCAGCTCAGCGATTCCTCTTGCTCCTCTGACGATGAGATCTTGGAAGATACCCCCGAACAGAACTTCAATGACTACAATATGGTCCCAGTGCCTGTCAGCAGTGATGACTCCCTCGTCCCTGATCCTTCCAGCCAGGAATCACTGCCGTCTCCGGCACGCCAGGCAATGCCTACTCCACTCAGGTCG